CTTTTTGGTGGTAATAGGTGTCTTCCTCTACTTGGATTTGGCTGTCAATTTTTTTCTACACTTTTAGGTGTATTTTGTGCAAGAAATTGCAATAAAATCTTGTGCCTAAGAAAAATTGAATTTTTTTGGGAACTTTTTTGTGATTTTGGATTTTTGGGTCGGATGACTTTTTGGTGGTAATAGGTGTCTTCCTCTACTTGGATTTGGCTGTCAATTTTTTTCTACACTTTTAGGTGTATTTTGTGCAAGAAATTGCAATAAAATCTTGTGCCTAAGAAAAATTGAATTTTTTTGGGAACTTTTTTGTGATTTTGGATTTTTGGGTCGGATGACTTTTTGGTGGTAATAGGTGTCTTCCTCTACTCGGATTTGGCTGTCAATTTTTTTCTACACTTTTAGGTGTATTTTGTGCAAGAAATTGCAATAAAATCTTGTGCCTAAGAAAAATTGAATTTTTTTGGGAACTTTTTTGTGATTTTGGATTTTTGGGTCGGATGACTTTTTGGTGGTAATAGGTGTCTTCCTCTACTCGGATTTGGCTGTCAATTTTTTTCTACACTTTTAGGTGTATTTTGTGCAAGAAATTGCAATAAAATCTTGTGCCTAAGAAAAATTGAATTTTTTTGGGAACTTTTTTGTGATTTTGGATTTTTGGGTCGGATGACTTTTTGGTGGTAATAGGTGTCTTCCTCTACTCGTATTTGGCTGTCAATTTCTTTCTACACTTTTAGGTGTATTTTGTGCAAGAAATTGCAATAAAATCTTGTGCCTATGAAAAATTGAATTTTTTTGGGAACTTTTTTGTGATTTTGGATTTTTGGGTCGGATGACTTTTTGGTGGTAATAGGTGTCTTCCTCTACTCGTATTTGGCTGTCAATTTTTTTCTACTCTTTTAGGTGTATTTTGTGCAAGAAATTGCAATAAAATCTTGTGCCTAAGAAAAATTGAATTTTTTTGGGAACTTTTTTGTGATTTTGGATTTTTGGGTCGGATGACTTTTTGGTGGTAATAGGTGTCTTCCTCTACTCGGATTTGGCTGTCAATTTTCTTCTACACTTTTAGGTGTATTTTGTGCAAGAAATTGCAATAAAATCTTGTGCCTATGAAAAATTGAATTTTTTTGGGAACTTTTTTGTGATTTTGGATTTTTGGGTCGGATGACTTTTTGGTGGTAATAGGTGTGTTCCTCTACTCGTATTTGGCTGTCAATTTTTTTCTACTTTTTTAGGTGTATTTTGTGCAAGAAATTGCAATAAAATCTTGTGCCTAAGAAAAATTGAATTTTTTTGGGAACTTTTTTGTGATTTTGGATTTTTGGGTCGGATGACTTTTTGGTGGTAATAGGTGTCTTCCTCTACTCGGATTTGGCTGTCAATTTTTTTCTACACTTTTAGGTGTATTTTGTGCAAGAAATTGCAATAAAATCTTGTGCCTAAGAAAAATTGAATTTTTTTGGGAACTTTTTTGTGATTTTGGATTTTTGGGTCGGATGACTTTTTGGTGGTAATAGGTGTCTTCCTCTACTCGTATTTGGCTGTCAATTTCTTTCTACACTTTTAGGTGTATTTTGTGCAAGAAATTGCAATAAAATCTTGTGCCTATGAAAAATTGAATTTTTTTGGGAACTTTTTTGTGATTTTGGATTTTTGGGTCGGATGACTTTTTGGTGGTAATAGGTGTCTTCCTCTACTCGGATTTGGCTGTCAATTTTCTTCTACACTTTTAGGTGTATTTTGTGCAAGAAATTGCAATAAAATCTTGTGCCTATGAAAAATTGAATTTTTTTGGGAACTTTTTTGTGATTTTGGATTTTTGGGTCGGATGACTTTTTGGTGGTAATAGGTGTGTTCCTCTACTCGTATTTGGCTGTCAATTTTTTTCTACTTTTTTAGGTGTATTTTGTGCAAGAAATTGCAATAAAATCTTGTGCCTAAGAAAAATTGAATTTTTTTGGGAACTTTTTTGTGATTTTGGATTTTTGGGTCGGATGACTTTTTGGTGGTAATAGGTGTCTTCCTCTACTCGGATTTGGCTGTCAATTTTTTTCTACACTTTTAGGTGTATTTTGTGCAAGAAATTGCAATGAAATCTTGTGCCTAAGAAAAATTGAATTTTTTTGGGAACTTTTTTGTGATTTTAGATTTTTGGGTCGGATGACTTTTTGGTGGTAATAGGTGTTTTCCTCTACTCGGATTTGGCTGTCAATTTTTTTCTACACTTTTAGGAGTATTTTGTGCAAGAATATGCATTAAAATCGTCTGCCTAAGAAAAATTGAATTTTTTTGGGAACTTTTTTGTGATTTTGGATTTTTGGGTCGGATGACTTTTTGGTGGTAATAGGTGTCTTCCTCTACTCGTATTTGGCTGTCAATTTTTTTCTACACTTTTAGGTGTATTTTGTGCAAGAAATTGCAATAAAATCTTGTGCCTAAGAAAAATTGAATTTTTTTGGGAACTTTTTTGTGATTTTAGATTTTTGGGTCGGATGACTTTTTGGTGGTAATAGGTATTTTCCTCTACTCGGATTTGGCTGTCAATTTTTTTCTACACTTTTAGGAGTATTTTGTTCAAGAATATGCATTAAAATCGTCTGCCTAAGAAAAATTGAATTTTTTTGGGAACTTTTTTTGTGATTTTGGATTTTTTGGTCGGATGACTTTTTGGTGGTAATAGGTGTCTTCCTCTACTCGTATTTGGCTGTCAATTTTTTTCTACTCTTTTAGGTGTATTTTGTGCAAGAAATTGCAATAAAATCTTGTGCCTAAGAAAAATTGAATTTTTTTGGGAACTTTTTTGTGATTTTGGATTTTTGGGTCGGATGACTTTTTGGTGGTAATAGGTGTCTTGCTCTACTCGTATTTGGCTGTCAATTTTTTTCTACTCTTTTAGGTGTATTTTGTGCAAGAAATTGCAATAAAATCTTGTGCCTAAGAAAAATTGAATTTTTTTGGGAACTTTTTTGTGATTTTGGATTTTTGGGTCGGATGACTTTTTGGTGGTAATAGGTGTCTTCCTCAACTCGGATTTGGCTGTCAATTTTTTTTTACACTTTTAGGTGTATTTTGTGCAAGAAATTGCAATAAAATCGTCTGCCTAAGAAAAATTAAATTTTTTTGTGAACTTTTTTGTGATTTTGGATTTTTGGGTCGGATGACTTTTTGGTGGTAATAGGTGTCTTCCTCTACTCGGATTTGGCTGTCAATTTTTTTCTACACTTTTAGGAGTATTTTGTGCAAGAATATGCATTAAAATCGTCTGCCTAAGAAAAATTGAATTTTTTTGGGAACTTTTTTGTGATTTTGGATTTTTGGGTCGGATGACTTTTTGGTGGTAATAGGTGTCTTCCTCTACTCGGATTTGGCTGTCAATTTTTTTCTACACTTTTAGGTGTATTTTGTGCAAGAAATTGCAATGAAATCTTGTGCCTAAGAAAAATTGAATTTTTTTGGGAACTTTTTTGTGATTTTAGATTTTTGGGTCGGATGACTTTTTGGTGGTAATAGGTGTTTTCCTCTACTCGGATTTGGCTGTCAATTTTTTTCTACACTTTTAGGAGTATTTTGTGCAAGAATATGCATTAAAATCGTCTGCCTAAGAAAAATTGAATTTTTTTGGGAACTTTTTTGTGATTTTGGATTTTTGGGTCGGATGACTTTTTGGTGGTAATAGGTGTCTTCCTCTACTCGTATTTGGCTGTCAATTTTTTTCTACACTTTTAGGTGTATTTTGTGCAAGAAATTGCAATAAAATCTTGTGCCTAAGAAAAATTGAATTTTTTTGGGAACTTTTTTGTGATTTTAGATTTTTGGGTCGGATGACTTTTTGGTGGTAATAGGTATTTTCCTCTACTCGGATTTGGCTGTCAATTTTTTTCTACACTTTTAGGAGTATTTTGTTCAAGAATATGCATTAAAATCGTCTGCCTAAGAAAAATTGAATTTTTTTGGGAACTTTTTTGTGATTTTGGATTTTTTGGTCGGATGACTTTTTGGTGGTAATAGGTGTCTTCCTCTACTCGTATTTGGCTGTCAATTTTTTTCTACTCTTTTAGGTGTATTTTGTGCAAGAAATTGCAATAAAATCTTGTGCCTAAGAAAAATTGAATTTTTTTGGGAACTTTTTTGTGATTTTGGATTTTTGGGTCGGATGACTTTTTGGTGGTAATAGGTGTCTTGCTCTACTCGTATTTGGCTGTCAATTTTTTTCTACTCTTTTAGGTGTATTTTGTGCAAGAAATTGCAATAAAATCTTGTGCCTAAGAAAAATTGAATTTTTTTGGGAACTTTTTTGTGATTTTGGATTTTTGGGTCGGATGACTTTTTGGTGGTAATAGGTGTCTTCCTCTACTCGTATTTGGCTGTCAATTTTTTTCTACACTTTTAGGTGTATTTTATGCAAGAAATTGCAATAAAATCGTCTGCCTAAGAAAAATTGAATTTTTTTGAAAATTTTTTCATGATTGGGTTTGACTTAATGGTGGTTTATATATTATATATATTATATATTATAACATGCTTTTTTAAAAGTTAGACGAGAACTGAGGATAAAAACAATCAACAATGGTTTTAATAAAAAATAAAGGGACTGCCATTATTTATAATGATCTTATTCATACCCATGAAAAAATAAAAATAGTTTTTTCTAATTTAGAAAAAAAACAATATTGTTTTTTGAAATCTACTGAAAACTCACTTTTACTTTTTAACATTACATAACAATGTAATTAAAAGAACAATTAATTATAGTGTAACAATATGAAATATTATATACAAACATATTATTAAATATTATATATTTATATATAAATAATAGTAATAAATGTATATAAATATGTGTATATGTTATGTAATAATTAATTAATGTTGAATTTAAATTATTAATTTTAAAACAATATTATTTACTTACTTTATACTTTTGTCGTTGACGTAAATACCATTTGAATAAAATTTGTCTTTTCCATTTTTCAAAAAACTCTTTTTCAAACACAATAAATAGTCAGTATTTTTTTTATCTTTTTTATTAATAATTTTTATTAAAAATACAATTAAAACTTTCATCTAGCAATTATATTTTGTATTCTCTATATAAGATAAAAATATTTGTATACCTTAAAAAAATAATCTATTCAACATCTTAAAATAATATAAAAAAATAATTTTTTTTTGTAAAAATACTGTTGTTAAATGACTTCAATTGAGTACTTATATTTTGTCTTCTAATTTTTCTTTTCTCTTCCTTTTCACCTATTTTCTTCCAAATAACTCTGAAAAAAATTTTGTATTTATTTATTAATAAATATAATTGCATGAAAATGACCATTTTTTGTAATTATGGCAAAATACTAACTTGTTCTGCCATTTTAGTAAGCACTTGTGACATCTCGAATCCAGTCTGTTGAACCATTTCATACAAGTGTCCTTCTTTTCTTTCCAATAATCTAAAAGGATGATTTATTTCCTGAAAAAATAGAAAATTTTTTTAAATTTTTATTATAAAAATTAATTTTATAATAAAAATATTTTAATATTGAATTGATATTATAATTTTTAGTTTAATTGTCACTGTGATGAAGTATAAACAAGGGTGCGATAGTTAAACGTGAAATTTGACACGGTTGGGTCGGTAGAAATTATAACAGCAGAGTAGCAGTTAGGCGTAAAGGTGCATTCACACTGTCTTTAAGAAAACTGTTTTATTTACTAAAATATGAACTTTCATCACTCACCACAATGGATCCAGCTTCCATGACAATAAATTTATCACAATCCATAACTGTATTCAATCTATGAGCAATAATGAGAACAGTACAATCTTTAAATCGTTTTCTAATTGTTTTTTGAATTAAATCATCAGTTTGTGGATCAACATTAGCCGTAGCCTCATCCAATACCAAAATTCGACTCTTTCTTACAATGGCCCTTGCCAAACAAAGTAATTGTCTCTGTCCCACACTAAAATTTGCTCCACCATCTGAAACTCTCGCCTCCAAACCAGCCTCCATTTTGACAATTGTCTCCTTTAATTCCACTTCACTCAAAGCCCTCCAAAGTTCCTCGTCATTAAACTTATCAAATGGATCCAAATTCATTCGTAGACTTCCGGCAAATAATAATGGTTCCTGTGGAATAATACTGAGTTTCGATCGTAAATCATAGAGTGCCATTTTACTTGTTGGTATTCCATCAATGTAAATTTCACCCTCCAAGTGTGCCAATCGAAATAGTGACGTAATTAATGACGATTTTCCCGCACCTGTTCTTCCAACAATTCCCACTTTCTCCTTTGGTTGAATTGTAAAATTTAAATTTTTCAACACCGCCTCCTTTGTTGGATTATAATGCAACGAGACATTACGAAATTCAATTCCACCCTCCTTGGGCCAATCATTAGGAATTCTATTACCAGGACCACTTTCGAGACATTTTTCGACATCAATTTTTGTATATTCAACAACACGTTCAACTGAAGTCATTTGATTTTCCATATCTGCCGTTTGCATTATTCCCCACTGCAACATACCCGAGAGTAGTATACATTGTGAGACGACAAGACCAATATTTCCCGTATTTTCACCAATGTCGACCAATATAAATGAATAGACAACAATACCAACGTAAATTGCACAAAGAAATTCAAGATAGTAGCCAAATATTCTTGTACATGAGAAAAAAATATACCACGATGATGAATGAAGATCCTGATGATTGTCAAATTCATTGGTTAATATTTTTTCGGCACCAAATGCTCTTATTGTCGTAAGACCATGAAGTGTTGCACTCAAATGATTGACAACTGGTGAACGAGCTGTAAATTTTGAGGTTATGATACATATGTTCTAGTTATTCTCTGATATGGATAAAAAAATTAGTATTGACTCACTTATTCCTTCGAGGCGTTTAACACTGCGGCTCGTTTTGATGAAGATTTCCTTAAGAATGTAGAAAATACAACCCATAATTATGGTGGGAATAAGTAGCCATTGATTGACACTTGTTGTGATAATGATTACAGCCAGCAAGAGTAGACCAATTTGTATAACGTCCAACATGCTGATTGGCAGAAGCCTATCAACTGCTCCAATATCTTTTGAGAATCTGTTAATGTAAAATTATTCTTATAAATTTTGAGGGAAGAATTAATTGCTATGATAGTTTGTATTAACATAGCAACCGTTGCCATATGGTAACTCCTACATTAAAAACCGTTGTGAATATAAGCAGTCGTTAATTATGAGTAAATTAATTAATTACAAATTAATTATTAAATTATTAGGAAATAAATTGTTATTTTTGGGGTATCAAAAAACGTTGCAGATCATTTTGATTCCAAAAAGAGATCAAAATGATCCAAATTTTGTCTCATTTTAGTGGTAAAATGTATGTCAATTGTTTATTTTAAAATGTCAAAAAATCTGTCAATAAATTTTTAGGTTTTGTCCAACAGTTTTTAAAAAAATATTTAAGTCAATTTACTGTTTTCATCACTGAAATCATTAAAACCATTTTATTGATCCGTTTTGGCCTAACCAAATTGTAGTCGATCGAAACAAAGTTTTCTGAATTATCTTGTAGTAATTAAAATAAAAAACGCGGCATGCTAAATTTTCCATTTTAATACCTAATGTAATTATTACTTTATTTTAGGAATTATCATCTCTTCATTTGAAAACACCAATAATAATAACAGTCGATACAAATGGTCTGCAATGAAAATACCTGAATGCTGAACACTTAGACTCAACGAATCCACTGGATAAATAAAAAAAATTATTTCAAAGCTCTTGTCGATTTCGCAAAAATTAAGGTCATTAGCATAATTTTTTAAATTATGCAAATAGATTTGAATTCGCTTTTGGAATGTTTAATATTTCAAAGTATTTTACGGATCTCCTACAATTATCTATCGGCTTCTCAAAATGAGGATATTTTTGTGATGTATTTATTTTTTTTATTTTTTATTTATTTATTTATATTTGTGGGAATCACCGGACTTCCGTAATAAAATGTCCATATAAAATATTCGGATTCTGTTACGATCGTAAAAGAAAATTCTCAAGAATTTTTAAATTATATAGCTGTTAAAATAATAAATATAATCGTGATTTTTAAATAATGCTTTTTATTTACTAAAAATTGTGTTTGAATTTAACTGTTGAAATTTGTTATTTTTGTTAACCCATTGTTTGTTAACCCATTAGGTATTATAAAATAAAGAAAAATTAAAAATTTTTGTTAACCCAGTGTTAATTTTATTACATTTTAAAGAAAAAAAGTCACTACAATTTTTCGACAGTTACGTGAAAAACATTCTTTTAATACATATTTTTCTTTTTACACATTCCTGAAAATTCTTTAAAAATTGAGAAATGATTTTAAATTCTCATGATCTCACACGTTTAAAACAATTTTCACTTTAAAAAAGCCTGATTTGATAGTTTAGTATTTGGTTGAAACAACCAACTTTGTTTCAATGTCAACAAAATTAGATTACTCCAAATCTGATCAATAAAATGGTTTTAACGATTTCAGTGATGAAAACAGTAAATTGACTTAAATATTTTTTTAAAAACTGTTGGACAAAACCTAAAAAATTGACAGATTTTTTGACATTTTAAAATAAACAATTGACATACATTTTTCCACTAAAATGAGACAAAATTTGGATCATTTTGATCTCTTTTTGGAATCAAAATGATCTGCAACGTTTTTTGATACCCCAAAAATAACTGTGATTAATAACTACGTAATTCTAATGGAATTAATTAATTCCTAAGTAATTCTAATCAAATTAATGAACAACTAAGTAATTCTATTCAACTAAATTAATTACAAACTATTATATTCTTAGCAAATTAATTACTTATTACGAAATTCGTATTAAATTAATTAATTGCTATGTAATCTTTAGCAAGTTAATTAATTACTACGTATTTCTTATTAAATTAATTAATTAGTAATTAATTCTAATCAAATTAATTCATTCATAAATAATTCTATTTAAATTTATTAATTACTAACTATGTAATTCTTAGCAAATTAATTATTCATTACGAAATTCTATTAAAATTAATTACTAACTATGTAATTTTTAGCAAATTAATTAGTTACTGCGTAATTCTTATTAAATTAATTAATTAGTAAATAATTTTAATGAAATCAATGAACAACTAAATAATTCTAATCAAATAATTTATTTATTATGAAATTCTTATTAAATTAATTAATTATCAAGTAATTCTAATTTAATTAATTAATTCCCAAGAATTTCTATTAAAATTATTAATAACAATTTAATCTTTTTGAAATAAATTAATTATTACGTAATTCTTATCATATTAATTAAATAGTAAGTAATTCTAATAAAATTAAATTATTCCTTCATAATTATATATTAAAATTAATTTAGAAGAATGTAATTTTTAGCAATTAAATTAATTTGTACGAAATTCGCATCAAGTTAATTACTACGTAATTCTATTCAAGTTAAATAATTACTATATAATTTTTAGCAAATTAATTAATTACTTTTTAATTCATATCAAATTAATTAATTACTATGTAAATCTTAACAAATTAAGTAATTACTATGTAATTCCAAACTAATTAATTACTATGTAATGCCAAACTAATTAATTACTATGTAATTCCAATCTAATTAATTAATTACTAATTATTATGTAATTCTAACGTAAATAATTACTAATTAATTTTCAAAGGAATACTAATCAAATTAGTTAATTACCAAGTAATTGATACCAAATTAATTAATTTATATGTATTTCTTACCAAATTAATTATTAACTATGTAATTTCAATCTAATTAATTACTTAATAATTATTAATTAATTTCAAATGGAATACCAATCAAATTAATTACTTATTAATTACTAAACAATTTTTTATAAATTAATTAATTACTAGGTAATTCTTAACGAATTAATTAATTACTAAAGAATTATTTCCAATCAATATAATTAATGACTATTTAATTATTAGTAAATTAATTAATTACTATGAATTCCTAGCAAATTAATTAATTACGTAGTACTTATATCAAAATTAATTACGTTATTAATAATATCCTAATTAAATATCAAAAATTAACCCACCTGTTTAGAATTCGACCCGAAGGATTGTTATGAAAAAATGCCATCGTCGCCCTAATAATTCTTGAGAACATTGAAGCGTGCAATCTCTGCGATGCCCTCATGCACATTTCATAAAACACAAACACCTGCACAAAGACCATAATAATCGTCAATAGAATCAAAATTCCATAAATCTCAATATACCAATATCTATCAAATCCATCGTCATTCCTTCCATTGAGAATAATTGATTTATTTAATTTCTCCTCAACATTCACCCAAACGGCAACAAAATAATCACCACCACTGGCAACAACTTGATTCAAAATACTAATGACAAACATCATTATCACAAAACACCAACTACCCACGGCCTTGAAATATGAAAAATAGACCTTTCCGGATATTCTTCCAAAACTACGATGTTCACCCAATTCCTCGGCTTCCTGTTCCTGTATCTTCAATTCCAATGGATCATCATCAGTTATCAATGGCGGATTATCCAAATTGTCATCCGTTTCATCAATAACATCATCAGTTGCTTGTAAAACTTTCATTAAATCTAAATTTGAATTTTGAAGTTCTTGAAAAGTTCCACTAGCTTCGATGGATCCGTTATTGAGGACATAAATTTTGGCGACATTCTTCAAATATTGAAACTGATGGGTTACCAAAATTCTCGTCGTACCACGAAGATAATCATTGATACATTGTTGAAAAATAAGTCTCCCAACTCGTGTATCAACGGCTGATAGGGGATCATCAAGGAGATAAATATCAGCCTCTGAATAGACAGCTCGTGCTAAATTAATTCTAGCTCGTTGTCCTCCACTCAATGTTATACCTGGAAAAAATTAAATTCCCAATATTCGGAGACTTGGTACTAAGTCTTGGTACTACTTTGGTACCAAGTCTCCGAATGTTGGGAATTTAGTACCAAGTTTCCTAATGTTGAAAATTTGGTACTAAAGCAAATTCCAAAATCTTTGGCAGCAGCATTACCAGCTTTGTTAATTTTTAGATTTTATCCCAACATTCGGAGACTTTATACTAATTTTCCAATTCCCATATCTTTTGCCAGAATAGATTACCAGCTTTGTTAATTTTTCGGGTAAATTTTTGATAAAAATAAAAAATTAACAAAGCTTGTAATTTGCTACCAAAAGATTTTGGAATTTCCTTAAGTAACAAATTCCCAACATTCGGAGACTTGTTACTAAATTTCCAATATTCGGAGACTTGGTACTAAAGCAATTCCAAAATCTTTAGCCAAAAAAGATTACCAGCTATGTTAATTTGGTAAATGGATAAAAAAATAAAATAACCTTTTTCACCAATTAGCGTTTGATCCTTATCGGGAAACATTGCAAGATCATGATCCAATTGACAAACATTGATGACAGCTTCGTAGCGTTTTTTTTCCATTGGACGACCAAAGAGAATATTTTGTCGAATGCTTGAGGCAAAAATCCATGCCTCCTGACTCACGTAGGCAATTTTTCCCTTAACACAAAGACTACCTGAAGTTAGTGGCAATTCACGTAGAATTGCATGAAAAAAACTCGATTTTCCCGAACCCACTTGACCAATAACTGCTGTAATTAAACCATTCATGGCTTTAAAATTAATTTTATTTAATGTATCACGTTTACATATTGTTGACCATTTTGCCGATGCATTTTTTAATTCGACAATATTTTCCTTTGTAATTAATTTATCAGTGGAATTATTTAAATGTTCCATTTCTGTAGAATTTAAAAAATTCTCAAGACGCTTAATGGCAGCCATTGCTTTTGCAATTCTTTGAACACCTAAAAAAAATTTTGATGAAAAAAAATTATTTCTAAATTAAATTTCTATTTTTTTTCTAATTGTGATTAAATTAATTAATTAATTTATTAATTATTATAAAAATAGAAAAAATCCTCACTGAATTGTAAGCAGATATTCACGGAATATCTCATATTATTGTAATATGATGTTATAATATAAACAGTTTGTGCTGATAAAGGATTTCCCATTAAGGCATATGTAACAATTGTCACAAAGAGACATAAACGAGGGATGTAAGAGTCGAAGGACATTTGAACGGCATCGACAAATGAACATTTTTTAATTGCACTAATTTCCTTCCTGTTCAAAAAAAAGGAGATAAAAACAATTTCTGATGAAATAATTATTACTATTGAGCTGGCTAGATAATAAATTTCTCTCAAGTTGATCGTTAATAATAATCATTCAATCAATTATAAATGCTTCAGCTATTCGAAAAAAAAATTATATAAAAAATATTTCTTTTTCTCTGTATTTCAAAGATAATTATTATTATTAATGAAATAACCTTAGAATAGTTAAATTAATTAAATCATTTTTAATAAATTACTTTATTATTTATTGCCATTTGATTTGTGATTAATTAAATAGGATATAATTAAATTAAAATTAAGGGGAAATTTATTATTAGTTACTAATTAATTAATTATTAGATATTAATTATCAAATTATTAAATAATTATTAGTAAATTAATTTATTACTAGGGAATTATAAGTAAACTAATTAATTACTAGGTAATTCTTATCAAATTAATTAATTACTAAGTAATTCTAATGAAATTAATTCATTTCTTAGAAACTATTATCAAATTAATTAATTAGTATTTAATTCTTATCAAATTAATTAATTTTATGTAATTCTAATGAAATTAATTCAGTAATTCATAATTATTAGTAAATTAATTAATCACTAAAGAATGTATATCAAATTAATTAATTACTATTTAATTCTTATCAAATTAATTACATACTATGGAATTCCCTAGTAAATTAATTAATTTCTAAGTAATTCTAATGAAATTAATTCAATAATTAATAATCATTACTAAATTAATTAATTCCTAAAGAATTCCTATCAAATTAATTAATTAATTACTATTTAATTCTTTTTAAATTAATTTCTAAGTATTTCTAATGAAATTAATTCAATAATTAGTAATTACAAGTAAATTAATTAATCCCTAAAGAATTCCTATCAAATTAATTAATTAGTATGTATTTCTTACCAAATTAATTAATTATTATGTAATTATTAGTAAATAAATTAATTATTATAGAATTTCCTTGCAAATTAATTACAATGTAATTCTTTTCAAATTAATTAATTTGTAAGTTTTGAGTAATAATTAATAATTAATAGGCAATAATTAGTAATTCATTCATCAGTGTTATTTAAGTATTAATTAATAATTATATGGGTGAAATTAATTATGTACTGTTTTTTTTATTGTTTGATTAATAATAAAAAGTTATGGAAACTTACGCTCTCAATTGATTAACAAGATGTGAAAATGGTTTTTCCCAGGCATACATTTTTATTACTTGTACTCCACTAATTATTTCATTCATCAAACGAAGTCTTTCATCAGTCTTGAATGAGGATTTAATCGTTATTTTTGGAACGTGTAATCCAATCGAAACTAAAAAATGTCAATATTATGAAAACTTTATTGATAATTTGCTTGTATTAAAAAAATTTTTTTTTAATTATATCAAATTAATATTTAATATTAACTGCCTTTAATTAATTAATGTACAATATTACTTAATTAATTAATATTTAAATAGTACTCAATTAATTAATTTTACAATTGTAATTAATTAATTAATTATTTTTACAATTGTAATTAATTAATTATTATTAATCGTAATTAATTATAACAATGTACATTTATTATTGTAAATTTTTTTTTTGTAATTATATATATATATATAAATATATATGAATAAATACCTAAAATTGGAATTAAAAGAAATAGTATTAAAATTCCATAAATTGCTGCAGATTTAACTTCAGTGTACATAATGTAGGCAATTATAATTGCCTGAATTGGTGATATCCAAAAATAATGTAAATCATTTAATGCATAATCCAAACTATGAACATCGTTACTTAATAAATTAACAATCTGTAATTACAGACAATATTTTTATTATCATTTTTTCACATACATATATAAAATATTTTAATTTTTTTAAATTTCATTATTGTTATTATAATGCCTAATTATTTTACTATTGTTATTATTATTATTTTTTTATGCGAAGGGTAAAGTGAAAATTATTATTATTATTATTTTTATAATAATAATTATTATTATTATTGATTTTTTAACTTACTTGACCAACAGTTGTACCTTCGTCAATTGTACCTTTGGATAATCTTAAAATTTTTCTATAAACCAATGTACTGCAACCAAGACGAATTTTCATGCCCATATGGGTCATTCCATGTAGTGCGAGATTAAAAATTATACAATGAATAATTAAACATAAAACAAGACCAGCTGCCCAATAAAAAACTTCACTATTTGTAAATGCCTCGCCACTATTGAAAAATGTCAATAATTTTGCCAAAAATACCGGTTGACATATTCTACAAAAATTAAAATTTTATTTTCATAATTATAATAAATTTTTTTTTTTTTTTGAGTAAAATTCAAAAAAAAAAAAAAAAAAAACAATTTTTTTCTAACCTCACGACAATTTCAGTGAACGCTTGAAAGCAACCAATGAATATTATTCTTTTACCAAAACATTTTGCAAGTATTTTAATTAAATTTGGTTTTGATTTGCCAATTTTTTGACATTTTATTTCCTCATTGTTCCATATTTTTAATAAATTATCACCCAAACGATGACTAGAATGTTCTTTAAGTGGTGAATAAAGATCAGTTACCTCCAATTCTTTTTTATTTCCGAGAAAAAAAATTTTATACAACCATCTATAATATGAAAATTAGAAAACTAATTAATTATTATTATTATTATTATTATTTTAATTTATATTTCAATTTCATTATATTCTTACAAAAATATAGAAGCAACAATTTTTTTTTCAAATTTTGTAATTTTTTTTCGATAAAACACTTTATATGGAATGGGCTAGGGTGGGTCATTCCATATCGAGTGTTCTTTTGTATAAATAAAAAAAAATTATTATATTTTTTAATAATTTCAGATAGAAAATTATTGGGTTAATAGATTTATACAAATTTGGTCATTCCATATTAAAATTAATTGGGTCATTTCATTACGAATTTTTTTTTTTATATATATATCTCTATATATATATATATATATTATAAATACTTACGAAAAGGTGAGAACTGAAAAAATATTTGCATTTTCTCTAGGGTGTTTGACTTCCTTTTTTTCATTTTTGTCCATTTCTGAAATAATTTTACAATTGTCAGTAAAATAGTAATAATAATAATAATAATAATAATAATAATAATAATAATAATAATAATAATAATAATAATAATAATAATAATAATGAAATTTATTTTTAGTATTAAACAAATTTTTTCACCATCACTGATTATTTATTAAATAAAATATTTAAAATTGAAACCTATGCTTCAAGATCACTGCACATGTTAAAAAACAAGTTATTAACAACACTAATAATGAAAGAATGTCATAAAATGATAAAACAAAGTTGTAATTATTTATAAATAATGATGGAATGTACTTTTTTTTTTTTTTTGATTAAAAATTAATCAATTTTTTTATAATAATATTATTATTATTTTTGTTGTTTTGATAAAAAAATCATTTTTAGTACCAAAAGAAAAACATTTTTTAAAAAATATGAAAAAATTTTTCCAGAAAAAAAAAAAATTAAAATTTTTTCAAGAAAAATAGAAAAAAAAAATGATTTTTAACTAATAATTTTTTAATCTTACCTAGACGAAGTTTAGATGAGGAATAAAATGCCACTAATTATATCATCATATGATTTGAATAAATTTATTGTTTTTTTTCTGTTTAGAAGAAAAAAAAAAAAAAAAAAAAAAAAGAAAAACCAGTTTATTGAAATGAGATGCCTTTTATTATCATATATCGCTGAAGGAGAAGGGAAGATCTGCTAATATTAATAAAGAAGTAGATCAGGAATTTGCCGTCATTACATTTATATACGTATATATAATATGTACATGAGTAAATCTAAAAGAATTTTGATAATAATAAATTTTCCAATAATAATCGCATTTACCTCGAAAGAATTTGTAAAACTGGTTAAATTTTATTTATTTTTTTTTTTATAAATTTTCAATTAATATTCAATTTGATTATCCAATAATAATTGGAAATTATGTAATTAAATGTAAATGTTTTTTTTTTTTTTTTTTTAAATAGATTCCGTATTGGTTATATTGTGTTTAAAATTTTTTTTAACAATGTTAATTATTTTTTTTTTTTTTTATTGAAATAATTATTAATATTCAATTTTTTTTTTCGAAACATAATTTACAAAATGAATTGATTGACTTATTTATGAACTTTCATTTAAAATTGAAAATAAAAAATCAAAAGAGATAAAAAAAAAGATACAAAAAGAAATATATTATGAAACAGAAAGAAATATAGAAAATAAAAAATGGAGATACAAAAAAATATATAGAAATTAAAAAAAAAATGCTAATGTAAATTAAAAATTAATTAAAAGGCGATAAATTAAGACAGAATATCATTTTATTTCATTCAATTATAGAGATAGATAAAAATTAAAATTTTAATTTTTTTTCAAATCTTTTTTCTTTTATCCTCCAATATATATATAATCTATCTATAATATACTTCATTATATTTTCCTTAGTATCTGGTTGAAAAAATGTTAATTCAACGTATTTCACTTTTTCATTACGAATACGATAATATCCATTAACATAATCAATATTAAAAACCATATATGGCAAAAGAATATTTTCTTCAATATTATTTAATAAAATATTATTAACCCTTGCACTTATATATGAATCATTTATTTTAAATTTATAAACAATTTTCACATCATTATTACCCATAAAATGAACACGTTCCATTGCTGGTAATAATTCATTTGTTGTTGATATAAAATTTTGTAAAGAAATTTTTTTACCAATTTTACCGACAAATAATTTTTTAAAATCATTTACATTTCTCACCTCAGTTGCATATAATATTTCTGATATTTTTAATGGTGTAATATGAATTTGTCTAATTGACAAACGATATATTGCTTGTCTCATTAATATCCCTTCATTTGCATTTGAACCAATTCTATGATATCCTTGATGTAAATAATTTTCCAATGAATAAAAATCAAGAAAACTCATTGATTCATAGGCACGTTGTTGTATAAATTCCTGATGTACAAAATTAATTGGTTTCAATAATTCAATGAATTTTCTATCTTTATTATTATTAGAATAAGTTGTGGAAATTAATTTATTTGCCTCCCATTCGGATAAATACGGATTGTCGAGAAATTCCCAATACAATTAGTGCATGAAATTCTTCGGAATTTTGTAATTTTAATTTCATCCAATTCTTTGGTTCTTTATTATATTTCATTAAATTAAATCTAAAAGTCACCGAATCAGAAAAGCGGACATAGTGGAAAAAGTGATTTAAGCGCTTCCAGTCGCAGCAACGAAATAAGTTTGATTTCGTCTGACTTAGACAACGAGACAAACAAAAAGAAAAACTTCGGAGGAAAGTGAATACGGACTTTAGTCATACACTAAATCCAAGGTTCACATTAAAGATCCACGACCTGGATTGTCTTATCCAGGAAGAAGAAGTGCAATAAAGTTTGCAAGAAGTGCACAAAAAGCCAGAAAGCAGAAAAGTGACAGTTCTGGTATCCAAACAATAAGAAATAAAATACGACGTTTTGGTCTCCGAATCTGATCAAGATTGGAGGTTTAAGGCCGTTTTAGTCTCCCAATCTGATAAAGATTGGAGGTTTAAGCGTTATAGACTCCGAATCTAATCAAGATTGGAGGTTTAAAGCCGTTGAAGTCTCCGAATCTGATCATGATTGGAGGTTTACCCGTTTTAGTCTCCGAATCTGATCAAGATTGGAAGTTTAAAGTCCTTTTAGTCTCTGAATATGATCAAAATTGAAGGTTTAAGGCTTTATTCGCAAAAGTCACCGAATAAAAAACGGTCATACCACAGAAATTGGTACACCTACGAGAAACAGAGACTTCCTGATCAAAGTTGGAGACTCCAATAAGAAGGCATTTACTGTAGAGGTCACAAAAAGCGTTTGGAAGCATTGGGATACTACATCTAAGGTTCACATTAAAGATCCACGACCTGGATTGTCTTACCCAGGAAGAAGAAGTGCAATAAAGTTTGCAAGAAGTGCCCAAAAAACCAGAAAGCAAAAAAGTGAAGGTTTTGGTACTCAAACAATAAGGAATAAAACCCACCGTTTTAGTCTCCGATTCTAATCAAGATTGGAGGGTTAAAACCGTTTTAGTCTCCGAATCTGATCAAGATTGGAGGTTTAAGGCCGTTTTAGTCTCCGAATCTGATCAAAAATTGAGGTTTAAGCGGTTAAGTCTCCGAATCTAATCAAGGTTGGAGGTTTAAAGCTGTTTTCGTCTCCGAATATTATTAAAATTGGAGGTTTAAGCGTTTTAGTCTCCGAATTTGATTAAGCTTGAAGGTTTAAGGCTGTTTTGGTTTCCGAATCTGATAAAGATTGGAAGTTTAAGACCGTTTTAGTCTTCGAATCTGATCAAGCTCGGAGGTTTAAGGCCATTTTAGTCTCCGAATCTAATCAAGTTTGAACGTTTAAGACCCTTTTAGTCTCCGAATCTAATTAAGATTTTAGGTTTAAGGCCGTTTTAGTCTCCGAATCTGATCAAGCTTGGAGGTTTAAGACCGTTTTAGTCTTCGAATCTAATCAAGATTTTAGGTTTAAGGCCGTTTTAGTCTCCGAATCTGATCAAGCTTGGAGGTTTAAGACCGTTTTAGTCTTCGAATCTAATCAAGATTTTAGGTTTAAGGCCGTTTTAGTCTCCGAATCTGATCAAGCTTGGAGGTTTAAGACCGTTTTAGTCTTCGAATCTGATCAAGCTCGGAGGTTTAAGGCTTAAAACGCAAAAGTCACAGAATAAAAAGCGGTTATACTGGAGAAATTGGTACTTCTACGTGAAACGGAGACTTTCTTATAAAAATCGTAGGAGATCTTAGATAGAAGGTTCACAATGGAGATCAACGAACCGGATTTTCTCACCGAGAAGGAAGAGGGCTCCAGGTATCTGCCTTGGATACCAATGGTTATGCAGATTTTCCACTTCCCTCGTTAAATAAAAAAAAATGTAGTCGAATACGTTTGATTGAAAATGTATAAATAAAGAATTAGCGCTTTAAATGTTGAATTAATTGCGTTGAAAATTAATTGTCCGTGAATAAAAGAGAGCAAACAAATTATAGAAATAACAGAACAGGTAAGTAGAAAAAAATTACATAATGTAAACTTACCATTAATTAATCATTAATTACCATTAATGTTTAAATTAATTTTCTTCATAAATTTTTCTTTTCATAAATTAAAATATATCGTATGAATGGATACCAATTTCCTACTATTATAATTTTTAATTTAATTGAATTAATTTAATTGAATTAATTAAATTGATTAATTAAATTAATTAATTACATTGATTAATTAAATTTTAATTCAAATATGAAATTGATTTTCGAAACTTATATGTTTAAATAGTAACTGTCGAAAATATTTCTACGAATTTAATAGATAGTTTGCAAATTTGTTTTAACTAAAGTTGAATTTACATTTTATAAATAATTTATGTGAACGTGACATTCAAAATTGAATAAATTTTTTTTTCTTTCGAAATTATTGTAAAATGTTCACATAGTTGTTGATTCAGTTGTTTCAAAAAAGAATCCACGTGGAAGAATAATTCTACTAATTATTTTTTGTTTTTCATAAAAAAAAGTAATTTCCTGTGGAAATAATACACGTATTATATGAAATAAAAAAGCGAAATTATATTATTAGATTATTTATTGAATATAATTATTTATTTACATATTTCTTGGAATTTCTTGAAAATCATCATGGGTAGTTATAAAATCTCATTTGGTTGATTTAAAAATTCCCTATTAGTTTCCAATTCATGTAATTGATCCATAATTAATTTTATTTTTCTTTCTCTAGTTACATCTTTAAAATATGATAATTCAATTAATTTAACAGTTTCATCACCAATAGTATAATCATTAATTTCACCAATTTTAAATTTAGTTCCCGGCAATAGAATATGTTGTTCGACATTATTTTTTAAAACATTTTTAACACGAGCACAAATATAGGGTGTATGCATTTTAAATTGATAAAGTACTTTAACATATCCATGATCATTTAATAAATTAACTTGTTCCATTGCTGATAATACTTCTGTCATTGTTGGTGTAAAATTTGGTAAAATAAAAAATTTATTTTTATTTTGAATTATATTTTCAATGTCAATTAAACTTTTAATTTCAGTTGTAAATAAATTTTTAAAAACTTTTACTTGTGTACTTTGAGTTTGTCTAATTGCCAAACGATATATTGCTTGTTTCATTAATATTGCTTCGTTTGTATTATATTGAATTCTTTTAAATCCTCGATGTAAATAATTTTCTAATGAATAAAAATCAATAAAACTCATTGATTCATAGGCACGATATTGTATAAATTCATCGCGTACATTATTTATTGGTTTAAATAATTCAATTAATTTTCTATCATTCGATCCATAACTGGATGAAATTTGTTGATTTGCCTCCCATTCGGATAAATATGGATTGTCAAGTATGTCTAAATACAATAGATTATAATATTCTTCTGGATTTTTAATTTTCATATGTGACCAATTTATTGGTTCTTTATCGGCATTTATCCAATCGATAATAAATGCTTCTTCATTTTTTTGATTGCTAAATATATAGGTAAATAAAATATCTTGAATATTATTTGGTAGACGATATTTTTTTTGTCGCGCAATTGTTATTGCATTATTTTGTTTATTCTCTCTATTTATAAGTGACATTAGTCGTGAACAAAAAGAATTTGGTGATCTTTTGATTCTTGTATTTTCACAAAAACCATTGTCACTGATGATTTGGATTTTTGTTTCTGCATTCTCTGAACGTTCAAATGGAAAATGATTTTGTAGATTCACTTCTTGTTTTGTGTCTTCATTTAGAAGATTAATTTTTCTGTAAGATTTTTTATTTTTTATTTGTGTCATGACAATTGGAATTTCAGATTCGGTTTCGGTGACTGATCGTAATTGAGGATAATTATTTCCAAGTTTGATGAATTTGTAACCATATCCAAAACTTTTGTCATCAATTGTTCGATAGTAAATCCATTTGCCGGATAATTTTTCATATTTAGTATAAGCATTACTGTAAATATTAACGAATTTAATGAGAAATTTATTGACGATATTGAATTTAATAGATTTTCCGATTTTATTGATTAGGTGGCCAAGTGAACGAAAAGCCGATTTAGCAAGGGAGAAAATAAATCCAAAACCCGGATCAATATAACGAACACTTGCCACTGCAATTTCACTCAACATTTCTTTTTGTAATTTAAAGGAAATGTCGATAATTCCCTTCTCTCCTACCTGCGACACCGATTCACGTAGAAGTAATGTTGAGAATTTAATTTCCTGTTTTGCTAATTCCAATGCTGTGCTTCGTAAGAGAAATTTATTTACAACCATTCCAATTTCAGAAAAAAAATTCACAGCCATTAATCCATCCATTGTGCATAATCCCGGTGCAATGTCAAGATTTCTTTTCGTAAATGATTGAACACACGTGTAGAATGGTAGTAAATTAAGTCCAAAATCAATCCACCATTCTTTTCTCGTTGCATCATAACCTTCGGTATTCAATTGTGACAACATCTTTTCTTTACGATCACCAGCTATTCGATTTATAAAATTGGTAAAATTCTCCCTTGCATTTTTTATCTCTCTAAAATCTCTGTCGCGAAACTGCTCCCATTTTGATAAACCCAATTGTTGACGAAATTTATAATCATCAGTTTTATGTATTAGCCTTATGGTATTATTGTTACGAATTAAAGCATAGTAAACGATGTCACCAGTTCGTTGATAGTGAAATTTTAGAAGATCATCAGAATCTCTTAATTGTTGTGTTTCTCCTGCTCCGAGTATTCCCGGACCTGCATAAAAAGCTTTATACAATCCACTGGAAATTTCCACAATTTCTTGGTTTTTAATTTCCTCACCAAACAAATCTTCAATTGTATCTTTTTCATATTGGAAATATTTATCAGCAATATTTCTATTTTGTTGTTCAAATAATTTGTTTAGCTTTGGTAACTTCTGGGTTAAATTTCCACTGAGGCATGAAAATTCATCCGGATTATTTTTGTACCTAATTACCTCATCCTCGAAATCCTTCTTCAATTCGAAACAGTTTCTTGCTATTAAATTTCTAGCTATTTGTGTACGATTTTGATAGCCCGACATTAGAAGTAAATACTGATAACGTGAATCCTTTTGTTGTGCTATTCTCGCTTTAGTAATTGTCATTTTCAAATGGGTGAACAATAATTCCAAAGCTTTTGTCACATGTTCGGGATTAATGACAATGTTTTGTGTTGTTTCATCATTATCTCTATTTTCGGTGACATAATAGAGTAATGCAGGTAGTGTAAATATTTGAACAAGGGATTTATCCATTTCATTGGAATTAATAAGTTCCTCAATTGCATGTGCTAAACCTAAATATTCCTCGAATTTATTTGTTTCTTTGGTATCAGAATTTTTAGATTCAAAAATTTCTTTAAAACTATCATGCGATGAACCCGAAAGTATAAACATTGCACCAGCTTGTGCGTAAATAAATTCTACGGATGTTAAACTAATATTATGATTTGGTAATGGAAACAGTGGAAGCAAATAATCGTTAAATACCCTTTCGAAAACAATCTTCGGTAATGTGGAATTCAATCTTATTTTCATTTCTTGGATCAGTTCTCCTACATCCTTTGTTTCTGATTCCCGAGTTACGTTCAGAATAAATCCATAAATATTTCCATATTTATCAAAAACCATTGAAGTGATTATTCTTTTAAATAATTCGTTGACAAATATTGGATCGGGATATTCATTTGGTTTACCTCCGTAAATATCACTTCCATTAATTATTTCCTTGATGAGAATAATTTTCTTCTTATTAATATTGTTTGGTGTTTCATTTGGTGATTCTAGGTAGCGATAAATTCCTTCTGCAACTGGTAACAATTGGAGTTTCTCTTCTTCAGTTATAAAATGTTTTGAGAATAAAAAATCACTCATTGTGTTCATGTAGCTGAACATTGAGACAAGATGAACTGTCTCCTGAATGGTGTTCAATGAAAAAACGTCCATTTTTGAATTGTAATTATAAAAACTGAAACAAAATAATTTTTCCTTAATATTTTTCGATAGGATTAAATTTTATTTAGATAATTGGAGGCTTTCTTTGAGAAATAATACTGGTGAAAAAAAAAAATTTTCCCCTACTTCTTTTCTCAAGATTCAAAATCGAATTTGCTTATTAAACATTTTTTTTAGAATTGAAAAAAAATTGGTAAAAATTAACTAATAATAGAAAATTTATTAAATTCGCATGATTACGAATCTGATGTTAGTTTTTCAAAATTCAAAATGGCGGACCCAAAATGTCGACCAAAAAAATTTAAAAATCGCTCAAATTTGTTAAAAAATCGTTACTCGGGGATTTTTGGGGTCACTGATTTCAAATTTGATGTTTGTTTTTCAAAATTCAAAATATCAGATCAAAAATAATAACTCGGGATTATTTGATGTCACTTATAACGAATTCTTATGTCAGTGTTATAAATTTCAAAATAATGTATTCAATATAATGAATGTTTTTTCTTTATTTTATCAAATTAAATTCAAATGAACGTTATTAAATATTAGATTAATATTAAGAAAATCATAAAAATTGTATTTATTATTAAATTGAAATTTCAGAAAAAAAAAATTTTTTTTTCTTTATTTCTATTACTATTGTAAATTTTACTTACCATTAGTCAGTTACAATGACGTATAATTTATTATTATAAAGAGAAATAATTAATTTTGTCACATAAAATAAAAACAAAAAAAAATTTTTTTTTTTATCTATATCAAAATGAATATATGACAAAAATTTATATACATATATTAATTTATTATGTTATAATAATTTTTTGTTTTTTCTTTTCTTCTTATATAGAAGAAAATTTGTTCTTTTTCTATGTTTTACATAAAATATAATATTGACACATGTTTAATTGTGTTTCTAGTTATTGAATTTGTTCAAATGATAAATATAATAGAATTTTATGTAAATCATGAATATTATACAGTATTGAGTATGAGAAATAATGAAACTTGTTATTTCCAAAAAAATGAATAAATTTTCTTTTTCTTTTTTAAATAATATATTTTAAAGAAAATTAATAACATTTTAAAATTATTTTTTTTTCAAATTCAACATTTCTTCTATTTATAAATAATAGATGTAATAAAAAAATGTGACAATGAAAAAAAAAAAATTAATAATAATAATAATAATAATAATAATAATAATAATATTAATAATAATATTAATAATAATAATAAAAAAATTAATAATAAAAATAAAAATTATGGTAATAATAAATTAATAATTGTTAAATTTTTTTGTCACGTGGAATTATAAAAACCTTCAATTATACAAACGAAGATTCATTTGTGTAAATATTATTTTTATTAAACACATAACAGTCACAAGTGTTTAAATAATTTTTCTTTATCCACTGAAAAACTATTGTCGAGTCTAATTTTTTTTCACAATATTAAAAAGAAATTTCATCATTCAAAAAAAAATGAGGTATATTTGCAAAAAGCAAATATTTTAATGAAAATTTACATATAAATTAAAAAAAAGAAATTTTTTTTTAATGATGAACAAGGTTAATTTCGGAGAATTAAAAAATTTCAAAATGTAAGTCAAAATTTATTTGAAAAATAAATATAAAAATGATAAATACAAAAAAAAATTTAATTATAAAAAAATAATAATTTACAAGTAAAAAATAGAATATAAATATAAATAAGTGTTAATTATTATTATTATTTTATTTATAATTTAGTACCACCCATCATTGCTTTTAGATTGTTGGCATTTTCATGTCCCGTTTGTTGTACCATGTCGAAAAATAATCCATCCTCATTGCCCATTAATATTGATGGTGAGTCGAATTCCTATTCGAAAAAGAAAAACTTAAATAAGAAAATAATTTTTTACAGCGTCACCCAATGAATAGAATTATTTTTTTTATTGATTATTCATTAATTTATTATTAATTAATTAATTCGTTACTAATTAATTAATCATTTAATTTAAAAATAATTAATTAATTTGTTGTTAATTATTGTTTTATTTGTTATTAATTAATTATTAATCCAAATGATATAACTTAATTTGTAAATAATTAATTATTACACAATTTGTTGTTAATTAATTATTAATCAATTTGAAATTAATTAATTATTAATCCATTTGTTATGAATTAATTATTAATCCATTTGTTATGAATTAATTTGTTAATAATTAATTATTAATTAATTTGTTATGAATTAATTTGTTAATAATTAATTTGTAATTAATTTGATATTAATTAATTATTCATTTATTTTTATTAATTAATTATTCATTTATTTTTATTAATTAATTATTCATCCAATTGTTATTAATTAATTATAACTTCATTTGTTATAAAATACTTTAGTAATAATTAATTTGTTAACTAACATTAGTTAGTTTGTTATTAATTTCTTATTAATATAGTTGTGATTAATTAATTATTAATCCATTTGTTATTAATTAAATTGTTATGGATTAATTTGGTAATAATTAATTATTAAACCATTTGTTATTAATTAATTATTAATCCATTTGTTATTAATTAAATTGTTATGGATTAATTTGGTAATAATTAATTATTAAACCATTTGTTATTAATTAATTATAAATTCATTTGTTATAAAATACTTTGGTAATAATTAATTTGTTATCTAACATTAGTTAGTTTGTTATTAATTTCTTAGTAATAGATTTGTAATTAAGTAATTATTAATCCATTTGTTATTAATTAATTTGTTAATAAATTATTAATTATTCTGTTAATAATTTTTTAATTAATTTGTTATTAATTAATTATTCTTTGATTTGTGATTAATTAATTATTAAACCATTTGTTATAAATTAATTAATTTGTTGTTAATTAATTAAGATATTTGTTATAAATTAGTTATTAATCTATTCATTATTTATTAACCAATGAACTAATAAATATGATTAATTAGTTTAAACAAAATTACATGAAAAAAAAATTGACAAATTAAAAAAATATTCAATGAAAAAAAGAAATGAAATATAATTACCACAATTTTTCCAGCATCTAAAACCATAATTCTATCACAATCCATAATGGTATTTAGACGATGTGCAATAATTAATACTGTACAATTTTCAAATCTTCTTCTTATTGTTGATTGAATTAGAAAATCAGTTTCCAAATCAACATTCGCCGTTGCCTCATCGAGAATGAGAATTTTATTATTTCTCACAATTGCACGTGCCAAACATAATAATTGTCGTTGACCCATACTAAAATTTGAACCACCATCCGATACATAACTATTTAAACCATTACCACTTGAACCAGTAATTGTTGTTTTTAATTCAACTTCTTCCAATGCTTGCCAAAGAATATCATCCGAATATTCATCAAATGGATCTAAATTTCTCCTCAATGTACCGGCAAACAATAATGGTTGTTGGGGAATAATACTAATTTTCGATCTCAAATCATGTAATCCTAAACAACTACTTGCCACACCATCGATAAAAATTTCACCTTCAACTGGTGACATTTGAAATAGCGCAGCAATTAATGACGATTTTCCAGCTCCAGTTCGTCCAACAATACCAATTTTCTCCTCTGCTCTCAGTGAAAAATTTAAATTCTCCAAAACATTCTTTCCATTCACATGATAGCGTAATGAAACATTTTTAAATTCAACACAACCTTTTTTGGGCCATCCATCACATGGTTTGCAACCTTCAGCACTCTCCAATGGTGGTTCTTGTTCAATATTACTGTACTCCAATATTCGTTCAACTGATGTCATTAGTGTTTCCGTTTCTGTTGTATTAAATATTGACCATGCGATTGTATCGGCAAGAATAATAATTTGTGTAATTATTAAACCAACATTTGCAATTGTACTCTCATTATTCATTAGGAGAAAAATGTATGCAACCGCTGCAATGTAAATACCAAAGACCAATTCAACATAGAGCTGAAGACATTGTGCACAACCGAGAAATATTGATGAACTGGAAGTATTGAGATCTAGATGTTTTTGGAATTCTTTGATAAGAAGATCCTCAGCGCCAAAGGCTCGTACGGATTCTAAACCTTGGAGTGTGTCTGAAAGATGACGGATGACGGGCGATTGAGCTGAAATTAATAATTTAATTAGCAGCGGTTTAAAGTGGGATTTTTGTGGAATTGCTAATTCAGTACCGAGTATGTCATCAGGACTATTAAGGACGGACTTAAGACTCTTCAGCCAAGAAAGGTTTGGAAAAAGTGTTCCCAAAAGCAAGAAAGCGGGAAAGGGACGCTTCTGGAACCCAAGCAACAAGGAATGAAACCCGAGGACAAGTCTCCGAATCTGATCAACATTGGAGGTTTAAAGCTGTTTTCGTCTACGAATATTATTAAAATTGGAGGTTTAAGCGTTTTAGTCTCCGAATCTGATTAATCTTGAAGGTTTAAGGCCGTTTTGGTGTCCGAATCTGATAAAGATTGGAAGTTTAAGCGGTTAATTCTCCGAATCTAATTAAGATTGGAGGTTTAAAGCTGTTTCCGTCTCCGAATATTATTAAAATTGGAGGTTTAAGCGTTCTAGTCTCCGAATCTGATTAATCTTGAAGGTTTAAGGCCGTTTTGGTTTCCGAATCTGATAAAGATTGGAAGTTTAAGCGGTTAATTCTCTGAATCTAATCAAGATTGGAGGTTTAAAGCTGTTTTCGTCTACGAATATTATTAAAATTGGAGGTTTAAGCGTTTTAGTCTCCGAATCTGATCAAGAATTTAGGTTTAAGGCCGTTGAAATCTCCGAATCTGATCAAGATTGGAGGTTTACTCGTTTTAGTCTCCGAATCTGATCAAGCTTGGAGGTTTAAGACCGTTTTAGCCTTCGAATCTGATCAAGCTCGGAGGTTTAAGGCCATTTTAATCTCCGAATCTAATCAAGCTTGAAGGTTTAAGACCCTTTTAGTCTTCGAATCTGATCAATATTGGAGGTTTAAGGCTTTAATCCTAAAAGTCTCCGAATAAAAAGTGGACTTACTAATTCCATCTAGACGTTTGATATTTCTACTCGTCCTGATGTAGACATGCAAAATCAGATACATGACAAAACCGGCAATAATTGTCGGTATCACCAGCCAGTAATTAAGAATAATTGTCATTCCAATAATCACCAATACTTGCATCCAGGAAATTTTTGTAAAATACAAACGAACCGGTAGTTCCTTATCAATCACTCCAATATCTTTGGAGAATCTGTAATCAAAATTATTCTAGGTTTTACACCAATAAATAATGTAGGTTTTACGTTACAAAATCAAAATTAAAAACACCTCAACTCACCGATTTAATATCCTGCCCGATGAATGATCATAAAAGAATCCCATTCTAGCTCGTACAATTCTTTCAAAAAGATTAAAATGCATCTTTTGCGATGATCTTTTGCACATTTTAGCAAAAGTAAAAATATAACTGTAAACGAGGATGATAAGTAGCAGTGTTAATCCTCCATAAATGCTAATGTATGGAATATTGTCACTAAATGATGCACTGCAAATAAATCTTGTTGTATCGTCTGAACATGATTGTTGTGCTTCAGCCCAACGGGCAATATAAAAATCACCACTTGAACTGATGATTTGTCGAAATATTGCCAAAAGAAAAACAATAATCACAAGACATGTGGATTGACTGGCTTTAAAATAGGAGATGTAGGATGTTTTTGAAACTTTGCCAATTGTTCGATGTTCGGCAACTTCCTCTTCCTGTTGATCGGATGAAAATTCTTGATAATTAATTTCCAATGGTTGAATGTCTTCTTCCTCTTGAGAAATTTGGAATCTATTTAAGGTGATTTTTCCTGATTGTAAATCATTACTGGTGCCTTCCTCCTGAATGTGACCATTCTCAAGGACATAGATATAATCAACTTGATTCAAATACTGAAGCTGATGAGTTACAAGAATGCAGGTTTTGTTCTTAAGAAAACTGCGAATACAATCGTTGAAGATGAGTCTTCCAACTCGGGCATCAACAGCTGATAGGGGATCATCTAGAAGGTAGATATCGGCATCAGCGTAAACTGCTCGAGCTAGGGCAATTCTTGCACGTTGACCACCACTTAAATTGATTCCTTTTTCACCGACAATTGTCTGATCCTTATGGGGAAATAGGGCAAAATCTCTTTCCAATTGGCAAACTTTAATTACATTTTCATAACGTTGCTTGTCCATTGGTTTGGCAAAGATGATATTTTGCCTTATGCTTGAGGAAAAAATCCATGGATCTTGACTAACGTAGGCAATTTGACCGACGGTTTTGACGATTCCCTTCATTACTGGTAGCTCTTGAAGAATTACTTGAAGCAAACTTGTTTTACCTGAACCAACTTGTCCAACAATTGCAACAAGACTGTTAAATTTTGCTGAAAAATTTATATTCTCCAGGGTGTTATCAATATTTTTTGATGACCATCTTGCTGATACGTTTTGTAATCTGACGCTTTCTCCGGAATTTTCTTGATGATGATGATTACTTTCAGTTACATTGTGAAAATGTTGAGTCTCCTTTTGTTCGAGAAATTTTTGTATTCTCTTCATTGACGCCAACCACATGCCTCCTCGTTGTAGTCCTGTAAGTCAATGTAAAAGCAGTTCAGTTGTGAATTGAGCTTAAGATTTTTTATTTTAATTGTAAATGACCCTTAATATTTTTGGAATCGTATTCTTGTAAATGTACCTTAACATTTGTTCAGTACAATTGTGAATGACCCTTAAACTGTTCGAAATCGAGTTCAATTGTGAATGAACCTTTATATTTTTTTTACTCCATGACAGAGTTTACTTGTGAATATTACTTAATATTTTTTACTCTATGGAGATAAAAATAAATGTTAAGTTCCATTCACATCTGAAATCAATTGCAAAGATATTAAGGGTCATTCACAATTGTACTGTCGAAACCTCAATGAATTTATAGCAATAAAGTGATAATCATAGAATAAATAAATGTTAAGCTCCATTCACAACTGAAATCGATTGCAAAAAAATTAAGGTTTATTCACAATTGTACTAAGAAAATGTGAAGGTTTATTCACAACAGAAATGGATTGCAAGCAGATTAAGGGTCATTCACAATTCAACTGAAAAATATTAAGGTTCATTCACAACTGAACTGGATTGAAAAAAGTTTAAGGGTCATTCACGAATGTTAAGCTCCATTCACAACTGTAGTTGATTGGAAAAAAAATTAAGGACCATTCACAAGAGAATAAATATAAAGGATCGTTCACAACAAAATTATTTTTTTTTCTCAAATAAATATTTAAAATTATTATAAAACTTACCAAATGGAAACATTGCATTCATATTATTTTGAATTGTATCAAAATACATTGTGAGAATAAATACGCTCTCGGCTGATAAATTTTTGTCAAATAAAACGCAAAACACTAAACTAACAAAAAGTGAGATTCTTGAATTAAAAATATAACACGATATTGCTGCAAATTTTGCCAACATTATCTTTGTTATTTCCGTCATTTCTTTCCTGTAAAAGAATATGAAAAAAAAGAATTATTATTTTTTACAATCATTTTTCCTCAAACGTAAACGCATTTTTTTGGTATTACGCGTATATTTTTTTTAATTCCTCCTCAATTTAATGTTTTATAATTGTTATAAAAAATTTTATTGGATTTAAAAAAAAATTACTGATTAAAGAATGATAAAAAAAAGAATATTATAATTAATGTAAATTCTTACGCTCTTACGATGTCAACAAGAGTGAGGAAAGATTTTTCCCAGGCAAACATTTTAATTATTTGTATTCCGCTTACAGTTTCATTTGTCAATGAAAGTCTTTTATCTGTTTCTGCAGCTGCTTTTAGAGAGAGACGCGGTACAATTTTTGCTAAATATCCTAAAAAATTATTAATATTTTGTTTATTGGGAATTTTTTTAAAAAATTTTTATTTGCAATTAGAAATTTATAATTTATTAATGAATTAAACCACCAATTAGTTAATTTACAAAATAATTTGTTTCTAAATTAATTCATGTTTTAATAAATTAATTAACTAATAAATTGAATAGTCAATAAACAAATTAACTAATTAATTAAATAGTAATAAAAAAAATTAACAAATTAATTAAATAGTCAATAAACAAATTAACTAATAAATAAAATGGTTAACAAAACAAATTAACTAATTAATTAAATATTTAATAAACAAATATACTAATTAATGAAATAGTTAATAAACAAATAAATTAATTATTGAAATTGTTAATAAACAAATTAAATAATTAATAAATAAATTAACTTACTAATTAAACACTAAATTTACTAGCAAATTGTAAATTATTTAAATAGTTAATTAATAAATTAATTAACTAATTAATTAAAAATTAATTGTTTATTTATAAATATTAAATTTTTTTTACCTTGTATTGGAATTGTAATGAAAAAAACGATAATTCCCGCTACAGCAGTGAGACTAATATTTTTGTAAATTAAATATGCAATTAATAGAGTTTGAACTGGACCAATCCATATATAATTAATACAGGCAAGCACCTCAGTAATGCATTTTGTATCATTATTCAAATGATTAATAATCTACATTGTTTATAAAAAAAATATTGTTTATTAATTTTAATTTATTTATTGATATTTTATTTATAAAATTAATTATTTATTAAAATCAATTAATTATTTATGAGAATTCATTTAAATAACATTAAAAAATAATTAATTAATTTTTAATTTTAAATAATAATAATTAAATAATACTTTAAAAATCTATAAACATTATATTTAATAAATAATTCAAATTGTCAATAATATTTGGAATTAATTATTAATTTAATTTATTTATGATTAATTAATTTATATTTAACTACTAATAAAATAATTAAATTAATAATTTATGTAATTAATAAATAACATTTAAATGTTTAATTATTAATTAGTAATTATTTAATTAAAAAAAATTTATTTGGTTTAATAAAATATATTGTTTAAAAATTAAATTAAAGTAATAATGAAAATAAAATAATTTTTTTAATAATAATAAATAAATTGCCAAAATACCTGTCCAACTGTTGTTTCAGATTCGAAGGCAGTTTTTGAAAGTTTCAAAACTTTATTATAAATTAATGACGAGCATGCGACTCTTATTTTTATCTCTAAATACAGCATATTACTCCAAATTTGCGTTTCAAAAAATGCTTGTAACAAAAGATTGAAAACAAGTCCAGCTATCCAAAAATAAATGTCATTTCCGGAAACTTCATTTTTTCCATTAAAATAACTTAAAACATTGCCAAGAATAATTGGCTTTGATATTCTGTGAAAAGTAATTAATTTGTTTTTAATTAATTATTAGATAGTTTGTAATTAATTAATTATTTATTAATTTCTGTTATAATTATTAACTACTTAATTTGTTATTAATAATTTGTTACTAATTAATTAATTATATAATTAATTTGTTGTTAATTATTTTCTTATTAATTAATTAATTAATAAATTAATTATCAATATGTTATTAATTACTTTCTTATTAATTTGTTATAAATTAATTATCAATTTGTTATTAATAAATAATTATCAATTTGTTATCAATTACTTTCTTATGAATTTGTTATTAACTAATTATTAATCATTGTCCAATTAATTAATTAATAGTTGATTTGTTATTAATTTGTTATAAATTAATTATTTATAAATTTGTTATTAATTATTTATTAATCGTTGTCTAATTAATTAATTATTAGTTAATTTGTTATTAATTTGTTATTAGTTAATTTGTTATAAATTAATTTATACATTTGTTATTAATTAATTAGTAAAATTGTTAATAATTAATTTTTAGTTAATTTGTTATTAAATAAATATTTATCGAATTGTTATTAATTAATTAATAAACTAATAAATGTGAATACTTAGTTGAAAAATAAATTTAATTACTTTACTACGAATTCTTTCAAAATTTGAATAAATGTCCAAAATAAAAATTGTGGCAAAAAACAATTAACAAGCACTTTAAACAAAATTGGGCCATTTTTTCCTTTTTTCTTCAACTTAATTTTCTCATTGTTCCAAAATTTTGCCACTTTTTCACTAATTAAATGCGATGAGTGCTCAACAAGTGGTGAGGGAAGATCTGATTCTTGTAATTCCTTACGATAGCCTCTGATAAATGTTTTAAAAAGCCAACCGAAGACAAAAAAAATTTTTTTGAATAAAAAATAAAAAAAAATAAAATTAAACAAAATAAAAAAAAAATATTAAAAAAAATTTTTCTACAAATAAAAATTTAATATCAATCTTTTTTATTCGCTAAATAAAATTGACAACAATTTGTTATTAATATGGAAAATTCTTGAAAAAAAAATTAAATTGAAAAATGTTTCAAAATTTAAAAAAAATTTTAAAAATTAAAATGAAAATTATTAAAAATGTGAAAAATTATTTTTTAAACTTACGCAAATGTAATTTTCGATAGAAAATTTGGATTTTTTCGAATTTTCTTAAATGTATTTGTATTTTGTTGGTCCATTTTTTTAATGTATCACTATTTTTTTTTATTCTTAGCTGACAAAAAATTAATTGTACATAAAATTTTACTATTGTATTTATTTTTATTTTACTATTATTAGAATAATAATTTTATTTAATTTTAATTTTTTTTTTTTAAATACTGAACTGTTTCAAACTAAGTACAATTAAGATTTGACAAATTTTTTGCACAATGTTCATGAATACATTGTCCTTTTATCTTTTTAAGTGTAATGCAATTTAATTTCATAGATTTTGATAAGATAAGAAAATTGTCACATTCCTCCTTTTTAAATCACTTTTAATAATCTTCTCACAATAATAATTTTATTATACAATTGGGGAAAAAGGAAATGAAAATCAAAAACTATGTGTAATTAACTCAAAAAAAAAAAATAATAATAATTTTTTTTCACACAATGATTTATATATATATCAATTCTTTAAAATACAAATAATTCCCTAAAAAAAGGTAAAATGTATTTTAATAAAACAAAAATCTATTTATTTATTTATATATTAATAGACGAAAAAAAATATATTTATATATGTATGTTTCATTATATCACAATTGTTTCACATAACAAGTAAAAGTAGGAAAAAAAAAATTTGAAATTTTATTTATATGTATATATTTATATTAAAAATTGACTATTTTGTTTATTTTTTTTTTTTTTAAATAACCCTACAAAAGTAAGGCACATTTTGAAACTAATAGAAAAAAATGTTTTTTTTTCTTCTTTTTAAGATTTAATCTCAGTTTTGGTATTTTTTTTTTTTTTAAACAAGTATTTTTTTTTATCACGTTTGAATATTTTAAAAAATAAAACATTTTGCTAGTAAGCATTTTCTTTTTTCTTAAATTAATAAAATATTTTTAAATTATGATTTATTAAGTTTAATTGTATTATAAGAAGCTTCGGCCATTTTTGTGAGTACTAGTGCCATTTCGGGTCCAGTATGTTGAACCATTTCGTGTAAGTAACCTTCTTCTTTTTGTAGTAATAAGTATGGATGATCAAATTCCTGTAATTAGATAAAAAAAGAAAAAAAAAATATAATTAATTTCTAAGAATATTAACAAAGAATGTAAAAAAAAATTCGCCATTTTAAAATACAAAATTTCGTATTTTAAAAAACTAATATCAAATTCGTAATCAGCGACCCCAAAAACCCCCGAGTAAAAAATTTTTAAACGAATTTGAGAAATTTTTATATTTTTAGTCGCCATTTTGTATCCGCCATTTTGAATTTTGAAAAAGTCACAACGAATTCCTGATTAGCGACCCCAAAAACCCCGTAGAAACAATTTTCAAACGAATTTAAGCGATTTTAACATTTTTGGTCGCCATTTTGCATCCGACATTTTGAATTTTGAAAAAATAACATCAAATTCGTAATCAGCAATTCCAAAAACCCCCTAGAAACAATTTTCAAACGAATTTAAGCGATTTTAACATTTTTTGGTCGCCATTTTGCATCCGACATTTTGAATTTTAAAAAACTGACATCAAATTCGTAAACAGCGACCTTGAAAACCCCCTAATAGCTATTTGGAAACGATTTTGAGCGATTTTTCGATTTGTCGAGCGCCATTTTGGATCCGCCATTTTGAATTTTGAAAAACTAACATTAAATTCGTAATCAGCGACCCCAAAAACCCCCGAGAGACAATTTTGAATCAAATTTAATCGGTTTTTGATTTTTTTTGCCGCCATTTTAGATCTGCCATTTTAAATTTTGAAAAATTATCATCAAATTCATATTCAGCGACCTTGAAAAACCGTAATGCGATTTTGAAATTTTTCGAACGCTATTTTTGATCTGACATTCGTTTTAAAATCGTTACTAGGGAGTTTTCGGTGTAACAGATAACAAATTTGATATAAAAATTGGAAAATTCAAAATGGCAGATCCAAAATGGCGTTGAAAAATATAAAATTTACTCAAAATCGTTTCAAATTCGGTATTAAAGGGTTTGTGAGATCGCTGATTACGAATTTGGTGTTTGTTTTTTAAAATTCAAAATGGTTGATCCAAAATGGCGTTCCTAAATCTAAAAATCGCTCAAAATCGTTTCAAAATCGCTACTAGGGGGTTTTCAAGGACTCTAATATCGAATTTGATGTTAATTTTCCAAAATTCAAAATGTCGATTTCAAAATGGCAACCAAAAAAAATCTAAAAATCGCTCAAAATCGTTTAAAAATCATTTTACGGGGGTTTTTGGGGTCGTTTATGACATATTTGATGTCAGTTTTCCATAATTAAAAATGGCGGATGCAAAATGTCGACCAATATTTTTAAAAATCGCTCACATTCGAGTAACAATTTTTAAACAAATCTGATCAATGTTTAGATTTTTTTTGACTCCATTTTGGATTCGCCATTTTGAATTTTGCAAAACTAAAATCAAATTTACTAATAACAAGTTATAAATCAAAATTTTAAATAAATTGGTTTATTTTTTTGTTTTGCAATAACAAATAAAATAGATATATACTCACCACCATGTGACCAGCATCCATAACAATAAATTTATCGCAATCCATGACAGTATTTAATCGATGAGCAATAATAAAAACAGTACAATTCTCAAATCTTTTTCTTATTGTTTTTTGTATCAATCCATCGGTTTGTGGATCAACATTTGCTGTCGCTTCATCGAGTACCAAAATTTTATTCTTTCTAACAATAGCCCTTGCCAAACACAACAATTGTCTTTGACCAATACTAAAATTAGCCCCACCATCTGATACTTTACCATAGAGGCCAGAATCAACAACAGCTTGTTTTAATTCAACTTCATCCAATGAATCCCAAATTTCATCATCCGTATATTCTTCAAATGGATCTAAATTCTCTCTAAGTGTACCGGCAAACAATAATGGCTCCTGTGGTATGATACTAATTTTTGAACGTAAATCATGTAAACCCAATTTACTTATTCCAATTCCATCGATATAAATTTCACCCTCCATATATGATAAACGAAATAGTGCATTAATTAATGATGATTTACCAGCGCCAGTTCGTCCAACAATGCCAATTTTTTCCGTTGGTTTCACAACAAAACTCAAATGTTTTAATACCAAATCACCACCGTGTGTATAACTCAGACAAACATTACGAAATTCAACACGACCCATATCGGGCCAAATTGATGGTGGTTTATTTTCATCTGAACTCTCCAATGATGGTTCCTTAGGTATTTTTGTGTATTCCATTATTCTCTCAACGGCTGTCATTTGATTTTCAAGCTCCGCTGTTTGTACAATACCCCATTGAAGCATACCGGCCAACATTGTTGTTTGTGTTATGATGAGTCCAACTTTACCAACAGTATCACCGTCAGACAAAACGAGGAATGAATAAATTACAAGTGCAACATACATATTGCAAATCAATTCTAAATAGTAGCCAAATGCTCTTGAACACGAGAAGAATAGATACCAACTTGCTGAGTGGACATCTTGATGATTATCAAATTCTTTTGTTAATAATTGTTGTGCTCTGAAGGCTCTTATTGTTGTTAGGCCGTTGAGTGTTGCGCTTAAGTGGCTGAAGACTGGTGATCGTGCTATTGGTGAAAGGAAGGAAGGAAAGAATTTAGAATTTTTAATACTTCAAATTTTAATGCTTCAAATTTTAATGCTTACTTATTCCTTCAAGACGTTTGACACTTCTGCTTGTTTTGATGTAAATCGCTTTCAAAAAGTAGAAAATTATTGCAATGCAAACTGTTGGAATGATCAGCCAGTAATTGATACTGAATGTCATTGTTAGGACTGCAATTAGAAAGGCAGCAATTTCCAAAACGTCATTGAGACTAAAGGGTAAGTACTTGTCCACTTGGCCTATGTCCTTTGAAAATCTGCAAATTTTGGTAGTATTAACGTACCGTTTTTTGGATACTGCTAAACAAAACGTTTTGTTTTGGATGCTACGGATTGTAACCTAAACAAACTGTTCTGTTCCGGATGATCCAGATGGTAATCCAAACAAAACCCTTTGTTTCTGATTCTACGGATAGTAACATATACAAAACGTTTTGCTTCAGATGATCCAAATGGTATCCTAAACGAATCGTTTTGTTTCGGATGATCCAGATAGTAACCAAAACAAACCGTTTTGTTTCGGATGATGAAAATGGTATGCTAAACAAAGCGTTTTGCTTCTGATGCTAAAGATAGTAACCTAAACAAAACGTTTTGCTTCGGATGGTAACCCAAACAAAACCCTTTGTTTCTGATGATACGAAGGGTAACCTAAGTAAAATGTTTTATTTTTGGATGATCAAGATGGTATCCTAAACAATACGTTTTGCTTCGGGATGATACGGATAGTAACCTAGACAAAACGGTTTATTTTGGATGATCCGGATGGTACCCTAAAAAATCCATTTTGTTTTTGATGATACAGACTGTATCCTAAACGAACCGTTTTGCTTCTGATGGGTACGGATAGTAATCTAAACAAACCGTTTTGTTTCTGATAATTCAGATAGTAAGCCAAAAAAAACCCTTCGCTTCTGCTAATACTGACAGTATTCTAGCAAAAAAAATTTAGTTCAGATTATCTGGATCCAAAACGGTTTTGTTTAGGGTACTATTAATACTATACTAACCAAAAATTTTGCCATAAATACCATAGTTGGTATTCTAATAAACCTTATTAAGGAACGATTTTAATTGTTAGGCTACATATGCTCTGCTTTAGATGATGGTACCGTTAAAACAAAACGTTTTGTCAAAATACTTCCAAAATTATTAGCAACCAAACGTAATTGTTCTTTTGTACTGTCAAAATCATTCAGAAACAAATTGTTCCGTTGAAACACCGTTAAAATCATCCGAAACAAAACAATTTTTCTACAACACTGTCGAAAATCAAATGTTTTGTTGAATTTCATTCAGATCATCCAAAACAAAACGTTTTTATTAGAGCATTATTAAAATCAGTTTGTTTCGGATGATCCGTATGAAATCCAACAAACATTTGATTTTTGACATTGTTCTAGCAAAATCGTTTTGTTTCTAATGATTTTGAAAGTATTCCAATAGAAAATTTTCATTCCAATAATCCCAGAGCTATTCCAACAATTTCAATTAATACTGATTCCAATCCCTAAAATATAAAAAAAAAAAATTACAAAAACTCACCTATTCATAATCCTTCCACTTGGATTTGTATGAAAGAACGACATTGTAGCACGTAAAATATTATAAAACATATTCGAATGTAAATTTCTCGACGATCGCAAGCACATATCAAAATAAAGTAATGACTTTAAATAAACAATAATAACAGCACCTCCAATTAGACCACTATAAATATAAATATAAAAATTCCTCTCACTCGTTGGCAGTGGCAATATCGTTGTATTCACTTTCATTTCTTGTGTCTCGGCGTCAACCCATTTTGATAAAAGAAAATCCGAACCACTCAACATTATTTGACATAAAATAAGAATTCCAAATACAAGTGCAACAATCCAATAATTTCCCACTGCTTTAAAATAAGCTCCATAAACTTTATGCGATATTTTACCAAATGTACGATGTTCAGCAATTTCTTCACGTTCCTCCTCTGATGTAATATCCTCGGCAATTGTATCATTAATAATTGACATTTCCTTATTGTCATCCTTCTCTTTTTCCTCCTCTTCAGTTGCTTGCAGTACTGACAAAAAATCTAATTCTGATTTTTTTAATTCCTGAAATGTTCCACTTATTTGAACACTTCCATTATTTAAAATATAAACATTATCAGCGGAATTAATGAATTGTAATTGATGTGTTACTAAAATACGTGTTTTTCCCTTGAGATATTTACAAATACATTTTTCAAATAATGAACGTCCAACGTGTGTATCAACAGCTGACAATGGATCATCAAGTAAATAGACATCGGCTTCGGAATAAACGGCACGTGCTAAATTTATTCTTGCACGTTGACCACCACTTAAATTAATACCTTTTTCACCGATAATTGTTTGATCCTTATGTGGAAACATCATAAAATCAGTTTCCAATTGACAAACACGAATTACTTTATCGTAACGTTTTTTATCCATTGGCGAACCAAAGAGAATATTTTGCCTAATGCTTGATGCAAATATCCATGGTTCTTGACTAACATAAACAACTTTTCCTTGAACATGAAGATTACCCGATGTTAATGGTAATTCTTTGAGTATTGCATGAAATAAACTTGTTTTTCCTGAACCAACTTGTCCAACAACGGCGGTTAATGCACCGCGTTTAGCTGTAAAATTAATTGACTTTAAATTTAATTCCGTGGATGATTGTTCCCATTTTGCTGAGGCATTTTGTAAATTGACAACTATTTGTGAATTGTTATTGACTAATGTCATTCCATTTGTTATTGGGAAATTTTCATTTTTTTTATCGTCAATTTTATTATTGTCCATTGTTAAATTATTTGCGTCCAATGTTAATACAATGTCTTTATTATTTGCAAGATAACCATTATTACTATTTGCCAAATCATCGAGAAGGGATTGTTGAATTTCTTCTAATTCCATAAATTCTTCAATACGTTTTATTGACGCAAGGGCTTTAGCTAATCGTTGAATTCCTGAAATGGATAAATAAAAATTATTTGAAGTGCAGTATATTGAAGTGTGTTGAAATGAAGTTTAATGTATTGAAGTGTATTGAATTGTAGTGAAGTGTATTTTAGAGTATTGAAGTGAATTGAAGTGTATATAAGAGTAATGAAGTGTAGTGAAGTGTGTAATATTGAAGTGAAGTTTATTAAAGTGTGATGAAGTGAAGTGTCGTGAAGTGCATATAAGAGTACTGAAGTGTGATATATTGAAGTGGAGTTTATTGAAGTGTGTTGAAGTGAAGTATCGTGAAGAGTTTTTAAGAGTACTGAAGTGCAGTGAAGTGAAATGTATTAAAGTGTGATATATTGAACTGTAAGAAAATGCATTTAAGAGTAGGAAAGTGTATCCAAGTGTAATGTAGCGAAGGGAAAAGTAGTGAAGTGTGATATATTTAATTGAAGTGTAATGTACTGAAGTATAGTGATCTTTAATTACAAACAATGAAGAGTATCCAAATATAGTGAAGTGTGTTAAAGTAAAGTGTAATAAACTGAAGTGTAGTAAATAATATTTAAGGGTAGTGAAGTGTAGTGAAGTGAAATGTATTAAAGTGTGATATCTTGAAGTGTGTTGAAATAAAATGAAATGTATTAAAGTGTAGTGAAGTGTATTTAAGATAAGTGAAGTGCGAAATATTGAAGTAAAGTGTATTGAATTGTATATAAGAGTAGTGAAGTGTAGTGAAGTGAAATATAGTGAAGTGTATATTGTGGGGAAGTTTATTGAATTGCATTATAGTATATTGATGTGTACTGAATTGATTTAAAGTGTAGTGAAGTGTAACGTAGTAAAGTGTAACGTAGTAAAGTGTTTGAATTGTAGCGAAGTGAGTTGAAGTGAAATGTATTGTATTGAAATGAAGTAAATAATATTGAGGAGTAATGAAGCACAGTGAAGTAAAATGTAGTAAAGTGAATTTAAGAGTAGCAAAGTGTAGTGAAGTGTGATATATTTTGAAGTGTGATCTAGTTAATTGTTTGAATTGTAGTGAAGTGTATTAAAGATTGTTGAAGAGAAGTATATTTAGGAGTATTAAAGTGTAGTAAAATACAATGTAGTTCAATGTGACGTTGAAGTGTGCTGAAGTGTAATGTAATGTGTAAAGAGTATTCAACTGTAGTGAAGTGTGTTGAAGTGTGTTGAAGTGTGTTGTAGTGATGTGAAATTTATTGTACTGATGTGAAAAATATTTAAGATTAGTGAAGTGAAATATAATTTATTAAAGTGTAGTGAAGTGAAATGTAATGAAATGGAATGTAATGAAGTGTATATTGAAGTAAAGAGCATTTAAACTGAAGAGTATTTTAAAATGTAATGAAGTATAATGCATAAATGGATTTTAAGTGAAGTGTATTATAGTATAGTGAAGTGTGTTGAAGTGAAATGAAATGTAATTTTTTGAAGCGAATTGAAAATTATTTAAGAGTAGTGCAGTTCCGTGAAGTGAAATGTAATTTATTAACGTGTAGTGAAGTGTATTTAAAAATAGTGAAGTGTAGTAAATTTAAATGCAGTGAAGTGTGATACATTGAAGTGAAGTGAAGTGAAGTGAAGTGAAAATTTTGCAACCACAATAAAATTATTAAAAACGCAAAAAAATTCTGTATTGGCCGAAAAAAATTCGTATTTAAACCTGAAAAATATGAAAATTTTGTCAAACTCACCTAAGGGAAAAGCAATGCTCATTGAGTATCGCATTTCATTGTAAAATGCAGCAATCATAAAAACTTTTTCTGCAACAATTGCATTTCCAAGTAATGCGTACGTTAAAATTGTTACATAAACACAAAGTCTTGGGGCATAAGACTCAAAGGCCATTGCAAATGCATCAATAAAATAATTTTTTCTAATTGCGCTTACTTCTTTTCTGCAAATTAAAAAAAAAGATTTTCAATAATTTTGCCAAAAAAAACTATCTTTATTGATAGAAATATAAAAAATAAAAAATCTTTTTTTTTTTCCTCTTACAATCTAGCCTTGTCAACAAGATGAGAAAATGGTTTTTCCCAGGCGTACATTTTTATCACTTGTACACCGCCAATAATTTCATTCATTAATCGAAGTCTCTTGTCAGTTCGATAGGCAGATTGCATTGCCAATTTTGGTACAAATTTTCCAAGTAATCCTTTGAAAAGAAATTGAATATTTTTTTTTTTTGTATTAATTTTTCAAATATTATTATATTTATTTATTTTTATTTAGAGTAAAATAAGATTTTTTTTTTAAAAAAAAGGGAAATATACCTTGAAGTGGAATGATAAGAACATACAATGCAATGCCAGTCAAAGCTGGTAATTCAATTTGAATAAAAATAATATAGGCAATTATTATTAACATAATTGGCGACATCCAAATATAATGGAAGAAGGGTAATGCATAATCCAATGAATTCACATCGTTTGTAAGTAAATTCACTATCTGTGTGAGAGAGAGAGAGAAAAAAAAGAAAAATTACCACAAAAAACAGATTTAAAAAAATTTTATTTTTATAATCAAAAAAAAAAAAAAAATGGAAGAAAAAAATTTTTTTTATGTACCTGTCCAGCACTTGAACAAGCTTCAGCTGATTTGGAAGTTCTGAGGACTTTCCTGTAAATTAAAGAGCAACAGGAGACTCTTATTTTCATTCCTAAATGAAGCATAGAATGTACTGAGAGATGAAAAAATGGACTTCTCAATGCAAATAGAAAAGTAAATAGTCCTGCCCAATAGTATGCTTCTGTTTTTGTTACTGTGCCAGTGCCATTAAAATATTGTAAAATTTTGCCTAATATTATTGGTTGTGGTATTCTGAAATATAAGAAATAAATAAGTATTTACAAAATTTTTATTCTTTTTTTTTTAAACAATCAAAATTTCAGCGGACTTCAATCCATTAAAAGTCCACTAAAATGTTTGATTTAAAACAAATATGGACATTTTAATATTCTTTTTGAACAACCGAAATTTCAACGGATTTCAGTCCGCTGAAATTCTGGTTATTCAAAAAGAATATTAAGTTTTCTATGTTTTTTTTTTTTGAATCGTCAGATTTTCAGCGGACATTCAGTGGTCTTTCAGAGGATTTTCAGCTGACTTCTAGCGGATCGACGTCCGCTGAAATTCTGCTGATTTAAAATAAATAAAGACAACTTAATATTCTTTTTGAACTACCACAATTTTAGCGGACATTTAGCGGAATTGAATTAGCTAAAAGTCCGCTGAAAATCAGCTGAAATTCTAGTTGTTTAAAAAGAATATTGAGTTGTGTATGTTTGTTTTAAATTACCAGACTTTCAGCGGATTTTCAGCGGACTTTTAGCGGATCGATGTCCGCTGAATATCCGCTAAAAGTCCGCTGAAAGTCCGGTTGTACATATAAAATATAAAAAATTTCTATGTTTGTTTTGAATCACCAGACTTTCGGCGGATTTTCAGCGGACTTTTAGCGGATTAAAGTCCGATGAAAGTCGGCTGAGAATCTTATTGTTCAAAGAAATATTAGGATGCCTATATGTTTGTTTTTGAATAACAAGACTTTCAGCGAACTTTTAGCCAATTTTCAGCAGATATTTAGCGGACTTTTAGCGAATCGAAGTCCGCTGAAATTCTGGTTATTCAAAAAGAATATTAAGTTTTCTATGTTTTTTTTTTTGAATCGTCAGATTTTCAGCGGACATTCAGTGGTCTTTCAGCGGATTTTCAGCTGACTTCTAGCGGATCGACGTCCGCTGAATATCCGCTGAAATTCTGCTGATTTAAAACAAATAAAGACAATTTAATATTCTTTTTGAACAATTAGAATTTCAGCGGAATTTCAGTGGGCTTTCAGCGGATTTTTAGCGGACTTTTAGCGGATCGAAATCCGCTGAAAATCTGCTGATAATCTGATTGCTCATAAAAACTAGAAAGATGTGTTTTTTTTTTTTTTATTCGAACAATTAAACTTTCAGCTGATTTTCATCTGACTTTTAGCAGATTTAAGTCCGCTGAATGTCAGGTTGTTAAAAAAAAATCTTAATGTCTTGAAACACTTATTTTTACTTACGTTAAAATAAATTCTAATATAAATTGTACTATTCCAACGACTATGATATTTGTTCCAAAACATTTTGCTAAACTTTTCCATAATTTTGGTTTTGTTTTTTTCTTTCCTTTTTTACATTTATTTGAATCATACTGCCACTGTTTCTCCAATTTATCACCAATAATTTGACTCGCATGGGAATCGAGCGGTGAAAATAAATCCGTTTGCTCCAATTCTCTCTTGCAACCAATTTTAAAGGTTTTCCAGAGCCATCTGCAAAAAATTTTATTTGTTGTAATTATTTTAGTATTTTTTTCTGTTTTGTTAATACAGTATAAATTTTTTTTTTAATAAAGTAAAAAAATTTTTTTTTTTATTTTTAATTAATATAATTTTTTTTTGTATTATACAAAATTGTATTAAAATTATATTATAGAAAAAAATTTTTTTTTGTATTTAGTTGATAAAGTAGAAAAATATTTTTTACTGTTAAAAAATTAGTTACTTAAAAGTTACTTATTTAAATATAGTAAAAAATATTTTTAAATATAAATGTTTAGAAAAAAAAAATTACAAAATTTTATTTTTTGAAAATTTTTTTTTTTTTTTTTTTTTTTTTTTTTTTTTATTTCAGGAAAAGTTATTTTTACACACCAACACTAAAATAAAGGTGTTTATAAGTGTTTTTTTCTCTTTTATATATGTATAGATAATGATAAAATACTTCTCTTAAAGGTTATAGATAATTGAGTAGAATGCCTGACATAATTAATGATTCCTACTTAAGGCTAAAGACCTAACAATTTCCTCTTTGTATAAATATATATGTAAAAAAAAAAAAAAAAAAAAAAAAAAATTCGAGTAAAATTCACTATAATTTTCCACAGAATCCAAAATTGCAGCAATATTTCTACAATTTTTTGCAATATTTCTGCAATATATTTCTGCAATGTTCGATATATTCAGGAAATATTGCCAATTTAGGGAACTGTGTGGGAAGTATATAATATAGTAAAATATATTATAATATAATATAATAATAATAATAACAAAAATTATATTTTATTATATTATATTATATTATATTATATTATATTATATTATATTATATTATATTATATTATATTATATTATATTATATTATATTATATTATATTATATTATATTTTGTCATTGTTTCTAAAATGATAAAATATTAACAAAATTCCTAATAAACTTTCATCATGCAATATTGCGTAAATTATAAAAATGTAATTATCATTAAATGTGTCAGAAGTTCTTGATCAAAAGTTATACAAATGCGGGGAAAAATAATGTAAACAAAAAAAATGTCTCATTTCCTGAGACACTCATATATGTCATGAGAAAACAAATAACACTATTTTCAAAATTATCAGCAAATTTGTAAACATAGATTTCTAAATTTTCATTTTATCTTTGCCTAAATATAATATATGGGTGTATAATCGTTATAATATATGTAAAAAAATTTTTTTTTAAAAATTCTTCTTGTTTTTAAAATTAATTAAACAAACATAACAAAAAAAAAAAAAAAAAAAAAAAAAAAAAATTAAAAACAGTTACGAAAATAAAAATTATAATTTATGATATTTGGTGTTTTTTTTCATTTGTTTTTCCATATTATAATGAAGTATATTATTTTTGTTAAATTTTTATTTTAAAAATTTTTAAATTTTTCATTTCTAATTCTAAATTCTTAGTTCCAAATTTGGAATATATAATATAATATATTATAATATAATATAATATAATATAATATAATATAATATAATATAATATAATATAATTTTAGTTACATTATTATTATTTTTTTTTTATTTGAAAAAAAATCCTATTGAAAAAATTAATTGATATTTATGTCTATATTGTAGGAAGATAATAATTATTGCACAATGTCTATAAAATTTGCAAAAGCATCTTGAAATCTTATGCAAGACACTTATAGATTTTAAATAAAAAAAAAAAAAAAAAAAAAACTATAACCAGTAAAAAAAATTTACAAAAGTCATTAATAATATTTAAAAATAAACACTAGACAAAGCTTTGTTCATATATTGAAATTTTTTTTTTATTGTATTTTTAAAAATGCAAATTATAAATATAATAAATAATAATATTATAATAAAAAAAAAAATAATTTTCTCTTACGCAAATGATAAAATTGACAATGGATTGGCTCCTTCACGGGGATTTCTTGCTTCTCTTTTTTCATTTTTGTTCATTTTTTTTTTTTGTTCCCTCACAAGCAGCAAAAAAAAAAGGAAAATAAAAAAAAAAGTATAAACTATAAAATACTGATCACTGATTTTTTTCTGATTTTTCACACACTAAGAAAATTAAAACCCTTTCTTTTCCATGAGCACTCACTGTATATATTTATTTAATGACTATTATATTTTGTTTCCTGCTAAAATTTCAACAAAAAAAAAAAAAATTGTTTCTTTCTTTTTTTTTTTTTTAATATAAAAACACTTAAAATATCTTTATCACATTAGATGAATAATTGTTCATTATTAAGAGCACCATTGTGTAATACTGTCAATATATAGATATATCTATAGAGTATGGGTAAAAAAAACACGAGAACAATGAAATCAATTGTTTGAAATCGAAAAAAAAGGGGTATAATAAATAAAAAATTTATATGAAATTTCTTTGGAACAGTAAATTCTACAAAAAAAAGAGAGGTGAAATTTTTTTTTCAAAAATAACTGATAAAAATGAAAAAAATTTTTTTTTTTGTTAAATTTCTTTCTTTTCTTTTCATTTGTTTAAATATATATATATATAAATATGTGAGTTTGCCGGTTTCTTATGCGGTAGTTCAGTCAATATATATATATATATATAATACTGTCGACTCACGTATAGAAATTTACCAACTAAAGCCAAGTCTAAATAACCGTCAGCTGAGCTGCGGGTTGTATTGCTCATACACACTGTATTTCTATATACATATTCCATTCCCCCATTTGCAAGGTTGCCACATTTTCAACAGTAAATATATATATATATATATATATATTATTCTGAGAAAAAAATTAAAAACAAAATGACAAACCAAAAATTTCATATTATTGCACAAGAAAAAAAAATTTCTTTTCGTTTTTTCATTTTTTGTGTCTAAAAAATTTTTCTTTCATTCATTTTATTACTGTTATTTTACTATTATTATTACTGTAGTACACTTCATTTCACTTCAATACACTTCATTTCACTTCAACACACTTCAATACACTTCATTTCACTTCAACACACTTCAACACACTTCAATAACCTTCAATATTCTCTAATACTTCAATTATATTTCACTACATTTCAATACACTTCAGTATAATACACTTCCCTACCATGCATTTCACTTCACTATAGTTAGGTTGACTACACTTCTTCTCACTTTAATACACTTTACATTATACTATACTTGAATACACTTGAATTCTATAAACTTCAATACACCACACTTCATTTTACTTTAAGACACTTTGATACGTAACACTTTATACACTTCATCTTAATAAACTTCACTGGAATTTACTATAGTTCAAAACCCTTATATTTGTCTTTAACATATTTTAAATAACATCAATACATTACACTTCAATACACCTCAGTTTAATACACTTCACTTTAATACACTTCACTTTAATACACTTCACTACATTACATTGGACTTTAATACACTTCACTAAATTTCACTTCATTACATTACGCTTCATTATACTGCAATTTAATACACTTAACTACATTTTACTTCATTGAATTAAACTTCACTTCATTTCAATTAAATACACTTTAATGCAATACACTTCACTATATTTAACTTCACTACTTTTCAATTTAATACACTTAACTTTATTACACTTCATTACATTAAACTTCACTTCAATACACTTTACGTTACTACACTTCACTTCACTTCAGTTCAATACACTTTACTTTAATTCACTTCACTTCAATAAATTTTAATATATTTCACTACATTACATTATACTTTGATACATTTCACTACATTCACTTCATTACATTGCACTTTACTACATTTTAATTTAATACACTCACTTCATCTCACTTCAATACATTTTACACTATACTACACTTGAATACACTTCAATAGATTACGCTTTTATACACTTTAGTTTCATAAATTTCACTGGAATTCACTACACTTTATTTTTTTTAACACACTTCAATTCAATACAATTATATTTCACTACACTTCAGTTTACTGCTCTTCATTTCAATTTAATATATTTCACAATATACTATACTTGAATACATTTGAGTAGAATACTCCATACTTCATATAACATCAACACACTTCAATACATTACACTTCAATACATCCCATTTTTATTAAAATTAACTGGAATTCACTACACTACACTTTATTTGTCTTTAACAGATTTTAATTCTCGTCAATACGTTTCACTTTACTACACTTCAATACACTTCAGTTCAATACTCTTCACTACATTATATTACACTTTGATACACTTCATTACATTACACTTCACTACATTTCATTTCATTGTATTGCACTTCACTACACTTCAATTTAATACATTTCACTTTAGTTCACTTCAATTCACTTCAATTCACTTTAATACACTTCACTACATTACATTACACTTTCATAAACTTCACTACACTTCACTACTTTACATTACCGTTTGATACTCTTCACTACATTACACTTCACTGCATTACACTTCACTACATTTCAATTTAATATACTTCAGTTCACTTCAATTCACTTTGATAAACTTCACTACACATCAATACATTTCACTACATTACATTACACTTTGATATTCTTCACTACATTTCACTTCATTACATTACAGTTCACTACACTTCAATTTTGATTCACATCACCAATACATTTCACACTATACACTTGAATACACTTTAATACATTACACTTTATTATATTTCAGTACACTTCAGTTTAATACACTTCACTTCTGTACACTTCAATGCATTTTATTCACTACACTTTAGTTTACTATACTTTTTGTTTTTTGGGTGTATTTTTTAGTGAAACATAAAACAATTGTTTTTTTGTTAATAAAAATTTAAATTGTATACTCAAAAAAAAAAAAAAAAAAAAAAAAAAAAAAAAATTCTTAGGCATGCTTCACTAATTAAAAAATGACAATAAGAAAAGTTATATTTTCTACTTTGTTAAAAATAACAGAGAAAATTTTTTTCTCTTTTTTTTATATAAAAGATACAAAGTTATATTTAGAAAATATTATTATTACTATTGTTATTATTATTGTGTGTGTGTGTGTGTGTGTGTGTGTGTGAAATAATATCATAAATCGATTATCTGATAAGTATTTATTAATTGTGATTTTATGGCTAATTCATAAATGATTGAAAAAAGAAAATGGAAAATAAATCTTGTTAAATTTTATGATCACTTAGTATTATTTATAATTATTGTTATTCTTAATATTATTATTATCTACTATTTTTATTATTATTTATTTATTTATTTGAAATTATAAAAATATTTATTAAAAACATGAAATTATTTACTGAATATAATAATAATAATAATAATAATAATAATAATAATAATAATAATAATAATAATAATAAAAATAATAATAATAATAATAAAAATAATGATAATAATAATTTTTTAAGAAAGTAAAAAGAAATATTCCTGGACAAATAACTATGTAGTAACATAATAAACATACATTGTAATTGCCATAAATGGACAAATGTCAGCTTTCAATTGAAACAATTAATCTTTAATTGTAATGTTATGATTCAATCTGCCTTATTCGCAGTCGGTTCGTGATGGAAATTACATGATATCATTTCTCTGATTAATTCGAAAAAAAATATATTTCCATACAAAAAAAAATTTATTCTATAATATAATATTCTATAATATAATATAATATAATATAATATAATATAATATAATATAATATAATATAATATAATATAATATAATATTCTATAATATAATATTCTATAATATAATATAATATAATATAATATAATATAATATAATATAATATAATATAATATAATATAATATAATATAATATAATAATTTTTGTTTAATAAATAAATAATAATAAAAATAATTTATAGGCATTTATTATTTATTAAAAAAAAGAAGCAAAATATAAAAATCTAAGAATACGAAATATTCTCGCATCTCTCACACGGTAGTTAATACTGTATCAATAAGGAAGAAATCTTAAAAATTCTCTTATCAATTCTATCTCAAAATGTCTATCTCTTTAATTTCTATTCTCAATTATTGTGTAATTTAGAAGTTTTATTATGTACACAAACACTTACACATAAGAAAAAAAAAATTTTTTTTAAATGAAAGTCATTAAAATAGTTAACGATATTATTATTATATATATACTCTTCTTATATTTTCAAAGTTAACTAAGGAAATTTTTCTCACACACATATATATGTATATATATATATTCTTATCTTAAACTCAATGGGAAACAAATAAAATGTAAATATTAATGTGACAATTTCTTTAATCTCACTTATAGACACGTGTAATATAAGTGACGACAAACAATTTTTCCTCGTTTTTTTTCGGAAAAATGTTTTTAAAAAAATTTTTTTTTTCCAAATTTTTTTTATAAAAAATATAAATTATAATAAATTAATATAAATTTTTTATATAAAAAATAATTACAAAAAAAAAAAATTGTTTTACATTTATTTAAATGTTTTTCACATTCCTATTAATCTCATTCAAATTAATATTGATTGACACATTTCATTAAAAAAAAAAAAAGTTATATATATATGTAAAGATCCACTACAAGATTATAATCAGTTTATTATAGTAATCAAAAATAATCTTATATTTGTTTAAGTCATTAAATTTCAATTTCTTCAAAAACCTGAAGTGCTATTATAATGCCATTGATAAAGTAAAAGAGAATTTTTAGTTTTTTGCCGACATTTTGAATTTCGAAAAAATAACCTCAAATTCGTAATTAGCGACCCCAAAAACCCAAGAGTAACGATTTTTAAACGAATCTGAGCATTTTTTAGATTTTTTTTTGTCGCCATTATGGATCCGCCATTTTGAATTTCGAAAAACAGACATCAAATTCGTCATCAGCGACCTTGAAAATTCCCTAGGAACCATTTTGAAACGATTTTGAGCAATTTTTAGAATTTTCGAAAGCCATTTTGGTTCCGCCATTTTGAATTTCGAAAAAATAGCCTAAAATTCGTAATCAGCGATCCTAAAAACCCCCAAGCAACAATTTTTAAACGAATTTAAACAATTTTTAAATTTTTTCCAGACGCCATTTTGGATCCGCCATTTTGAATTTTGTAAAACTGACATCAAATTCCTAATTAGAGACCCCAAAATCCCCCCAAGTAATGATTTTTAAACAAATCTGTGCATTTTTTAGATTTTTGGTCGCCATTTTGGATCCGCCATTTTGAATTTTGAAAAACTAACATCAGATTCGTAATCAGCGACCCCAAAAACCCCCAAGCAACAATTTTTAAACGAATTTAAACAATTTTTTAATTTTTCCAGACGCCATTTTGGATCCGCCATTTTGAATTTTGTAAAACTGACATCAAATTCCTAATTAGAGACCCCAAAATCCCCCCAAGTAATGATTTTTAAACAAATCTGTGCATTTTTTTAGATTTTTGGTCGCCATTTTGGATCCGCCATTTTGAATTTTGAAAAACTAACATCAGATTCGTAATCAGCGACCCCAAAAACCGCCGAGTAATGATTTTTAAACAAATCTAAACAATTTTTAAATTTTCTTTTGCCATTTTTGATTCGACATTTTGAATTTTGAAAATCTGACCTCAAATTTGAATTCAGTGACCTCAAAAACCCCTAAGTTATAATTTTTAAACGAATTCGAACAATTTTTACATTTTCAGACGCCATTTTGGATTCGCCATTTTGAGTTTTGAAAATTTGACCTCAAATTTGGATTTAGAAACCTCAAAAACCCCTAGATGCTAATTTTTAAGTGAATCCGAACAATTTTTAAATTTTTCTGACGCCATTTTGGATCGGCCATTTTGAATTTTGAAAATTTGACATCAAATTCGTAATCAGCGATCTCAAAAACCCCCGAATAACGATTTTGAAACAAATTTAAGGGATTTTAAAATTTTTTCGTTAGCTATTTTGGATCCGCCATTTTGGATTTTGAAAAACTAATATCAGATTCGTAATCAGTGACCCCAAAAATCCCTGAGTAACGATTTTTAAACGAATTTGAGTGATTTTTAGATTTTTTTCAATCGCCATTTTGGATCCGCCATTTTGAATTTCGAAAAACAGACATCAAATTCAGATTCAGGGACTGAACTTAAAATAAATTATTTCTTTTTACATTTTTTTTTTTTTTATTAAAATTATTTTTATTTTACTATTTACAAATAATCGTTTTATTTCGCTTTTTAAAATATAATTTTTGCATTCACAATTTACATATAGTAAAAATTACATTATAGTTAAATAAATAAAATTTTTTATAAAATTATTAACAATTATTAAAAATATTATTAATTAGATAATTAAAATTTAATGTACTACAAGATACTTAAAAAAAAAAAAAAAAAAAAAATATTTTGCCTAATTTTCCACTATAGTTATGTTTCAATTTTTTCTTCTTTGGAATTCAGGTACTTTCTTCGTTTTTGATAACTCTGTAAGGAAAAAATAAAATTTTTATAATCTACAATTGCATTTTTTTAATTTGTATAGTAAATTTGAATTTTTAACAAAAAATTTTTGTTTTTCCAAAAATTTATGAAAAATAATAAATTAATTTTTACCACTTCCGCTATTGTTCTCAATGAAGATGATGTCTCACTTCCGCATTGTCGAACCATTTCTTGTAGATAGCCATTTTCCTTTTGTAGCAACAAATGTGGATGATCAAATTCCTATAGGGATAAAAAAAAAGAAAAATTTTTTTTTAATTTTTCAATCAAAAATTTTTGAAAAATTATTACAAAAATTTTTTTAAATCCCTTACCACTATTTCACCAGCATCCATAACAATAAATCTATCACAATCCATAACAGTATTCAGTCTATGTGCAACAATTAAAATTGTACAATTTTGAAATCGACTTCTAATTGTTTTTTGTATTAAATTATCAGTTTGTGGATCAACATTCGCTGTTGCTTCATCAAGTACCAAAATTTTATTCTTTCTCACAATTGCCCTTGCCAAACACAACAATTGCCTTTGTCCAATACTAAAATTTGCCCCACCATCCGTTACTTTACCATATAGACCCGAAATCATATCCTGTACATAATTTTTTAATTCAACTTCAGCTAAAGATTGCCATAATTCATCATCAGAATATTCATCAAATGGATCGAGATTAGCGCGCAATGTACCGGCAAATAATAATGGTTCCTGTGGTATAATACTAATTTTTGAACGTAAATCATGTAATCCCAATGTTTCAATAGAAATATCATCAATTTTAATTTCACCCTCTAAATTTGCTAAACGAAATAATGCAACAATCATTGATGATTTACCAGCACCAGTACGTCCAACAATACCAATTTTCTCCTTTGATTCCACCAAAAATGATAAATTCTTTAATACCGCTTTATCACTATCATTGTAATTTAATGAAACATTTTTAAATTCAATTTTTCCATATTCAGGCCATTCTTTTTTTGGTTTTACTTTTGGATCACTGTCAAATGGCGGTTCTTGGGGAATTTTATTATAATCCAAAATACGTTCAACGCATGTCATATTTGTTTGTACTTCAACAACTTGAAACATACACCATTGTACCAAAATTGTCATTGATATTGTTTGTGTTATAATTAATGCAACGTCACCCGCTGAACTCATATCTTTAAATAAAAGAAAAATATAGATAATAACTGCTAAATAAATTGTACACAATATTTCAACGTAATATGCAAATGCACGACCACATGCTGCAAATAGAAGCCACGCTGATGAATTTAAATCTTGACTCTCGTCAAATTCTTTGATCATTAAATTTTCTGCTTTGAAGGCTCTTATTGTTGTTATTCCTTGGATTGTTGCATTTAAATGACTGAACATTGGTGATTTAGCTGAAAAAATTAAATTCGTAACAGTTAATACAATGAATAAATTGAAACAGTACAAAAATTACCAATTAATTTCAAGAATTAAATTAGTTGTAATGAAATGATTATTTTAGAGGACTTACTTAATCCTTCGAGTCTCTTAACGCTGCGACTTGTACGCCAGTAAATTTCCTTTAACATTGTGAGAAAAATAAGTGAAATAATTAGGGGTATTAACATCCAGTAGTTTATTACAACTGTCATGATTGCAATTCCCATCATGTAGGTGAAAAATGATGACACATCGTTTAGTGCTTGGGGAAGTAATTTGTCCATTATGCCCATGTCTTTGGAGAACCTGATGTAACAAAAAATTTACAAGATTGGTTTTAATTTCAATTTTACTATCATCTACAAAAGTAGGTTTAAAGTATTTGAAACCCTAAAGCATCGCTAAAATTATCTGTAGCTTCATCTGCAGAAGCATTTGTTTATAGTTTATAAAACCTAATTCCAAAGAATCTGCAAAACACTACTAAAATCATTTGTATTTTTAGCGGCAAAAGCAACTGTTCAAAGTATTTGAAACTTAATTGATAAGCATTCCAAAAATCATCTGTATTATCAAAATCTGCAAATGCATTTCCAAAGCATTTCGAAAATCATCAGTACCATCATCTGCTAAAGCTACAAAGCATCCCTAAAATCACTTGTACTTTTACATCTCCGAAGCATTTCTAAAATCATCAAAACTATTATCTGCAAAACCTTCTGTTCAAAGTACTTAAAACCTAATTTTAAAGCAGCTGCAAAGCATCAGTAAAATCATCTGTACAATTACATCTCCAAAGCATTCCTAAAATCATTGTACCAACATCTGCAAAAGCATCTACAGAGCATTTCTAAAATCATCAGTACCATTCTTAGCTAAAGGATCTCCAAAGCATCTTCAAAGCATTCCTAAAATCATCAGTACCATCATCTACTAAAGCCACTCCAAAGTATTCTTAAAATCATCTGTAATTTTGAAGCATTTTTATAGCATTTCCAAAGCACTGCTAAAGCATTTTGAAAATCATCCATAACATCCTCTACAAAATCATCTGTAAAATATCCTAAAAATGTTTCTACAATTTCTTGAAGAACATCACTAGAGGAATCTAAAATTATTTCTAAAAGCATCTGCAAAGCATAATCTTCTAAAACATCTGCTAAACATAATCTCCGAAAGAATCTGTAAAAAAAAATCTCCACAAGCATCTGCGGAACATAATTTCCAAAGGTACCTACAAAACAAAATCTCCGGAAGCATTTGGAAAATAAAATCAGCGAAAGCATCTGCATAACATAATTTCCAAAGGCACCTACAAAAACAGCATCTCTAAAAACTTCATCAACACTAAATCATCAAAAAAAAAAAAAAAAATGTAGCATCGTAAAACTATTATCAAAATTAAAAAACCCCAACTCACCTATTCATAATTCTTCCCGATGGATTATTATGAAAAAACGTCATCGTTGTTCTAGTGATATTCGAAAAAACAGAAGCATGTAGATTTTTCGACGCCTTCAAGCACATTGACATAAACATAAAATACTTCATATAAACCGCAACAACAGTCGCTAAAATTAATCCCAAATAAACATAAACAAACCAAACATCATCATTATTGTCAATTTCTTCTTTCTTTCCTTCTGTTATTTCTCCCATTGTTTCACTATTTCCAAAATCAGTACCATTCAATTCTTTCCTTCTATCATTCTCCTCCAATATTGTTATCCAATATGTAACAAAATAATCACCAACAATAACCAACAATGGCATTATAATAATAAAACAAAAAACCAATAATCTCCTCCAAATACTTCCACCGGCTTTAAAATAATCGTAAAACACTTTTTTCGAAACTTTACCAGTTTGTGTATATTCTGCAATTGCTTCACGTTCCTCCTCAGAAATAATTGTCTCATTATTTTGATTTAAAGTTTCATCAATTTTTTCATTCACAATATTTAATTCATTATTGTCATCATTTTGTAAAAATGATAAAAATTCATGATTTGAATTTTTCAATTCATTAACAGTACCATTCATTTCAACGTAACCATTATTTAATACATAAATATTATCAACATTCTGTAAATATTGCAATTGATGTGTAACTAAAATTCTCGTTTTACCATCGAGAAATTGACAAATACAATTTTTAAATATCGATCTACCAACATGTGCATCAACAGCCGACAATGGATCATCAAAAAGATAAATATCAACATCCGCATAGACAGCGCGTGCCAAACTAATTCTTGCACGTTGTCCACCACTCAATGTTGTACCCTTTTCGCCAATAATTGTTTGATCCCTGTGTTGAAAAAGTGTTAAATCCCTTTCCAATTGACAAACTCTAATTACATCATTGTAACGCGATTTATTCATTTCACGACCAAAAAGAATATTTTGTCTAATACTTGCGGCAAATATCCATGGTTCTTGACTGACGTACATAAATTTACCATCAATATGAAATTGTCCCTGTTTTATTGGTAATTCACCAATTATTAAATGAAGAAGACTTGATTTACCAGCGCCAACTTGACCAATTATTGCTGTTAACGAACCAGTTAGTGCGGTAAAATTAATATCATTTAATGTATATTTTCTTGACTCTTGTAAATCAGAAGATGACCATTTGGCTGAAATATTTTTTAATGAAAGAACAACGTTTGAGGGATATTTTTCTTGTAAATTATTGTTGGAAATTTCTTGTAATTCTTCTCCAAGTTCATCACTTAAAAGATAAGTTCGAATACGTTCAATTGATGCTGTTGATTGAGCAAGACGTTGCATGGCTAAAAAAGAAAAATTAAATTAGAATTTTTTAAAAAAAATTTTTTTGAATATATTACACAAAATTTAAATTAAAACGCACTTAAAAAATTATTTAGCTAAATTTCAATTATGCTGAATATTTTTATTTAGCTGGAAATTTTGTTACGCCAAACATTCATTTAATCAAATAGTTGTAAAACTAAATTATTATTTAGCTAAATTTCAATTTAACCAAAATTTTTAAAAAGACAAAATTTCTATTTAGCTAAAAATTTCGTTCCGTCAAAATTTCATTTAGCCAAAAAGTTGTAAAACTAAATTAATATTTAGCTAAATTTTCATTTAACAAAATTTCCATTTAACCACATTATTATTAAGCCGAAATTTCATTTAAGCTGGAAATTTTGTTATGCCAAATTTCATTTCACCAAATAGTTATATAAAACTAAATTAATATTTGGCTAAATATTGTATTTAACTAAAGTTTTATTTAACCAAAATTTTTGTTTAGCGGTAAATTTCGTTTCGCCAAAATTTCATTCAGCCAAATAGTTGTAAAACTAAATTAATATATAGCTAAATTTCCATTTAACCACATTATTATTAAGTCGAAATTTCTTTTAAGCTGGAAATTTTGTTATGCCAAATTTCATTTAACCAAATAGTTATATAAAACTGAATTAATATATGGCTAAATTTCTATTTAACCGAAGTTTTTGTTTAGCGGGAAATTTTGTTACGACAACTATTAAATTTAGCCAAACAATTATAAAACTAAATAAATATTTGGCTAAATATTGTATTTAACTGAATTTTTATTTAGCCGAAATTTTTAAAAAGACAAAATTTCTATTTAGCTAAAAATTTCGTTTCGTCAAAATTTCATTTAGCCAAAAACTTGTAAAACTAAATTAATATTTAGCTAAATTTCCATTTAACAAAATTTTTATTTAGCTGAAATTTTTGTTTTCACTGAACTTTTTCATTTAGCTGTAGATTTAATTACAATACTAAACAATGAAGCAATTTTTCACCAAAAATTTCTATTTATCTGATTTTTTATTATGCCAAAATTTTTATTTAGCTGTAAATTTTGTTTCGCCAACATTTAATTTAAACCAAATGATTATAAAATATAAATTGATATTTGGCTAAATTTATGTTTAACCGAATTTTTATTTAACCGAAATGTTTATTTAGCTGAAAATTTCGTAACGTCAAATTCTTAATTAGCCAAATAGTTGTAAAACTAAATTATTATTTAGCTAAATTTCTATTTAACCGAATTTTTATTTAGCTAAAAATTTTATTTTACCGAATATTCATTTAGCTGTAGTTATTTACCATAATAAACAGTGAAACAATTTTTATTTAGCTACATTTCTATTTAAACTAATTTTTATTCAGGCGAAATTTTTATTTAGCTGAAAATTTTTGTCAAGCCAAATTCCATTTAGCCAATTAGTTACAAAACTTAATTTCTATTTAACCGAATTTTTTATAAGCTGAAAATTTTATTTAGCTGAAAATTTTGTCAAGCCAAATTTCATTTAGACAAATAGTTACAAAACTAAATTATTATTTAGCTTAATTTCTATTTAACCTAATTTTTATTAAACCAACATTTTTATTTAGCTGAAAATTTCATTTAGCCAAATAGTTACAAAAATAAATGATTATTTAGCTGAATTTTAATTTAACCAAATTTTTATTAAGCCAAAATTTTTATTTAGCTGAAAATTTCGTTTCGCTTAAATTCCATTTAACCAAATAGTTATGAAACTGAATTATTATATTGCTAAATTTCTAATTAACCGAATTTTTATTAAGCCAATATTTAGCTAAATAAAAGTTTTGGCTTAATTGACAAAAATTTTTGTTAAATGAAAAATTTATTTGTAATGACAAATTTGATTAAATGAAAGATTAGTTTAATACAGAAATTTTTGTTTAAATAAAAGTTTACCTTTATAAAAAAATGAGGTTAAATACAAATTTTTAGTTTACTACCAATTTTGGTCAAATATAAGATTAGCCAAATGTCAAATATTTGGCTAAATAAAATTTTAGCTTAATGCCAAATATTTGAATAAAGTTTAGTGCCAAAAATTTTGTTTAATAAAAAAAATTTTTTTTTGGTTTAATATATATATATGCTTAGCTTAATGGAAAACTAAAAAGAAAAAAATAACTAAAATTTTTTTTTGTTACTAACCAAATGTAAACATTATATTCATGCAATTTTTTAATTCATTGTAAAATGCCGTTATCATAAATGCTTTCTCGACAGTGATTTTATTGCCAAGAAAAACGTAAGCGACAATTGTGATGAAAATTCCAACTCGAGCTGCATACCACTGAAATGACATGACGACAATATCCACAAAGGCACAATTTCTTATCGCTTTTACTTCCTGCCTAAGAAAATAAAAAAAAAAAACATATGTATTAAATATTTTTATTTTTTAAAAAAAATTTTTTTTTACCGTTATAATAATAATAACAATTATAATTGTTTATAAATAATAAAATCAATTATCGTTTTATAATAATAATAATAATAATAATTTTATTATTTATAACAATTATAATTGTTATTAATTTTATTAAAATTATTTAGCATTTTTATAAATATTTTTATTTTAAACTAGTGGCATTTTTTTTAGCGTAATTTATATTTTTGTGAAATTAAAAAAAAAAAATAAATAAATATAAAAAGAGTGGGGGAAATGACCTTGTAGTTTTTAATTAATGATTTTTCCCAGAAACTATAAAAATAGAGAAAAAAAAATTAAACTATACAAAAAAAAATAACGCTAATCCTATGTAATAAATAAATAAAAAAAAATATTATTTATTTATTTGTGAAATTATTATTATTATTTTAAAACACTTACTCTCTTGCTTTATTAACAAGATAAGAAAATGGCTTTTCCCAAGCGTACATTTTAATAACTTGTATGCCCATTATTATTTCATTCATTATTCTAAGACGTTCATCTGTCTTTGATGCTGCTTTCAATGTTAATTTTGAAACATATTTTGATACTGAACCTTGCAATGGAACAAGTAATAATAAAAATATTACGCCAAACACTGCCGATAAATCAACTTCCGTGTACATTAAATAAAGTATTATAATTGTCTTTATTGGACCAATCCACAAGTAATTGAAACAAACCAAAATTAATTCCAAGGCCATTACATCGTTACTTAAATAGTTGACAATCTAAAGAATGAAGGAGATTTAAATTTTTTTTTATTTTCCTCTATTTTTTTTTTTTTTTTTTTTTAATATATTTTTCTAATTTTTAGAAATTTTTTATGAAAAAAAATATCCAGATTTAATAATTTGGGGGAAATATTTTTTTTTTTGCTTCAAAATAAATTTTTATATATTAAAATTTTTTTTTTTTAAATTGTTTTGTAATAAATAAAAAAAAATGTTTTTTTTTTTAATTACTTGACCAGCTGTAGTTTCTGTATTCGATGAATTTGATGTTCTTAATAATTTTCTGTAAATAAGAGCACACAATGCAACTCTAAATTTCATTCCAAGTACAAGCATTTTAAAAAGTCCAAGTTGAAAAAATGGTCCCGATAAAAGAAAGCATAAAATTAAACCAGTCGACCAATAATATGCCTCATCGGTTGACATATTATTTTTATTACCATTATAGTAGCTTAACATTTTTGCGAGAAAAATTGGTGGCGGTAGTCTGTGAAACAAATTTTTATTATTATTATTATTTTGTTTAAAAAAGCAAAAAAGAAAACAAAAATACAAAAAATTTCTCATATTTTGAATGTTTTTTGCATTTAATAATAGCAAATTTGTAATCAGCGACCCCAAAAACCCCCGAGTAACGATTTTCAAACGAATTTGAGAGATTTTTAAATTTTTCGGACGTCATATTGGATCCGCCATTTTGAATTATGAAAAACTAACATCAGATTCGTAATCAGCGACCCTAAAAACCCCCGAGTAACGATTTTTAAATGAGTTTAAGCGATATTTAGATTTTGCGGACGCCATTTTGAATTTTATAAAAGTGACCTCAAATTTGGATTCAGGGATCTCAAAAATCCTTAAAGGCCAATTTTTAAGCGAATCCGAACAATTTTTATATTTTTTTTGACGCCATTTTGAAAACGCCATCTTGAATTTTGAAAATTTGACATCAAATTCGTGATCAGCGACCTCAAAAACCCCCTAATATCGATTTTGAAACAAATTTAAGCGATTTTAAATTTTTTTCGTTAGCCATTTTGTATCCGCCATTTTGAATTTTGAAAAACTAATATCAGATTCGTAATCAGTGACCCCAAAAACCTCCCAAGTAACAATTTTTAAGCGAATCCGAACAATTTAAAAATTTTCGGACTCCATTTTAGATCCGCCATTTTGAATTTTGAAAAACTAATATCAGATTCGTAATCAGTGACCCCAAAAACCTCCCAAGTAACAATTTTTAAGCGAATCCGAACAATTTAAAAATTTTCGGACTCCATTTTGGATCCGCCATTTTGAATTTTGAAAAACTAATATCAGATTCGTAATCAGTGACTCCAAAAAACCCCCAAGTAACAATTTTTAAGCGAATTCGAACAATTTAATAATTTTCGGACTCCATTTTGGATCCGCCATATTGGATATTGAAATTCTAACCTCAAATTCGGATTCAGGAACCTAAAAAACCCCTAATTGACAAATTTTAAGTGAATCTGAAAAATTTTAACATTCTCGGACGCCATTTTGGAACGACATTTTGAATTTTGAAATTCTAACCTCAAATTCGGATTTATTGACAACAAAGGCCTCCGAGTGACAAGTTTTGAAGCAAATCTGATGATTTTTTAATTTTTCAGTCGCCATTTTGGAACCGCCATTTTGAATTTTGAGAATCTAACATCAAATTCGGATTTAGAATCCGTCCTTAAATCACAATTATGTATCAACAAATAAATAAAAACATTGGAAAAATTAAAAAAAAAAAATTTTAATGAAAATAAAAAAATTTACACAATACCTTATGACAACTTCTGAGAAAAATTGTAGTAATCCTACTTTAAATACTTCAAATCCAAAACATTTAAAAAGTGCTTTCCAAATACTTGGTTTATAACTTTTTTTTTTGTTATCAAATTTTCTTTCAGATTGCCAAACATTATCCAAATGTTCACCTAAATTATAACTCGAATGACCTGTCAAAGGTGTAAAGAGATCATCCTCCAATAAATCTCTGTTGAAACCTTCACGAAAATATTTCATAACCCATCTAAAAGAAACAATAACAAAAAAAAAATAAATAAAAAAAATTAATAAATTCACATTTTAGTAAGAAAAAAATAATTAGAAATAAAATTTTTAATTAATTTTAAATTTTTTAAACAATCATCAAAATTTATTTAAAATAATTTTTAATAAAATTTCAAAATTCAATTTTTAAACATTATTAACACTTAAATTATAATTTAAAAAAAAATATTACATATAAAATTGCAACTTTTAAACAACATTACATATAAAATTGCAATTTTTTAAATTAAAAATTTTTCTTTTAAATTGCAATTTCAATTTTTTTTAAAATTATTACACTAAAATTGCAATTTCAATTTTTACATATTATTGCATTAAAATTGCAATTTTCAAATATTATTTTATAGAAAATTTAAAAAAAATTATTATTTTTATATTTCAATTTTGAATTAAAAATACATAGAAAATAATGAAAAAAAATTGAATTAATTTTTTATACTAAAATTACGATTTATTAAAAAAATATTATTACTACATTAAAATTGCAAGTAAAAATTTTATTCTTCTAAATAAATATTTCAATAAATTGCAATTACTTACGCAAATGTTAATTTTGATAAAAGATTAATTCCCTCCTGTGGATTTTTCTGACGATTCTTTTTATTTTGATACATTTTATTTTATTTTTTTTTCAAATAATAAATAATTCACTTCACTGACAATAATAAATAAATTAAAAAATTAAAAACAAAAAATAAGTTAACACCAAAAAAAAAATTTGTTTTTTCAAATTTTTTTTTGCTAGATTAAAAAAGAACTTTTAACAGTATTAAAATAAAAAAATGTCAGTTGTAATTTCAAACTGTTGTGCAACGAACACATCTGAAAAATATATAACAATTATTTCTCATTTTAAACTGAGCGATACTCACACACAAATGGATCACGTGTAAATAATAGATTTATTAGTGGGATGTTAGTCAAATATAAGAGATACAGTTAGAAAAAAAAGAATAAAAAAAAAATGAAAAAAAGAATATATATATATATATATATATATATATATATATATATATATATATGTTGCGTATATTCCATTTTATTGAGTATCATAAAACTAATATCTAAATAATGACAAGTTGCAAAATATTCAATGACAATGTCAATGACTTTATAAATTTAATTTGTTTATTTTAATTATTACTTTAAAAAGTTAATTTTCAAAAAAAAGTTTCTTTTTATAATTTTATTTCTTCATTTTGATTATTTATTTATTTTTTAATTTTTATTATTTACTTATTTATTTATTTGAAAAAAAATCTATATTAGAAAAATTAGGATTTTATTACAAAATTTTTTTTGCATATAGTAAAATTAAAATTTAACACTAATATTTGCTGCAAAACAAAATTGTAATAAATTTAATTCGCAGTCGGTAATGCAGATTTCTACTTTATTAACAGTTGGTAAGGTGGAAACAAAATTTTAATTTGCAGCCGGTAATTGATCGGTCGGTAATGCAGTTTTCTACTTTATTAACAGTCGGTAAGTTAGAAACAAAATTGTACTAAATTTAATTCGCAATCGGTAATTGCTTGGTCGGTAATGCAGATTTATACTTTATTAGCAGTCGGTAAGGTAGGAGTCTCAACAGAAAAAACAACTAGACCGATAAGGTAGGAAACTGTTTTACCAACTGAACATTGGAAGTTGGTTTAACGACCACCCAATAGATGGCGTTGACTATAATGTGTATTGCCGATAATGATTTGCCTTTTTTATTTTGTGAAAATAAAAATTATTTTGAATCTGTTTTACCGACTGAACAATAAAGTTAGTTTACCGACTATCCAATAGATGGCACTGACTTTAATCTATTACCGACTTTGTTTACTTTTTGTTAATTGATTATTATTAGTTGAATTAATTGCCTGATTACTTAATTATTATTTTCCTAATTAGTTAACTATTTATTACTTATTAATTAATTACCTAATTAATTGATTGTTAATTATTAATTTAATTAATTAACTAATAATTATTGAATTAGTAAATTAATTAATTATTGATTAATTATTATATTAATTAATTATTTATTTATTATTAATTTAATTATTTATTATCTTTTTTAATTACCTAATTAATTACGTAATTAATTATTATTTAATTACATATTTATAATTAATATATTTAATTTTTATATTGGGGTTATTTAAATTCATTTGTTTTTAAAAATTATTCAAAAGCGTATGAAGTAAGTTTTCTGTCAAATCAAAAAAAAAAAATCCTAACATTGACATTATATATGTAAAATAAAATGTCAATCTGTATAAAAAAAAATTTATAAATTAATTTTTTCTTTAAGGACAAGATTTTGTAATTTTTAAATATTAAAAATGAATAATTCAACGACTATTTTAAATCCAGAACTATTCAACTCATTTTTGCATCGAAAAACAATTAATTTTACACAGGTTTCAATTATTTATATTTTTAATAAATTAATTATTGCTTCCTCATGGCGGTAGTATTTTTACATTTTGTTTATTATTAATATTAATTATTATTATTTTTTTTATAATAAGAATAATAATAAATAAATTAATTAATTAATTAATAATTAGGAAAAATAATCTTTTTTTTCTAATTATTATTAGGTATTATTATTATTATTTTTATTTATTTTTTATTTATTATAACAGTTGTTATTATTTTTATTATTATTATTATTATTATTATTTAATAAAAAATAATTTTGTTTAAATAAAATTTTCTCATATTTTTAAGGTGATAGAAAAAAATTTTAAAATTAAACGAACAAAAACACTTGCAACTTTTGTTCCCGAAGAAATTATAATGTCATTTGAACCAACAAAGAAGATTTTACGTAAATTTAGTGGAATTTTATTATTAGTTGATATTTCAGGTTTGAATATTGTCATTTTTTTTTTAATTTTACTCATACATTATAATGCATATTAAATTTACAATGTTAATAATAAAATTTTAATATTCTACTTCAAAAAAAAAAAGTAAATAAAATACTTCTTTTTTTTAAAGATTTTTTTAAATTAATTGAAAATTTCACTGATGGTGAAAATGGTGGTTGTTTTGGATTTTTAAATATTTTCAATAATTATTTAAACATTATTATTGAACAAATTAATTTTCATAATGGTGATATTCTTAAATTTACAAGTAAGATGTTAATACTAATAATTTAGATTTTTTTTATAATAATATAATTTTGTAATAATTTTGAGGATTAAATTTTTTTTTTAATTTGAAAATTATTAATTTATTTTAATTTTAATTAAATTTAAAGTTTAATTAATTTTTTTTTAACGTACAAAATTTTATGAAATTTTTCTTATTTAAATAAAAAAATTGTTTAAATAATTTCAAAAAAATATTTAATATTTATAAAAAATAAAAAATAAACAAAATATAAAATATAAACTAAAAAAAAAATATATAAATTAAAAAAAAAAATAAAATATAAAAAAAATGAAATATAAATAAAAAAATAAAACTTACCATGTTAACAAAAATAATAGTAAGGCACAAATCATTTTTTTTTTTACAAAAACACACACATTAATAGAAAAGAAAAAAAATATTTTTATTCCTTAAAAGTAGATGTCAAATTTAATTTGTGAATAAAATCTTTTTTTTTAAACTAAAACTATTTGTAAGCAAGATGTCAATGATAGACGAATTCTCAGACTGTACTAAACACAAATTATAAAGTTATATAAAAGTATGAAGGAGCAAAATATTGAATTATACGCAAAATACATATACAATATAGCCTTGAAAATTTTAAGATACATTTAATGAATGAATTGATATATTATATCTAATAACACAGGCACACAAAAAATAAAAAGTTGTTTGGCCGAGACACTACACTAGTCTATTTTCATGTATTTTTTCACGCTGAATCCGAATCCGAAGTCAGAATTATCAGATTGGCTCTTATTTTTGAGATAAACTCAAAAAACTGCTCAGAAAGAAAAATAAAATCAAAAAGTTAAAAAATTTTTGAATGTCACTGCGATAGTGTAATTCCATGTATTTTTTGTCGCTGAATCCGAATCCAAAGTCAGAATTGTTAGATTCACTCAAATTTTTGAGATAATTGCAAAAAAACACAAGTAACAAAAAACTCAAAATAGTCAAAATCAGTTTTTTGGAATTATCTTCAAAATTTGAACAAATCCGCCAATTCTGACTTCGAATTCGGATTCAGCGTGAAAAAATACATGAAAATGCACTATCGTAGTGTTTCGGCAAAAAAAATTATCTGTGCCCCTAATTCAGAATTTTTATCAGTTTTTGGCGATTTTAGCTCAAAGAAATTTTTTTTTGCCGAAACATTACGATAGTGCATTTTCATGTATTTTTTCACGCTGAATCCGAATTCGAAGTCAGAATTGACAGATTGGCTGAAATTTTGAAGATAATTCCAAAAAACTGATTTTGAGTATTTTGAGTTTTTTGTTACTTATGTTTTTTTGCAATTATCTCAAAAATTTAAGCAAATCTAACAATTCTGACTTTGGTTTCGGATTCAGCGACAAAAAATGCATGGAATTACACTGTCGCAGTGACATTCAAAAATTTTTTAACTTTTTGATTTTATTTTTCTTTCTGAGCAGTTTTTTGAGTTTATCTCAAAAATAAGAGCCAATCTGATAATTCTGACTTCGGATTCGGATTCAGCGTGAAAAAATACATGAAAATAGACTAGTGTAGTGTCTCGGCCAAACAACTTTTTATTTTTTGTGTGCCTGTGTAATCAGATTAATAAATATAAGAAACAAAATATTTAATAAATAATTATTCGAAACAATTTTAAACAAAATAATTAATAATTTTAAATTAACTTATAAATAATAAAAAACAATATGAATAAATTAATTAAATAATAATAATAATAATATATTAATTAATTAGTTATTAATAATGTATTAATTAATTAATTATTAATATTGTATTAATTAATTAATTTCTAATAATGAATTAATAATTAATGTAATAAATATTTAAACATATTTTATTTATAAAATTTTTCATGAAATATTTATAATATTATTGTAAAAAAAAAAAGAAAAATTAATATTTTGTTTAGAAATATAATTTTTTCTAATTTCTACATTAGGAGATGGATTGTTAGTTTTGTGGAAAGTTCATAAGAACATTTTAATATTTCAATTAATTGAAAATATCATTGTTTGCTCACTTAGCATTCATGAGACTTTAAAATCCGTTAACAATGAAACGCTATTAAACTTAAAAGGTAAAAAAATTTATCATTCATTCATTTTCTTATTGTCCAAATAATTTGAAATTTTAATTATTAAATTAAATTACAAATAAATAAAATTAAATAATTTTAATTCACATTAAATTAAATTATATATTATAAAATTGTATTAAATTAATAAATAAACAATTTTAATTTATCTTTAATTTAATTCTAAACAGAGTTTTTAATTCCTAATCACCCGGAAAATTTTATATAATGAATTAATTTTTTTCATTTTTGAAAAAATAGTACAGAAGCGTTTCTAAGAACGATTAAATTATGTAATGTCGTTAATACAGAACTCTACTTTACCAACTGTAGGTAATAAAGATTTTTGCATTGCCGACAGTTGGTGATTAATAAATTAAAACTCTCCTTTACCGACAGTGGATAATACAGATTTCTACATTGCTGGAAATCGGTAACTAGTCAATTGAAGCTCTACTTTATCGACTGTGGGTAATGCAGATTTCTACATTGATGACAGTCGGTAATTAAATTATTTTTTTTCTGTTTTAGTTAAAACGGTGATTTCGACAGGTCACATAATTTTTTCAGTAATAGGAAACGAAAAAAGTAGACATATCATAGTCGCTGGTCCATCAGTGATGGAAGTGAAATCTTTAAAAAACAATTGCACTCCAGGCGATTTAATATTAACTGCAAACGCATGGGAACATTGCGCACCTTCGAATTATGAATATGTTATTAAGGCTGAAAATAGCGTTCAAGTAAAGAAGTGAAAATTTTTTTTTATTACAAATAATAAAATATTTAAATTATTTAATTTTGAAAAAAATATACAATAAACATTTTTCTGGTTGTTAATTATTATTATTATTATTATTATTATTTTTTATTATTATTATTATTATTAATATTATTATTATTATTTATAGATTATAGGAAGAAGAACAAAAAATTTTGTAAAAAGAAAAATGCCTTTTGAAATCAACACATTGTCAAGGAAAAAAGCCAAATTTTCAACTTCCTTTACAACTAATTTGTAAAATAATATAAATAATTTATAACTTTTTTTTCTACTCAAAAATAATTGATAAACAAATAATAATCATATTATTTATTTGATTTAAAAAAAAATTTTAATTCTATTTCTCTTAGATTGATACCTAAAACATTAATTCAAGATACATTTTCACATTTTGTGCCAAATTTTAGAAATTTCAAAAATGCGAATAATTATCAAAAACCATTTACAGGTAAAAAAGAAAATATTTTTTTTTAAATTTACTATTATTTTTGCAAAAAAAATTCACTGATTACCGACTGCCAGTAATGTGGAAATCTATATTACCGAAGTCGGTAAAGTAGATTTCCGATTGATTAATTACCGACTGCCAGCAATGTAGAAATATGTATTATCTACAGTCGGTAAAGTAGAGTTCTACATTATTGAGATTTAATAATTAACCGTGTTTATAACATATTTAAGCCTCTACACTAATTTTCAAAAAGGAAAAAATATTATTTAATAAAATTTTCAGGTCGATTAGGAATTACAAAAGCTGTTCAGAATGGAATTGGAGATAAATTAAAATTGTTTATAATTAATTCTGTTGTTAAGGAAGTAAATAATAAATTTTAATTTAATATATTTTTTTTTTTATATAGAACAAAAAAACTGTTATTTTATTATTAAATTGTTGATACAATTTCAGATTGAAAATAATCAATCACTTGACAATTTAACAGAAATTAAAAGAGTGACTATTCTTTCTGTCAACGTCAATCCACTTAAATCTTCAGTTCTCGAATTAATTAAATTTATTGATGATTGTTACATTCAAATATCAAAGTATTGTTTTGTTATTTTTTTCAAGGAAAATATATTTTTGATTTAAAAAAAATGGTTTTTAAATTCAAAACAATTAAAAAACATTTTTTTAAAACAAAAGTAATTTTCTTTCTTTATCCAGTATTATTGATGAGAATAATGGAATAATAAACGTTAATTTACAAGAAAATTTTACAAATTTCGAAATAATTTTTGGACTCGTCGATTGTTTCGACAGTACAGCAAAATTAGGATTAATTTTAGGACGTAAAATTTTAAATTTACTTAAATCAAATTTAAATTTGCATGAAATTGCCATTGGAGTTTCAACAGGTGAAATACTGTCAATAAAATTTATTAATTTTTCTTTTTTTTCATTTTGATTTCAGCTACAAAAGTAAGTTCTCATATTTACTAATTACTGACTGCCAGTAATGTAGAAATCTATATTACCCACAGTCGGTAAAGTAGAGTTTTTAATATTCACTAATTACCGACTGCCGGTAATGTAGAAATATATATTACCCATAGTCGGTAAAGAAGAGTTTTTGATATTTACTAATTACCTACTACTGGTAATGTAAAAATCTATATTACCCACAGTCGATAAAGTAAAATTTTACAAAAAGTAATTTTTTTTATTTTATTGTTATTTTTTATTAATTTCAATTATTTTTTAGCCAAAAAAAGTAACCAAATTATTCTATCCTTATTATATTTTTTCTTCTATAAATAGGTACAGTTTTTTGCAGTGTAATTGGTAATATATCTCGAAGGCATTTTGAAATTATTGGAAGTCCAATTGAGAAATCTGCACAAATTTCATGTATTTCAGTGAATAAAGTAATTTTTGAAAAAAAACAATAGAATAAAAAATTGTTAAAACATTTTTTTGAAAAATGGGGAAATTTATAGAAAAATCGAATTTAAATTTTTTTAGATTTGTTGTGATACTGATACAATTATGTTCAGTGAAATGCCAAAGGAATTATTTAAGTCAAAAGGATTAAAAATAATAAATAATGTAACAAAAGAATTTTTGTTTGAATATATTGGTGATCAGTAAGTTTTATTATCGAAAATATTGATATGTTAATAATAATATATAATTACCTACTGCCGGTAATTTAGAAATCTCCATTACCTACAGTAGATAAAGTAAAATTCTGATTGACTAATTACCGACTGCCAATAATGTTAAAATATATATTAACTACAATAGGTAAGGCAGATTTCTGATTGATTAATTACCGACTGTGGGGAATGTAGAAATCTAAATTGCCAACAGTCGGTAAAGTAGAATTCTAATTGACTAATTACTGAAAGTAATAAAAATAAATAAAAATAAATAATAATAATAATTATAAAACATTTTTTAGAAATGGATTGCTTATTCAACACCCGCAGACTCTTGATTTTATTTATCCAATTCTAGATCGATTTCAAGAAATGGAAATTTTTTCTGAAATTCTTGATGACATGAATGTTCAGAGTCGCAAGTATGCTGGACTTTTATTAGTGGTAAAAATAATAATAATAATAATAATAATTGAATAAAAATTTATTTTTAATACAAAAAGGAAAAAAATAACGAAATGTCAATTAATTTAAATAACAATGTCATTAACAATTTTGTTCAATTATAGTAAAAAAAATTTTTAATTTTTCTTTCAGGGATCGAGTAGAAGTGGAAAATCAAGACTTCTCGATGTTTACGTGACAATAGCAAAATCACGACAAATACGAACAATTGAATTGGATATTAATTATTTTTTTTCATTAAAATCAAATTCAGTTATTTTTCACATTTTAGAACAGGTTTTTTTTTATTCAAAAATAAAAATATAAATTTTTTTTTTTAATTTTACAATAATTAATATCTATTTTCTTAAAAACAGATCTTTCACTGTGAGGAATGTAAAACAATTGAGGAGAGAGAAAAAGTTTTGATAAATATATTATGTAATGTAATTATTGCTGATGATTTTTGTTATTTTAATAGTTTAATGAGAGTCAAATTTCCATTATCGAAACGTTATTGTTTTGAAACCGATTTGGAACGACATTTTAAGAGAGTTGAAATTGTTGAAGAAATTTTAAAAAGGGTAAAATTTAGCATATTTTACCATAATGAGGCTATTTACCGACTGTAGGTAATGTTGAATTCTGTATTACCTACTGTCAGTAAAGTAGAGTTTCTGATTGAATAATTACTGACTGTCAGCAATGTAGAAATTAACATTACCTACAGTCAGTGGAGTAGAATTTTTATTGATTAATTACCGACTGTAGGTAATGTTGAAATCTGTCTTACCTACAGTCGGTAAAGTAGAGTTCCTGATCGATTTCTTCTCCAGAATAATGAAAGGCTGTGCATAATATTAGACAACGTACAATTTATGGACACAACATCATGGCAGTATTTAATAAAATTAATGGAAATTTCTCACATTATTTTTGCAATGACAATGATTGAAACAAAAAATACAGACGATCAACAAGTACAATTAAATATCATGAATAGTGAAAAATTAAAAAAACATATTTTAGAGAATTTACCATCAAATTCACTCACATCCTTTGCGTGTCAATTTCTTAATGTCAATGCCATACCTCAACAGCTTGAAAGGTTTATTCAAAAAAAAAATTTATTTTATTTAATAAAAATATAATTTTACTTTTCACTGAAGCATTAAAAAAAATTCTCTTTTCTATAAGGCTATTAATAAAAAATAGTGGAAACAATATAGAATGGTGTGAATTATTTCTAATGTTAATTCTACAATCACGTGGTCTTAAATTTTTAACATTAACGCCAAAGCAAGCAAAAACAAAAAATCTCATTTTTCCGAATAATATTATGGTTTCGAAAATCCATGTCGATTTACTTTCAGACGAAGTGGTTCCGAAGAAATCATGGAAACATATGGATAAATTATTTGTTTGCGTGATAAATGAAAAATTTACTGGATATTCTGATTCGTTGTTGAATATTGATGGTATAATAATAATTCAAGCTTGACGAAGTAGAAAATAAAGTTAATTTTAACCTAAATAGATTTCTTTGTCAGTAGTAGGTAAAATAGATTTTTACTGTGCCGACAATCGATAAAATAGATTCCTGATGTACCGACAATAGGTAAAATAGATTTCTACTTTATCAACAGTCGGCAAAATATATTTCTGCCTTACCAACAGTCGGTAATGCGTCTTTCTACCTTGCCTACTGATGGTAAAGAAGTTTTCTACAATTTCTATACAGTTTATTTGTCGGTAAAGTAGGAATCTCAGCTAGCATTTACTTTTTTTCAAATTTTCCGAAAAATATAGGAAAAAATACTTATTACCTTGTATATCAACAGATATAAAAGAACAAATTTTTAAAAGAATGCTACCACATGAAAAAAAATTAATAAAATCCGCTTCATCCATCAATGATGTTTTTTCACGTGATACTGTGATGCATATTATGAAAAAATGCAATACATTTAATGCGGCAAGAGCAGTAGAATCAATGATTCGCATTAGAATACTCGAATGTGCTTCAATTCGAAGAAAAATTATTTCCACAAATGGAATGATGACATTTTCCACTTTTCGTAAGAGAAATTTTTCCGATGTACATCATTTAATTCAATGTCGATGCTATCAAACTGGTATTTATTTGATTTTGTTTTTAAACGTAAACTAACGTCTTTAAAAAAACATTTGTTTATGTAAATTTAAATAAAAAATTTTTAATTTCTTTTTTAATTTTTTCGAATTTAGAAGTTTTTATTACAAAAAATATGCCTCGGCGTGCTTACTGTAAATTTTTAGAATTTAAATCTACTGCTTTTCGTGAAAAAATTTGTTCCCTTCTCTCGATTGAGGAAAAAGAAGAATTATTGCAAAAAACTGTAAAAATTTTCGAACATAATTTTCGAAAATGTGAGGCATGCGGAGAAGGGAAATTTTTGAGAAATTATCCAATAGAGGTTGATCAATTATTATTATTTTCCTAAAGAAATTAAATTTGTATGACTGAAATAATTTTTAGTGTCATTTACCATCAGTCGGTAAAGTAGATTGCGTGTTTATCGACAGTTTCTCAGTTACCATCAGTCAATAAAGTAGATTTAATTCATTTTTGTCGGTAAACACAAAATCTGTTTTATCGACTGACGATAACGAAATCAAAATTATATTTATCTTGAATCCAAATTCAATTAAAAAGTCAACATTTTAATTATTTTTTTCTTTTTTAGTATTCAAATTCATTTTTTCGTGAAGTCAAAAAAAATTCCATCGAACCTGAACCTCAAGAAGGATTTTTACAGATAAAAAAATTCAGTCACATTGACTATCGAAATTGTCAATGTAACATTATCATAAATTCACTTTTTTGGAACTTCCCAATACATTTTAATCAAGGTGAAAAATATTTTTTTTTTCTTATTTTTTTATTATTTAATTATTAACAAATTGTTTTTTAGGTGAAAATAATATTTTCTTGATAAGATTTTTAATACAAATTGGCGCAGCTTTAGTAGAAAATGCGGAATTTGGTTATGGAATTAAAATTCTCACATTGGCCCTTGAAAAAAATAAGGTGACAATTTTTATTATTAATTATAAAAAAATAATTATTCTTTGGAATTAAGATTTTATTATTTTATTTAAAAAAAATTTTTTTTTTAACTATTTAAAAGTTAAATTTGTTTCAAAAATTTATTTATAATTTTAATTAAAAATCAATTTTAGATTATTTTAGATGAAAGTTTCAAATTAGAAACACTGGAAAACAAAGCTTCAATTCATTGTTTAATGGGTTAGTTTCTTTATTGATAAAATTGGAATCCTTTTTGTTGATATTTATTAATTACCGACTGTCAATAATGTAGAAATCTATATTACCTACAGTCGGTAAAGTAGAGTTCTGCATTAACGACGTTCAATAATTAACCGTACTTTAAAAGTTTCAAAGAGGTAACATTGGAAAATAAAGATTTATTCTTTAATGGGTTACTTTTTTATTGATAAAGTTGGAATCTTTTTTACCGACGGAAATATTAACTATTTTACCGACTGTCGGTAAATAGCTTAGATCAAACCCATATTTTATTTACAACAATTAAATAAAATTATTAATTTATTTATATTAATAAATTAATTTTAATTAAATAATTTAATATTAATTAATTAACTAATTAATTAATTAATTAATTATAAGGAAACGCTTGCATTAATTTGGGTCGATACCATTTGGCTACAAAAAATTATCTACAAGGATTGTCAGTTTATAATTATAAATACCAGACCGGAAATATTCTGTTAAAATGGAATTTAAAATTAGAAACTTTTCTACGACAAAAATTTATTAAAAGATTTATGTTGACAAGCTCGAAAAAAATTTCCAAGGATTCATTGAAAGTCGCTGAATTTTTACATTTGCTCTCAGTTTCTCTATTGGTAACTAAAAAATATAAAATTTCTTTCAAAAAAATTTTTTTTTTATTAATTTACATTTTTTAAAATGTATTAAAATTTTATTTTTTCATTTTTATACAGATGGAAGGAAAACAAATTTCTTCACTAAAAACTTGTCAAATTAGTCTAAATTTAGGTTTTACAAATACAAACCCATGGAATTTTTATGAAAAATGTCAATTATTTTTATCAGTTGCCAAAAATTTAGAACAATTAAAAAATTACCAACTTCTAGAAATATTAATTGAAAATATTTTTCTAATGATAAGACAAAAAGAAAATTGGTGTAATGTCGAGGAATTAATTGTCCTGGCAAATATTTTTTTTGCCATAATTAAAATCGAGTAAATAAAATAAAAAACAATTAATTTATAATATATATACATATGTATATAATTAAAATTATATATTATAATAATTATATTAATTCAATTCCATTTTATCCAAATTATAGGTTCCGTCGAGGAAACTTTGCAAAAACTGTAGCAATTGGTACAAAACTTTTACGACTGACGAATATTTTACATTTATATCAAATAAAGCTTATTGCACTTCCTTTAATTATTGAATCAATGGTAATAAGTTATTTTTATTTTATTATTTCAAATAATATGTAAAAATATAGAATTTATATTTAGATTTAAAAAATAACGTTGAAAATCTACTTTACCGACTGCTGAAAAGGAGGGTTTCTACTTTATTTTCAGTCGGTAACTTAATTTTTGTCATGTATTTACTTTATCTTCGGTCGGTAATAAAGATTTCTCCTCTACATACATGTAGATAATACAATGATGTGGAAAATCTACCTTACCGACTGCTGATAAGCAGGGATTCTCTTTTATCTTCGGTTGGTAGTAAAGATTTCTCATCTATATACCTGTAGATAATAAAATTTCGGAGAAAATCTACTTTACCGACTACTGAAAAGAAGGGACTCTACTTTACCTTCAGTCGGTAATTTAATTTTTGACATTTATTTTTAATTTCTTAAAATTTTATTTATTCAGATGCGTCTTAAACGATTCAATGAAACTGTGGATCTAATGCATGAACTTTTTTATTTATCACCGGCTGACAGTGATAAATCGTCTCTTACTTGGTACTACGCTCTTTCTGTTGATCTTGTTTTGGATGCTGGTATCACATTAGAATCATATCAAAATTGTTTAACATTCGCTGAAAAAATAATTGGTACCTTTTTTTTAACTACTTTATTTTGAAAATATAATTTATTAAATGCAGATGAAAAAAATAAATATTTTATAAATATTTTATATTTTTGTTATTAATTTTAAATGGAATTTTTAAAATAAAATTTTAATATGATTTTGCCTTAGACAAAATATTTCCTATTGTAAGAGATCCTGAGGGCAAAAAGCGTCTAATTGTTTCAATACGAACTTGGCAATTAAGAAAGTAAATTGTTCATTTAAAAAAATTTAATTGTATTTTTTTGTTTATTTTTGTAATATACAAGTCTATTTTAAATTTTCGGTTAACGCTTTAATTACTATTTTCAGTGGAATTACTGTCAACGCATTTTTGTCACAATCTGTGAAAACTTACATAAATCTACTTGAAATTGATGAATTATCTCAAATTATAACTACATGTAGGGTATGAAAAATAAAAAAAATTTAGTAATTATTTCACAAATCAATTGTTTTTTACTGCATTTTCTATTACCTACTGTAGATAAATTAAATTCCTACCTTACCGACAGCTGTCAAGAAAGGTTGCTACTTTATCTTCAGTCGGTAATGAAGATTTCTTTTTGTTTTCCAAACTGAATTATTTTGCATTAAATATTTAATTGGTTATCAATTATTAATTAATAATTATTAGTAATTATGAAACATTGTTTAATTAATAATTATAAATATTTAATACTTTTATCCTTTTTAGATTCTCGAGTGTCTTTTATTGACTTTAACAAGTTACATTAATCTTGGAAAATATCTAGAAGCTGATAAATTAACTGAAAAAATTGCAAAAATCCTAAAACTCCTAGAAAATGAAACAGAAACAAATATTTTCATTACACCACGATTACATCTATTAAAAGCTTATTTATGTTTAATAAAAAATAAAAAACTTTCAACAACCTTAAATTTATGTAAAGCTAAAAAGTTGGCGAAAAAATATGGTAATCACATGGATTTAGCTTGGATAATCCAAAACGAAAAGGTAACATTTATTAATTAATATAATAATAATAATAATAGTATTATTATTACTATATTATTAATAGTAATAATATTAATAATTATTAGGGTTTATTACCGACTATAGATATATTAAATCCCTACATTACCGACAGTTGTCAAGGTAGGTTGTTACTTTATCTACAGTCGGTACTAATTTTTCTTTGTTATTTGGAACTATATTTTTAATTTATTTTTATTATTATTTATTATTATTTTATTTATTTTTTATTTTTATCGATTCATTTAAAAAACGTAGCAAGCACTATTACGGTTTATTACCAACTGCAAATATGTTAAGTTCCTTACCTTACGGACAGTCGATAAGGTAGGTTGTTACTTTATCTGTAGTTGGTAATAAATTTTTTTTGTTATTTGAACTGTATATTGTCCTTTATAAATTATTTTTATTTTTATCAATTATAATAATTAATAAAATGGATAATTAAAAATATTTGAAAAATAGATGTGGAAAATCGTGAATTATAAAAATATTACACCATATTGGATTGAATATATTGCAAATAATGATGGAATTAATTGGAAATATGTTGAAAGTCTCAACATTTATGAATGGTCAACAATATTGTATCCCATGCCAATACCTAATTCAATTATTTAAATTAAATTCAAAATCAACGAATTTTGTGAAAATATTCATTATTCACTGAAAATAATTTAATTATTAATAATTATTTTTTGCTATTTATTACAAAATAGTTACAATTAATTTTCATTTTAATTAATAAAATTAGTTTTATAAAAAAAATAGTAAAAATATATATGTTTTGTCAATTTGAAAAAATTTAATTATTAATTACTGAGATGTTGAAAAGTCTTCTAAATTTTCTTTACCATTGACATTATTTTGTAATTCTGTTTGTGACTTTCTTTTCCTTCCAAGTATCATTTTCTCCAAAACTAAAATTGGTGATTCAAAACATAAACTGAAGATAAAAGCAAGTGGAATTGATAGTATAAAATCACTGAAAGAAATGGAAATCTAAAAAAGAAATTTTTTTTCAAAAAATAAGTTTTTAGGAATCTTTTTTATTAGCAGTCGATAAGGTAGATTTCTGATTATCATCAGTCGGTAAAAAATACTTACAAATTGAATATCTGAAAAATAAACATTCACTCGTGTTGTACTCTCCAATAATAATTGTACCGAAGCATGAACTAAATAGATGCAATACGATAATTTTGCCAATGGTACAAAAATTGGCAACGATAAAAATTTTGTTATTGGCCCTAGAAAATAATGAAAATTTGCTTTTAACTAAGGGAAAATTTTTTTTAAATTAAAATAAAAAAAAAAATTTTTTTTGAAAATTTTTTTCCAGTTAAAAAAAAAATTACATACCTCCACGAATATTAATAGACGTGTAAATAATCCAAGACACTCCTAAACCCCAAATTGAACGGGCAATACTTCCAAAAATTATTTCAAAACTTATATTGTATTTGTAATCTTTTCTTTGACAATAAATAACGCCAAGAGTACAAAATATAAAACTCGCAGCAGTTCCAATCCAACCCAAAATTTCAATTTTCTAATAAATTTATACAATTATTATTATATATTTAAATTTAAAAAAAAAAATTTTTTTAAATTTTTATTTTAAAATTTAATTTCTTAAGGCTAAAATATAACTTTCAATACCTTTGTAAATCTTATATTTTGTTTGACAATTAAGTATCCAAAAAAAATTCCCACAAGCCAAGGACCGGCTCTTGTATAAGGCACTCTATAAACGGCTTCAAACATTTCCATACTAAAAAAATGGTGAAATATTTTTAAATTTCAATTACCGACTGCTGGTATAACAGTTTCCTGTTTTACCTACGGGTGATAAGAAAGGTTTCTGCTTTACCATCAGTAGGTAATTAAGATTTGTTTTAAATACCCCCTTTTGTATACATAGTTTACTGTTGATCACCGTCTGTTGGTATGACAGTTTCCTGATTTACCGACAGCCGGTAAAAAAAGGTTTTCTGCTTTATCATCAGTTGGTAATAAAGATTTCTTTTAAATACTCCTTTTCGTATACCTAGTTTACTGTTGGTTACCGACTGTTGGTGTAACAGTTTCCTGATTTACCAACAGTCGGTAAGAAAGGTTGCTGCTTTTTCATCAGTCGGTAATGAAGATTTCTTTTAAATACCACTTTTTATATACTTTACTGTTAAAAAGATACAAATTACGTACTTTCTTTCCGCCATGAGATTATACGAATATTCATTTACGCCTATAATTATTCCAGTTGTAATTAAATTTGCAATAAAACTAATAAGTAAAATTAATAATCCAATTTTTGGTTTTATTGCCAATGGATATAAAATAATTGGTGAATACCAAAATAATTGCATATCAACTGCCAAATACCACAAGTGAGCCAAACACTGAAAATAAAATTTGTAAAATTTAATTATAGTTACAAAAAAAAATTATAATTATTAATTTTCAATAAAGAAAATTATATTTTTATTTTCAAAAATTTTTTAAAAGGCATTGGAACTTTAAAAATTTAAAATTTCTTATACCATTACGTGGCTGTTGATAAAATTTTGCAAATATAAAAGAATTGTCCACCAACACTCGTCACATTGATTATAAATTTCATAACTTTCACGAAGTGGACCAGAACCAATGTGTGGCACAATAAATATTGTAAAAACCAAAAGCATTCCCACAGCTGGTGTTAATCTTATTGAGAAAAAATGAAAATTCACTTTAAAATTTATAATTATTAACTATTGGCTTTGTAATTTCCTACCACACCGATGGTTGGTAAAATAGAACTCTACTTTACTATCAGTCGCCAATAAAAATAATTTCAAAATTATTACTATTATCAACTGTTGGTTTGGTAATTTCCTACTATACCGACGGCTGTTATAATAGAAATCTACTTTACCATCAGTCGGTAATAAAAATAATTAAACTTCTTACCTAATATAACGATGAATGTAATATTCAAAAATATTAGTACTTCCAACTTTTTCAAATTTTTTCAAAAAATGATATGCCATTAGAAAACCACTAACTGTAAAGAAACTATCAACTGCATAAGGTGCCAGTACCATGTATATTGAATCCCAACTGGCAAACCACTAAAAATTTTTAGAATATTGTTTTAAAAATTAATTTATTTATTTGTTAAATCATGTCTACTTTACCTACCGTCGGTAACTAACCTCTAGGGCGTGCAGTTTATTAACAATTGTCATTACACGTGTAGCATAGGTATGACCCATTACAACCCATGCAATACTCAATACACGAATTCCATTAAGTACCGGTATTGAGGAATTATTTACTTTTGTATTTAAAATTTTCCAACTAGTTCGACGTAATGAGAATGGTATTAAAGTTTTTACAAAAATATTGTTTGAATCTCTCGTCGCATAAAATATATCGAGAATGGTACATCCAATTAAAATTAAAACGTAAATTACAATGAATGATCTAAAACAAGTAATTCTAGGGTTAGTGAACGATCTACTTTATCGACAGTTGTTACTGCAGGTTTCTACATAACCATTGGTCGGTAATAAAAAATTAAATAAATGCAAATAAAAGGATAATATACATTATCGACCGCTGGTTAGTTAGCGATCTACATTACCGACAGCAGGTAATGTAGGAAGCTGCTTAACCATCAGTCGGTAATAAAAAAAACCCGTTAATTATAGTAAAAAAATTGTCAATAATAAAAGAAATTAAATAAAAGCAAAAAAAGGGTAATATACATTATCGACCACTGGTTACTTAGCAATCTAATTTTTATCATCTTACAAAGCGATTATACTTCCGTTTGACCATTCCAGTGTATCAATTCTCGAGCATGTCGTTGATTTTAATTCAATTCCAAATTCATGAATATCTGTTATGTTATTTATTATTAAATTTAGTAGTCGATTAATATCTGTTGCATTGCATATTGACGGAACACAAATTGAAAGCATTGGCATTATTTCTTTTTTATTTGTAGAAAGTGAGTACATGCAATGACGTCCACGAATTAATGATCCATTTTTATTTACATTAATTGACAAACACTCGTCGTACATTCCCAAATCGATAATATTGCCAACTAATATTCCCGGTTGTAATTTTGAAGTTGCATCTGCCACTGAATTAAAAATTTCTTTCATTATAATTTTTTTAAAATTATTTTCACTATTATAAATATTATTATTGTCGTTTTTCCTATTATTATTATTATTATTTTTATTACTGTATCGACTGCTGTTAAAATAGAACGCTACTTTACCATCAGTCGGTAATAAAATTGTTTATTATTATTATCAACTATTGCTTAATTAATTCCCTACTATACCGACTGCTGTTAAAATAGAATACTACTTTACCATCAGTCGGTAATAAAATTGCTTATTATTATCTACTATTGATTATTAATTCCCTACTATACCGACTGCTGTTAAAATAGAAAACTACTTTACCATCAGTCGGTAATAAAAGAATTGAAAAAATTATTATCTATTGTTGGCTTTCTACTTTATCGACAGTTGTTAATGCAGAACATTTTTTTTATTATTTACTATTTTTTACTATAACAATAAAAAAATTTTTAATTATTTCATTAGAATTTTATTTACTAACTTTGATATGTCCATAATTCGCCTTTCTTTAATGATTTTGTAAATTGATAAAGTTCCTCATAACATGGATTAGAAAAATTTATTTCAATTTCTTTTGTCAATGATGATGATGATGATGATGATGATGAAATGCGTTGTTGATGCTGTTGTACAATGTTAATTAAATTTTGCACTTTTGTAATATTTAATTGATTTTGAAAAATTGATAATGAATTTTTTATTTGACAAAAAACTATTATAATTTTTATGATTATTAATATTGAAAAATTCTTATGAGAAAAGATCATTTTTATTGAATCTGTTTAATCCTACTAAAGTATAGACAACAATGCATTATATAAAATGAACAATTTTATCATTTTGTCAACTTCATATTATTATCTTATCAATAATTTTCATATTAATCAAGTTCAATATAAAACATATTTATTGGATTAATTTTTTAGTAAAATTTAATTATTTTTGCGTAAAAAATAATATTGATAATAAAATTATTGATTTTTTTTTAAATTTATTTTTAATTCTATTATTTTGAAAAAAAAGTTTCATTAAATTACCGACGATAATTTCTGTATTAACAACTGTCGATAAAGTAGAGAGTAACATAAAAATTCAAGTAGGGTTCTGTATTACCAGCTGTCGATAAAGTAGATTTTTAACTTACCAAAATATATAAACAATAATGACGTAATAAATAAACAAATTGACCAATATATAAATGATAATTAAAGGAAATAATTTCAATAATTTAAAAAAAGATAAAAAATTTATTTTCCTGTGAGAGATAAAACTTTTTTTTTTGTTTATTGTCGTTTAATAAGACATAATTTTCATTTAATCGATTCATTGATTTTGGAATTTTTGTACATACAACATTATTATCATAATCAGTGATTTATCTCTTGTTCTACAGAAAAAAAATTTCTCTCAATTATTATTTTCTTATCAATAAAAAAAATTTTCGTCAAGTTACCATGAATACCTTTTGGAAGATGTTATTAATTTTTCTAACACTATTAAAATTAATTTCATCATCGTCAATAAAAACAAATGAAATTGAAAGTTTTTTTAAAATTCTCAAACCCAAAAATTTAATGGAAATTTTTATAAGTGAAAAAAATAATTCCAATTGCATTAATGATATTTCGTTTGTAATTAATGAAATAAAAAATTCAACAACTAATCTCAACACTATTTGGGCATTAAAAAGTAAGTTTTTTGAAAAAAAAATGAAATTTGTTTAATATAATTATTTTAATTTTTAGTAAAAATATTTAAAAAAATTTTTTATTTTTTTTAAGTGTTGGATTCGAGTACAAAAATACCATCTGGTTTTTTAACGGGAAATTTGGTTGATTTGGGAATGTTCGATGAATGTATTTCAATTTTAAAAATCAAAAACGAAAAAAAAATTCAAGGTCGTCATTGTTTATATTCTTTTAAGTTAAAAAAATTTCCTTTTCCATTGACATTTGCCATTTGTATTCCTTCGTCTTGTCATGAACAGGATTTAAAATTTCTTTTTGACAAAATAAATAAAAAAATTAATGAAACGGAAAATTTTACAAATTTCACAATTCAAGATTTTTCTGCAACTTGTTCGATTGTTGGTAATAGAGAAATAACATTTGGAACTATTGTCACAATGTAAGTAATTAATTAAGTAAATTTATAAAATTTTAATTAAAAATTTTTTAATTTATAAATTTTAAATTGCAGAAAAAATTTTCAAATTAAAAAATTTTGTTTTTCAGTGTCATATTGGTAATAATTATTTTTTTCCTACTAATTTGTACCTTTTTTGATTATGCTGAGAAAAATTTGAAATTTATTTCCAAATGTAGTAAAAATTTAGCAAAATTTTCCCTCATCAAAAGTAGTGCAAGAATATTTAATATAAAACGCAATTATAGTAATAATAATAATTCACTGCCTGTGATTCATGGAATTCGAACATTAAGCATTTTTTGGATTATTTTTGGTCATTCATTTACTGCACGATTATTTACACCATTTGTCAATTCATTGTACAAATATAGAGTAAGTTTTAAAAAAAAATTAATTTTTGCAAATTATTAGAGTAAATTAAAAGAAAAAAAAATTTTTTTTTTCTTTCAGTGGTTTACATATCCAAATAGTTTGTATATTTTTCTGGCACCATTTGCAGTTGATACATTTTTTGTTATTAGTGGATTTTTGATGACTTATCTTGTTCTCAAGGAATTGTCACATGGCAAAAGATTTAATATATTTATATATTATTTACATCGTTACATAAGGTATTTTTTTGATAATAATTGTAAATATAATAATTATTAATATTTTTACGAGGAAAGTGAAAAATCTGCGGTATATTACCTTACAAAGGTAGAAATCTACTTTACCGACTGTTGGTACAGTAGAAATCTACGTTACCGCCTGTCAGCACAGTAGAAATCTATTTTACCGATTGCCGCTACTGTAGAAATCTATTTTACCGTCTGTCAGTACAATAAACATCTATTTTTACCTACTAATGGTAAAGTAGAAATCTGTTTTTTAACTCTTTGTAAATAACTAATAAAAATTCTATTTCGCTGTCTGCAAGTAATGTACATTTCTACATTGTCGACAGTCGGAAAATATTCAAATAGGAACTCTACTTTACCGACTATAGGTATTGTAGATTAAAACATTGCCTACTGTCGGTAATGAACCACAAAAATTATATTTCACTGACTGTAGTTAATGTAAATTTCTACATTGCTCGCAGTTGGTAATTAGTTAATTAGAAACTCTACTTTACCGACTGTAGGTAATGTAGATTTCTACATTACCTACAGTTGGTAATTAATCAAAAAATTCTATTTCACTGACTATAGGTAATGTATATTTCTAAATTGCTGTCAGTCAGTAATTAGTTAATCAGGAACTCTACTTTACCGACTATTGGTAATATAGATTTCAACATTACCTGCAGTCGGTAACTAACCATAAAATTCTATTTTACTAACTGCGTAGGTAATGTAAATTTCTACATTGCTGGCAATATTAATCATAATAATATTTGAATATTTTTTTTAAAGATTAACACCAGTTGTAGTGATGTTATTATTAATAACAATTTTCATTCTTCCACATTTGGGATCTGGTCCATTGTGGGAAAGAGGACTTAATAAAATGTTATCAAATACATGTAGAGAAAAATGGTGGACACTTTTAATTTATATGCAAAATTATATTCGATCTGATATCGAGGTATAGAAAATTTTTTCTATATAATTAAAAAAAAAAAAAATAATAACGTTCCCTTTATAAATTCGTATGAATTTTTAAAATAAAATTTTTAATTTATTTTTAAAATTATTAGTGTTTAGGTCACACTTGGTATTTAGCGGCAGATATGCATTTTTATTGGCTCTCACCAATAATATTACTTCCATTGGCAAAAAAACCAAAATTTGGTCTCATTATATTGGGATTATTATTTATTATTTCACTAATGATTGTTGGTATTTTAATATCAATAAATGGATATGTTTCGACATTGTATTCAAATAGTGTCACGTAAGTTTTTAAATATATTAAATTTATAATTATGTGAAAAAAAAAAAATTTCAAAACAATATACCGCAACTATTTTTTCTATTTTATTTTTAAATAAAAAAAAAATAAATTTATTTAATTAATTTTAAATAAAAAATTTTTAAAAATAATTAATTTTATTTAATTAATTTTAATTAAAAAGTTAATTAAATATAAAATTAATTCTAATTAAAAAAATTAATTAAATAAAATAAGTTTTAATTAAAAAATTAATTAAATAAAATTAATTTTTTTTTTAATACTTCAAAAAATTTTTGACAATTATTATTGCGCGGTTTCACTGCAACTTATTTTAAATATTATTCGATTAATATTAAATTATAACAAATTAACAATAATTTTTGCAATTAACAAGATTTTATCGTCTTTTTTTCATTAAATATCTATAGATTAGATAAGGTGGCAACGTCTTTTCGATTTTTCTACACTGTCTCACATACCAGAGCAAGTTCTTGGCTCGTGGGAATATTTTTAGGTTATGTTGTTCATTTGAAACCGAATTTTCTCAACAAGGTTTTTGAGTTTTTTTTTTTAAATAATAAATTTTAACTTAAAAAAATATATTTCTATCTTTATATTTTTTTAAATAAAGATTTGTATATAAATAAATTATAATTGTTATATTATATTATAATTATATAATTATTTTTAAAAAAATTTATAATTATATAAAAAAACGTAGGTAATTTTATAATAATAATAATAATAATAATAATAATAATATTTTAATTTAAAAAACGTTTTAATTGAAAATAATTTTTTTTTTTGAAGAAAATTTCGTATCTCGGATGGATAGGCGCTTTGGGATGTTTTACATTTTGTATAATTGGACAAAGAATTGTTTTAGAAGAAACATATAAATATAGTTCAACATTCGAAGTGACTTTTGGAATGTTTTCACGACCAATTTGGGCAATTGGAATTTCATGGATTATTTTTACATCAATTTTTGGTTACGGTGGTATGTAATTAGAAACAAAAAAAAATAGGGGGTGGTTAAATTTTTTTTAACGATTTTTTTTCCTTTATACATTTAGTTCTTTAGGGAAAATTTAATTTCTTTTTTTTTTTTTTTTTTGCAGGTTTCGTGACAAAATTTCTATCACTTCCAATTTTTGCCCCTTTTAGTAAACTTTCCTATTGCATTTACATTGTTCATGCAACATTTCAAATTGCAAAAGTCAACACTATTAAAACTGCTGATTATTTTTCTGAATTTCCAATGGTAAAAAAATTTTAATTTTTAAATTTATTTTTAATTAATTAATTTAATATAATATTAAAAATTCAAAAATTAATTTATTTACTTTAATTATTGCGTTTGTATATTAAAATTCAATATTTGTTTTAGTTCCTCTACTTTCTCAGTGAATTATCAATGACAATAATATTGGCTTATTTTTTCTCAATACTTTTTGAATCACCAATTATGGTTTTGGAAAAAATGGTATTCAAGAGGAAAAAAAATAATAATTTACAATCACAAAATTTACAGCAAAGTGATATAATCATCAATGAAGCTAAAAAATCGTAATTTTATTTTAATATTTTATTTATTATAATATATGAATTTTTTTTATGAAATAGGTATTAATTTAATTTAAACTTTAAATTAATTTTAATTTAAATTGTAATTATTATTTTTATATTATATTTGTTAATTGAGACCGGGTTCAATTTTATATTTGGCAACGTTTCGGTTACTTTGTTTACTGCCAAAATCAAGCTACTTTATATAACAAAAATTATTAAACAAATTAAAAATTAACATATATAATATTATAATAAACAGTTTTTTTTAGTAGAAAATACAAAAAAATGTTTTTTATATAAAATTAATAATTATTACCTAGTTTTAGAAATTGTGAATTAAGCGTCTGAGAAAAATCAAAATTATACAATTTATATTTTAAAACTTGTACCGACGATATAGTTGTTCGGAATGACCGAGGTAAACTAAAGTGCATGAAGATGACTAGAAATATAAATCATGAAAAAATGTTAACAGACTTAGATAAAAGTAATATAAAAATTATTTTTTTATTAATAATAATTAATTCCATTTTATTTGGTAATGTAGAAAATTTTTTAAATAATTAAATTTCTTTGTAATACATTTATAACATTTAGTTAAAAAAAAAAAAATTATTTATTGTAAAAAGAAAATATTGATTTTTCCTAGACAAATAGAAGATAAGGAAAATCAATAAATTCCACAAATATTGAATTACTATTTCAAAATTTCCCGCCTTATATTCATAATAGATTATAATGGAATACGCGAGTCAATTCTTAACCTATAGTAAATTATTTTATTTTTTTTATTTTTCAATCATTTATGTACAGATATGATTCAATATTAAAATTTACACTTAGATTAAACATATGAATTAGAAAAAATTCATAGTATAATTTTTTTTGCAAATTTTTTTTATATTTTTCATGTAAAATGCGTCTCAATTTTAAATTTCAATAAAAAATATTCATTTTTTAAAAAGTTATCGTGATTATAAAATTTTTTTTTCAAATATCTCCTATTATATATTAAAATGTTTAATTTATCATCCTTGTAACGTCACTTTTGGACAAGAATTTTTGTTTTTTAATTTTTTTTTTAATTTGCAAATTTGCTTTGGCGATGTATAGATGATTAAAATGAAATATACATTTTTGGTATCTACGAATGTTGATTTGGCGATATTAGAATCGCAACTAAAAATATAATAAACTTAAGAAAGTATAATCATTTAAAGAATTAAAATTGTACAATAATAATCAAAGCTAGTAAGCAATATGATTTTTTTGCTTTAAATAAAATTATGCATGAAAACATTATTCAAAGAAATTTATGTATAGAAAATAACTAACCATATATATTTCAAAACCTATATGTCGTATTGTACTACGCAATTTTTAATATTAAGAGAAAGCAATCAATAGTGAAATATTGACAATGTTGCCAACTTAAAAATTAATAAGAAAAATACAAATTCTAAATTGGCACGTTTTTGACCCTTTTTCAAAATAGGGACCTTCTTGTTTCTGTTTCTGAATTGGCACGTTATTGCGTTAACACGGTTTATATAATTAAAAATTAATAAGAGTTGTCGCAAATTATCAATGAAAACGTAGGACTGAATTATCGAAAAAATTTTATACAGCCGCATTGATAATAAAAATAATAATAATTAATAAATTTTCTATTGAATGACTATTTAATTTTAATAATATTCTCTTGATAAAAATCCAAACAAGTCAAACTACTGCTGAAAACAGTAGACAAGAATGTTCGCCAAGGATAGTGGAAAAAGTGTGTGGTCTGATATGCTGCGCGCGCAACAAGGTTCTTCGCAAGGAGAGAAAGAGAGAGAGAGAGAGAAACAAAGAAAATACCACCGAGTTTACAGTTTTTATCATCATTCTCCCTTCTAAAAACTCCCTGGTCACCGATACGTTTTTTTTTTAAAACGTACTTTTTGAAAAATTGTCTTTTGAGGTTTTCGAAAAATCCTTGGTTCCAGGTTGAAATGTGATTTGTGTTTAAGGTTTTCTAAAAACTCCCTGGTCACCAATACGTTTTTTTTAAAAACGTACTTCTTGAAAAATTGTCTTTTGAGGTTTTCGAAAATCATTTTATTTGGCATCTAAAGAATAACTGACTATTTTTTTTATAAAAAAAATAATAATAAACAATTATTCCTTGAGTCCTTTAAAAAAAGTGATTTTCTGTGGACACGCTAAAAATCGAGACAGGATCTGAAATCAAAAAAACAAAAACATTATTACGAGGATGTCACACATTGAAAGGTCATGAAACAAAAATATTTAAAAGAGAGGAAACAACATTATTTTATAAAAATGTCCAAGTTTCCATTATGTAGAGGTTGATTAAAAGAATAAAATTCAAAATGTCACTCTCATCTTAATTATTTTATTAAGCATGTTTTACACGCACGCAAATTTATCAAGGAGAGTACACAAAACAAACTATTTTTGAATTTAATGATACAAAATAGAACAATATATTAAAAACTAAATAAATAAATTTTTCCCAATAAAGATATTTTATTCAATAAATATATAATAATTAATTTCATCATTGACAAAACTAAATAAATTTATCAATATTCAAATATTTAATTACAGTTTTAATTTTAAGCGCTGTTTTGAAATACGAAATAATTGCGTTGTTTTTGACCTAATTACGCGTGTAAAAATTATCTTTAAAAAAACAAATTATTTTAAACGTTCATGATAATGGTAATTTTAAATATTTTATAAACGTGATGAGGACTATAAAAGTAGTTTTTTTTTTTTGAAACTTTATACAATTTAAATTTAAAGAATAACTAAATAGAAAAAATTGATTGACACGATGAATTGTCCTTCATCAAACATTGTACTGTGCCTCTTTTTAATATTTCTTTTTGTTATTTTAGCGTCAAGTAAGTCAAATTTTATTTTTAAAAAAATAAAAAATTTATTCATATATACATATATTAAATATTTTAACTTTTACAATAATATATTTTTAATGATTTACTAAATTTAAACTTTAAATCTAATATTTAATACAAATATTTATATTTACATTATAATTTTATAAACAGGTGAAACACTTCAGAGACTCAGGCCATATAAATACAACGGCGGTAGGAGATAATCTGACTGTTAAAACTAGCCCAAACAGCGTGTTCAAAAATATGAGGGGTGAAATAATAAAAAAAAGAATAATAAATAATAAAAAATAAATTAATTAAAGAAAATAATTTCAATAGCATATTATTTTGCACCCATCAAAAAAATTTTATTTTGAAAATGGTTGAATATAATAATTATTTATTTAAAAAATATGCAAACAAAAATTAATAAAGTTTTCTGAGAATATTTGGTCAGTGGTTTAATTTTTTATATGTAATTTTTGAAAAATTGTCTTTTGAGGTTTTCTATAAAAATTTTGGTCACCATTTTTTTAATGCGAGACAATAAAAAAAATTAAATTACCATTTTTTTAAATGGTAAAATTGTCTTTTGAGGTTTTCTACAAAACATTTTATTGTAGTTTTAGAAATGTAAATTTCTTTTTAAGCCAAGATTTAATTAATCGAGATGGCAGCACTCATCTATTTTCTTTCTTTAAATTTTTTCTGAATCCTTTTTATAAAAAGCAAAACTGCCATCTACCTTCTTAAAAGCTCCGCTATATTGATTTTATCGACAAATTTTTTCTCATGCATTTTAGGTTATGTTTATAAGCTGTCACTTTTTAATTATCGAATTGCACATTGTCTTTGATTTTCTGTTATTTTCATATTCAAATTAAATAGTGCAATGGTCTCCGCAATTGTACTATTACCAAAATATCTGAAAAAAATTCGTTCAATTTTGAGTCGATTCAATTCGGCCATGATTGATATAAATTGATTAAATTTTTTGCATCAAAAAATGAGACCGTTTCGTGTATCATTTCTAAAAATGATACACAAAACGATCTCTTTTTGATATAACTTATGTGCATCAAAACGTTGCAAAGATTTGATGCAATTTTTGGTCTCAATTTGAAACTTTTAGGAAAACTGTGTTCGGGAACGGACGAAGAATTTTGATAAAAAAAATAATTGAATTTTATTTTTTTTTATTATATATGAAATTTAAATTTCAAGAGGCCTGGGGATCATGGGTCAACAATATAATTTTGTAATTTCAACATAACCTTAAAATATATCAAGGCAGCCTCAAGACAACAACAATAATTGTTATTACAATTACGTATGACAAGTATATATGCGAAAACAGATAATTCTTTTTTAAATGTTCATATATATATATGCGATAAGGGTAATTGTAGGTTACTTATTTAAAAACCGGTACAACTTTTTGTTTTTTTAAACGTTATATACATATTTATATATAGTGGATGCAATTTCAATACTTAAAGAAAACTAATTCAGAATGCGTTATCTATCATCAAAAATCGTTTTTTGCCTCTTTTTAACATTTATTGTTACTTTTGTGTCAAGTAAGTTGATTTTAATTAAAAACAAAAATTTTTGTCATATATTTAATACATACCATTAAAAAAAATTTCTTTTTTTAACTCAATAGAAAGAGGAAAAACAGAAATAATAAAAAAAAAATTTTTCATTTGTTTTCAGGTGAAAAATGTGATGGCGGAAAAGGATATTGTAAAACTTTATTTTTGCCAGATTGTTCTGGTGCAAAAGTCAGTAAGAACAGTTATTGCGTTAATGGATTTGGCGATAGATTGAAGTGCTGTCTCCACTAAATTATTATTTCTCCATAATGTATTATTATACTATCAAAAGATCTGCAAAAATATTGTTGTAATTTTACAAAATTGTAATGTACTATAATTTGAAAATTAAAATCATAAAAAAAAATCAATAAAAATTGATTTATTAATTACTCGCAATGAAAACTGATAAATTCATAGAAAACATATAAAATTAAATAAAAAAATTTATAAAAAAAACGAAGTGTATTAAAATTATAAATGTTGAGAAATCATACAAAAAAAGGTAAGTAAAAAGTGGTTCTTTGAAAATCAGAAAAGACAATTAACATCATCGACGACTTAAGCCAAAATTATCAAAACTTTTATTTCATTATTAATAATTATTTATTATTTAATATTATTATTATTAATATATAATTAATAAGAAATAATAATTCGTACTTTGCAGTGAGTAAAAAAAATAGAAATAAATAAAATAATAAAAATATAATAATAACTAGGAAACGGTTTAGATATGGATATTTTTTTGATATAACGCATAATGTATAATTAAAAAATATATATTTTTTATAATAATTTGAACAAAAGATAAAATACTAGTTTTAACTTATCGCTAAATGACCATTTTATATATAATATAACAATATAAAAAGAGGTGACACTTTATTATTTACAGTCAATTTGAAAATTTATTCTACGCAAGAAAAAAAGAAAATTTATAATTATGCGTTTTCTTACATTTTGCCTTTTTTTGGCATATATTGCTATTGCATCTGTTATAGGTTAAGTAAATTTTTAATACACATGAATGTAAAAGTGAAAAATAATAATTATAGAAATAGAAAAATATTTTGAAAAAAGGAAATTTTTTTTACATTTACATTTTTTTAAAATTATGATTCGTAATTGTACGGCATTAATGGCGCACTCACACCTTTTTGGCTGCCTGCAGGTTACCATAACAACGCACGAGTGTGAGTGAGACAGAAAATATAAATATTCAAATTTTTAAATTTTCTGTCGCACTCACTCTCATGCGTTGCCATGGTAACCTGCAGGCAGCCAAAAATGTGTGAGTGCGCGCCTTAAGAAATAAACTAATTTTTCTTTTTTGTCTTTAGGTGAAAAATGTGCTGGTGGCAAGGGATATTGTAAAACATTATTTACGCCTGATTGTTCTGGTGCAAAAGTCAGTAAGACAAGTTATTGCCTTAATGCATATAAAGAGAAATTAAAGTGCTGCCTTAAGTGAATTATATTTCTCCAATTTATTATATATTAGAAAAAGTTCTAAATACAAAAATAATTTTTAAAAACAAAATGGACTGCTGTCCATTTATTATTGATAATATGTAAAAAAAAACAATAAAAATTGATTTATTAATTACGCAATTAATGCTAAAAAATTTATAGAAAATTTAAATTTAAATAAAAAATTGCTAAATAAATAATATGCTAGTTTTTATCGTTAAATGACGTATTAAGATTACTATATATAAAAAGATGTGACACTATTATTTTACAGATAATTTTAAAAATTTATTCCACAAGAAAAAAAGAAAGTTAATAATTATGCGTTTTCTTTTTTCTCTATTAAGAAAGATTTTTTTATTCATGGCGTCAAAAATTAAAAATGGAGAAAAAATTAATTTTTTTTTTAAATTAAACATATTTTCTTCCATTCTCTAAATAAAGAATTGGTATTAATGGAAAATAAATTTTTTTAAAGAATTAATTGGTTGAAAACATTAATTTTTTCTATCTTAAATATTGTTAAAAAAATGAGAATTTTTTTTTTAATGTGGCTAAAAAAAGATTAATTTTTAAATGAAATATTCATGAAAAAAAAAATATTTTATCAAAAATATGGCTGAAAAAAAATCAATCATTTTATCAAAAAATTGTTGGTGAAAAGAATTAATATTTTATTTAAATCAATATTTTTGATTAAAATATTAATTTTTTTGATACCTAAAATAATACATTTTTTTGACCAATATTTCAGTTTAACAGATAAAAGATTTGCTTTTGATACAAAAAGAAAAAAATACTGGAAAAATTTAAAGAAAGGAAAAAAATTAAAAAAACGAATGCTTCGCCAATTTCGTGGAGCATTCGCATCATACAATTCGCCAGGGTATATATATATAGAAAGGAGGTAAGTAAAAAGGTTTTCTTTAAAAACCAGAAAAGACAATTAATAATTTTATATATAATAATAACTATAGAATTCAAATTTGCTTTGATATTTTTCGAAACTTTTATAAACTTCTTACACGTGTAAAGTACACGTTTATTTTTTCAGTATGGTTTATGTCGATGATATCAATGTAACAAAGAAATAATGTTTTTTATAATAATTTGTTAACAAAAAAATAATATAAACTTGTTTTTATCGCTAAATTATATATTTTAAAAAGACCGTTATACCTTAAGGTCGGTTTCTACAAATGTTGAAAACGCGCCATACAGAACTCAATTTTCCTAACATAACCTATAACCTAACCTAACCCATGTTAAAAACACAAACTGTGACATATAAACAAAAATCTTCAATTTTTCTCCTTTAATTTCATTTTATTTCTTAAAAAAAAAAAAATGAATCGAAAAATGAAAAGAACCTTTTTAGACATCGAAACAAAAGCAGAGGTTTTGAAAAAAATTAAAATCGGTGTCGAGAAGGATGAAATTTTACGTAAATATGAAATTGGTGAAAGTTCATATTATAAATTTATGAGAAAAGAAACGGAAATTATGAATACATTGAAAAAACCAGAAAATAAACATCGTCGATTATTTAAAAAATTAAAAAATGAATATTTAGATGACGCTGTTATAAAATGGTATCAACAAATAAGAGATAGGGGAGATTTAGTAACAGGTACAATGATTCGTGAAAAAGCGAAAATTTTCAATGATAAACTTAATGGACCACGAAATTTTAAAGTAAGTATTTTATTTATTTACGCGAGGACGAAAAATTATAAACATTTTAATATAAGGCTATTAGGAGATATTTTCAAAAAATTTTAAAATCACCTTAAATTTAAAAAAAATGAATATTTTTTAACGAGATTTGAAATTGAGACGCATTTTACATGTGAATTGCTGAAAAAATTTTTTAAAAAGTTGCAAAAACAATTTTTTTTTTACAAAAAATAGCAAAAAAAATTTATAATGTGAATTTTTTCTAATTCATATGTTTAATCTATGTGTAAATTTTAATTTTGAAGCATATCTGTACAGAAATGATTAAAAAACGATGTGAAAAAGAAAAATTCTTGTCCAAAAGTGACGTCACGAGAACGACAAATTAAACATTTTAATATAATAGGAGATATATTTGAAAAACATTTTAAATCACGATAACGAAAAATTTATTAAAATTTATTAAAATTATTTCAAAAAATTTCAATTAAAATTCAATTATTTTGAAAATTTTCAATTCCAAATTAATTAAAATTCAATTATTCTCAAAATTTTCAATTCCAAATTAATTATTTTCAAAAATTTCAATTAAAATTCAATTACTTTCAAAATTTTCAATTCTGAATTAATTAAAATTCAATTTTTTTCAAAATTTTTAATTCAAAATCAACTAAAATTCAATTATTTTCAAAATGTTAAATTCTAAATTAAATAAAATTTAATTTTTTTCAAAAATTAAAATTCAAAATCAACTAAAATTCAATTATTTTTTAAAATTTTCAATTAAAATTCAATTCTTTTCAAATTTTTATATTTAAATTCAACTAAAATTCAATTGTTTTGAAAAATTTCAACTCTGAATTAATTAAAATTCAATTATTTAAAAAAAATTTCAATTATTTTCAAAACTTTCAATTCCAAATTAACTAAAAATCAATTTTTTCAAAATGTTAAATTCTGAATTAATTAAAATTCAATTTTTTTCAAAAATTTCAATCTAAAAACAACTAAAATTCAATTATTTTTCTAATTTTCAATTCAAAATCAAATAAAATTCAATTATTTTTTAAAACTTCGATTGAAATTCAATTATTTTTCAAAATTTGAATTCAATATCAATTGAAATTCAATTATTTTAAAAAATTTCAATTTAAAATCAACTAAAATTTAATTGTTTTCATCATTTTCCATTTAAAATAAACTAAAATTCAATTATTTTAAAAAAATTTAATTAAAATTCAATTATTTTCAAAATTTTTTAATTTTAATTTAACAAATATATTTTTCCCTTTTTTTAAGGCAAGCAGTGGTTGGTTAACGAAATTTAAAAAAAGATTCAACATTCGTTTAGCTGAAACCAATGGAATTGGAGGAAATTTATATTGTTTACAACAATTTTCCGATAGTTTAAAGGAAAAAATTATTTCTGATAAATTATCATTGGAAAATATTTACAATGCCGATGAGGCTGGTATTTATTGGCGAACAATTGTTTCGGATATTTTGAAAAATATTCCGAATGATAGTGAAATTTTTCCCAATTATGAAGATAATGATTTTATAACGGCTTTATTATGCACAAATGCCAGTGGTAATAATCGTATTCCCCTTTTAATAATTGGAAAATCCAATGAAGAAATTTGTTTGAAAAATTTAATACCAGACAAAGAGAAAAATAGTTATTTAAAAGAAATACCATCACTTGGCGTTATTTATGCAAATAATGATGAAAACCTACGAATGACTCAGAGGATATTCAAACACTGGTAATTACTAAAAAAAAAAATTCCAAATTTATTAAATTTTTAAAAATTAAAATTTTCAATTTCTGAAATTTTTAGGTTTGAGGAAATTTTTATTCCACGTGCATTAAATTTTCAACGTTACACGGGAATCGATGGAAAAATTCTCCTAATTTTGGACAATGCACCATGTCATTCTGATATCGATGAATTAAATTCAATTAATGAAAATATCGAAATTATTAATTTACCAATAAATTTATCGGCATTGATACAACCAATTGCACAAAAACCAATAGAATTTGTAAAAAAGAATTATAAAAAAAATTTATTAACAAATTTTATAATTAGCGATCAAAAAAATGAGGATGGATATAAATATTTAAAAAATTTTAATTATCACAATTGTTTTTCACTATTAAACGATGCATGGAATAATTTACAATGTTTAACATTACAAAATGTTTGGTCATCATTTTTAGGTGATATTAATAATTTACAAGTAAATAAAAAATTATCAAATGATGATTTAGAAATTGACGAATTAATTAAAATTGAATCATCAATTGATGATGATGATGATGTTAAATTTTCCAAAGAAATTTTAAATGATTTACAACGTATTTTTGTGGGGCCAAATTTTAAAATTGAATTATCAGAAATTATTTTTCGTAATTGGTTTGAAAATGATAGTTATGATTGTGGTTGGGATGCAATGTCTGATGATGATATTGTTAATTTTGTTCAAAATTTGAAAAAAAGAGATAAAAATAATGATAATTTAAATGATAATGATGATAATTGTAATGAAAATAATGATAATTATAATAATAATAATAATTACGATAGTGATAATGATGATAATATTTTAGTAACTGATAGTGAAAATAGTACAGATTTAATTTTACCAAAACAACAGGAATTAAAAATAACCGCCTCTGAGGCTTATGAAAATTTACAAATTGTTAAAACTTGGGTTCGACAAAAAACATCGAAACTTTATATTAATAATTTTACAGTAGAACAAGTTGAGAATATGATAAGTGAGACGTTGAAAAAAAATCAAATTTCCGTAAAAGAATTTTATTTACCAATTAAAGAAGAAGATTTATCAGATTAAATTCATCAGATTTTTCGTCTAGTCACTAATTTGCGATAGGAATAATTCTATTTTTTTTTAAATCTCCTTTATTTTTAATGTACATATTTTATTATTATTTTATGTATAAATTTTCATGTGTAAAAATGTACAGTTTTTGTAATAAAAAAAAAAAAAAACATTGAAATATGATTTTTTTTCTAATAAAATTGTCGAATTTTCTATTTATTCTTTGTATAAATTTTAAAAATAACTAAATTATTATTTAAATTACAATTTAATGTTCGCTTTATGGCGGGAAATTTGTTTCCCAAATATTATCAAAAGAGAGCGTTGTAAACAGTTTTTTCTCATAATAAACTTTCCACTCTATTATTTTCATTATTCTATGATTACAAATATATAATTTTGTCTTGTTAAAATTTTACATTATAACCAAATTTGGTGTTTAAAATTTTTGAATGAAAGTTATTAATAACGGTCGTTTTGTTTATTAGAGGAAAGAAAAACATTTTATTATACAAATGTAAGTGAAAATTAATTTAATATTCATTTTTTCTTTTCTTAGATTTACGATTTTACTTTTTTGTAGTAAAAAACAAAAAAATAATAATTTTTACATTTAAAAATTTTTATTCATTATAATTTTTAAATTTATTTACAATTATAAAATTAAAAAAATTTCCTTTAAATAAAGAAAATTTCATTTTTCGATTTTATTAATTTTATAGAGGTTATGTTTCGTGTAATTTTTAAAATTTATTTAAAAAAAAAATAAATATATAAACATTAAATCAGTTAGTAACGTCAATGTAATTCTTATAATAATAATAATAATAATTTATAGAACAATAATTACCTAATTGGTTTAAAAAAAAATAATTTTAAAAATTATGTTTTTTTATACGAAATTTTTTGAAAATAAAAATCAATAAAAAACCGTTAAAAATTCATTCACTTTTTTTTAAGACCGAAAATGAGTCAAGGAATTTCAAAAAAACTTCAAGATGAAGTTGATAAATTCAAACAAGCTCAAAAAGAATATCACAAGGCGCTAAATAAACGACAACAATTAGATGGACAATTAAATGAAAATACAACAGTTAAAGAAGAATTAGATCTTTTAAAAGCCGAAAATGATGTCTATAAACTTATTGGACCCGTTTTAGTTAAACAAGATTTGGAGGAAGCTAAACAAAATATTGCCAAACGAATGTCGTATATTTCATCTGAATTGTAAGAATTTCATCAAAAAAAAAGGATATTTTAAAATATTTCAGTAAACAAAACTTTTTGATTTCGAAATTTTCTTTTTTTTTACAGAAAACGTACAGATGATTTGATTTCGACTTTGGACAAAAAACAAGAGACGTTACGTGCAAATTTGGAAAAATTACAACAAACTTTTCAACAACAACAACAGCAGCAACAGCAAAGAAAAACGAAGGCGTAAATCTTCACAATTGAACTTAAAAAAAAAAAAAAAAAAAAAAAAAATTACCACCTTCTTATTTAATAATGAAATTTTTTTGCAACTATTGTTCTTATTTTACAATATAAAATAAAATTATATATTTAACAAATTAATTCGAAATTTTTTAAATTTATAAAAATTTGTAAGAATTTGATTTCATAATATAAACGAAAAAAAAAAATGGAAAATAATTAAATATTCTATAAAGTTAAATTTTGAAATATTAAATTTATTTTTATAAATATATTTAAAAAATTTAATATTATAAAATATTTATCAATGTAAACAAAATAAACGTTAATTAAAATTCAAATCATTGTTAGAAAGTAAAAAAATTAAAATTAAAATAAATTTTTTTCGCCATTGACTTGAAAAAGTGTCTTTTTTGTGCCTGTTTTGGGCAGATAAAGTAGCACTTTTTAAGGCAGTTTGGGCCAACTGCCTAAAAAAGACTTTTTTAAGGCAGAAAACTGCCCTATAAAGTCTTTTTTAGGCAGTTGTTAATTTTTGCATAATTTTTGTTTTGCTTTTATTTTATTTAACAATTTTTATTATTTTATTTTATGTACTATTTCATATATATTATATTATATATATTATATAAATATTATATATATATATATTTATAATATATAATTATATTTCTTTAAAATTGTTTCACTTTTTCATAACAATGGCGAAAAAAATAGCGTATGTGGCTCGCACGTAGTAATTTTTAGGTTCGGATTATTTCAATACTCGCTGTCTGTGCGACTTCGGTTCGACCACGGGTTCGACTTAGCTCGCTTTCGGCTCAACTCGACTCACCTACGTCGCACTAACGACAGCTCGTACTGAAAATTACATCCTCACCTAAAAAGTATTACTTTACGTGCTTGCCACATAATATACTATTTTTTATCTTTTTAAATTAAATTATCCTTTTTTGAAATTCAAAAAAAAAAAAAAATAAATAAAATATCTATTCTAGACTAAATTGTTTCTACGGTGTTAAAAGACTCTTCTCATTATATACTCTCTCTATCATGAGAAAGAAGCTTGAATGTTATATACTTTCAATAACATTTGTTTACAGTGAAATTGCCAATCGAACGAAACATTTTTTTTCTCGATTAATAGGTGTTTTTTGAGTAAGAAAAACATATTTTGGATTTTTTTCCTTCGTGCAGTTTTGCTGAATCTGAAAATTATAAAATTTCTTTCTCCAATCTAAAACAAAAATCGAGAATTGGATAAAAATAAAATTACTCTTTTTTTCGGTTTTTTTTTTTTTTTTTTTTATTTGTCATGTACATTATATTTCACATTTGTCACCAGAACTCTCAACTAAAAAAGTCGAGGGAAGTATCAGACTGTAAACTAAATCTAAAATTAAAAAATAAATGAAGATGAAGAAAGAAAAAAAATTAAAAAAAAAAAAAAAGAGGAAAATAAAGATAAAAGCATTAGTGAGAGTGTAACTCGTGCTTATATCACAATAAAAAAAACTGCATTCTTGTCATTTCTTTTTTTTCAGAAACGCCTTACATACATTCTAAATAAAATAATTGTTAATTTAAGTCATCTCTCAACCATTAAACCACTTAAACAAAAAAATGTCACTCTCATCATGTTTTTTTTTTTTTTTTTTTTAAATTAAAATGAATTCGTTTTCTCCATGATAAACTTATCACTCTTTCTTTTCTTTTTTATGTATATCATACATAATTATTTTTGAACTTAACACAATCATTTTTTTGTTAGATTTTTTTCTCTGTTTTTCTAAATTTAAAAAAAAGCGCAATTAATTTTTTTTAAAAAAGCAAATTAAAATTTTAATTTTTGTGAAAAAAAAATAGAATTGTGTTGAGTACAATATATTAATAGGCTGATAGAATATATATATATATATATATGTAAATATATAATTATATTTACATATGCATATATATATTTTTTGTAATTATATATATTTATATATATATAGAATTTTTTTTTTTTTTTAGTGATTGGCATTATTTCTTCGTCCACGCCTTTTACGGCCACCGCCACCACCGCCTGTGGCTCGACTTGTCGCCCACTGTTCATAATAGCGTTCGGCCTCTAACCATTCTTGATATTTATACCACCATTCTTCCCATTTGACGTAATCGTCTAGACTTAAATCGCGAAGATAACCACGCGCTTTATAATAATCATAACGTACACGTACATCGTCCCAACATTCAAGACCCCTTGGTCCTTGTGTGAGAAGTGATTCAGGATAGTGTCCGGGTGGTGGTGAATCATAACCCAAACGGGCAATTCTCTCCTCACCCTCGATCACCACCTTCATTGCATTTTCACCGTCTTTTGTTATACGCATATTTTCCGTATCTCTTCGATCCACACTCCATTGGGCCATTTTGCCAAATCTATCGAGGAAAAGAGAAAAATATTTATTTCAAATTTTTCAAAATTATAAATCTAATGAACCGTAAAGATTTGTTTCGTTTCAAAGAAATTTTTTCTTTAATTCAAATAAATGTTTCCTTGACCCTATATCAATGTTACAATTTATTTCATCTAATTTTTGAATAATAATAATAATATTCTTTTAATTAAGAAACAAAAAAAAACTTAATTTTAAGGTGAGCGACCGTTGAAATTTCAACCATTCGAAATTAAGGCCGTTTAAGGTTAATTTTTTTTTCTGACAATATTGAGTATTTAAAACTGTAATATAGTATGGAAAATTGAAAAACAAATTAATCGATTTTTTTCAAATTTTAATATTTTTAAAGAATAAAATTTCTAAAATGGTCAAAAATAATTTTTTTTTTAAATTTTGATAATTTATAATAATTTTAAATCCCAAATAAGGCCAGAATAAAGACACCCCTTAATAATATTAATTTCGATGAATTGAAATTTCACCGGTTCCGCCCCTTAAGAATTCTTTTAACGTTAATTAATTAATTTGAATTTAATAATAGGCATTGACTTTCGTTTGAGAACGGTTACGGTCAAATTTTCTAAAAAATTTCGTTTCGAAATATGTTAAACATAAGAATTTTCTTAGTTCATTAATCATAATATTCATAATATTATGGCTTTTCTCGTTTTTTTTTATAAAATAAAAAAAAAATTTGGATTTTGTCAGACCCAGAAACTGGAATAGTCATTTCCGATGGAATTATTGTTATGCTGAATCATAAAAATTGAATATTTAGTAAATAAAGCAAAAGACCTACGTTAATTACAGGCCTTGTATCGAGGCGCAAAAAAAGTTGTTTCAGTCGATTTACATTACAAAAAAAGTCAATTTTTTTATTATAATTAAATTTAATTAGTTAATAAATATTTTAATTTAAATCTCTTATATGTTATTGTATATTATTTAATTTATTTTTTCATTCCTTAATAAGAATATTATCAAGAAAATTTATTTCGAATATTTCAAAACTAAACTAAGACAAATTTTATTAAAATTTTAATTAAGTATGAGAAATTTCTAAAAAAAATTTTTTTTGAAAGTCTGTTTTATGCAAATAATTTGAATTTAAAATTTTTGCATAGTTTTTAATTTTAATAGTAAAAGAAATAAAAAATTTCGGAAAACAATAATTAAGTTGAAGCTTTTTTAAATAATTTAATAAAATAATAATTAAATTTTTAAAGAAATATTAAAATTATTAAAAATAATAATTGAATTTTTAAAGAAATATTAAAAGTATTAACAATAATTGAATTTTGGATGAGTTACAGTTGAAATTTTTAGAAATAATTGAATTTCAAAAGATTTTGTAAAATTTTACAGAATTAAAAATAATTTATCAAAGAAATTTTAGATAATATTTTTTTAAAACTAATTGAATTGAAAATAATTTAAGATAATTGAATTTGTATAGAATTTCATTGAAATTTTAAAAAATAATTAATTAATTTTAGCAAACACAATAAAATAATTTTTATTATTTTATTTTCTGAATATTAAAAAAAATATCAAATAAAATTTATTTATTTAATAATAATTTATAAAACTTCTTTATTCTATTAAAAAAAAATCTTTAAATTTAAATTAAATTAATAATCTATAGATATCTCCTCTCTCTTTTTCTATTATTTCCAGAAATTCAATTTATCTAGTTTTTAATTCATTTCTCGATATTATTTTACTTTTAATATTTATTAATTTATAATAATTTTATAATTAAATTTTTGACTATTGAAATACCATTTCAAGACGTATTTTGTTTAAAAATTTTGTAAGAAAAAAAAAGTCAAAAAAGTCGCATCTTAGTAAAATAAGTCGAAAAAGTCTTATTATCCGAGGCCTGTAATTATTATTTAACATTCGAATTTAAATACTATTTGTTTGGTTAAGCGTCAGTTCTGTTATTATTTAGCTATAATTTTCATTATCAAATCCACAAACTCTACACAATTTATTTTTTTCTATTCCTTGTTATATGTTAGCCATTTTTAGTTTTGTTTCTTCTTTAAAATACTGAAGAAAGAGATAAAAAAAAATCAAGAAGCACATTTCCACTTGATTTCAGATCTCAATTTTTTAAAATTTTCATATCCACATACTCTACACAACCTCTCTCCTTTTTCTCCTCTGTCATTAGCTTGCGATGCTATAGAATTACTTGACTATTATCATAAATAAATATTTATTCCTATCAAATAATTATTATTTGCCACAGTTAAAAATTATTCAAATTTGAAAATGAATATTTATTTGAATAATAGCCAAGTAACAAAAGTGATTTTGTAATCTGAAAATAATCTCAAAAACTGACAAAAAATTTAATATATTTAGCAAAGTGAAATAATTTTTAACGAATCAAAACCCAAAAAAAAAAAAACGGTTTTATACCTCTCGGAAAGTGTCATTTTTGGTGGTTCAACGTGTGATGCATTTGAGGAACTATCACTATCATCACTGGGCGATGATTCACGTGGATGATGAATTATTGGCGGTGAATCATTATGACCCGTGTGCTTCTCCACTTTAATACGTTTATGCATCTGTAAAAATTTTGGAAAAGAAATAAATTATTTAAAAATCAGATCTTTCAAACTAAAAAGCAATTTAAATTAAAAATTGAGGCTCCGGATTTTAAAAAAGTCAAATGCGCAATGTTCAGTGAATGGCGTATGTGTGCCCTTTTAAAATCCGGAGTCTCCAATTGTTTCAAACTCACCATAGGCATACCATCGGGAATTCTTGGATCCTCAGGAACACGTGAAATTGGTTTATCCTTGCGTTTCTTCATCTCTTTGACTTTATTGAATTCCTTTTGATGACGTTGTGGTTGCGGTGCCATTGGCGGTGTTCGTGGACGTGGCTGAGGTGGTGAACGTGGTCTCGCACGTTGTTGTGGCGCCCTCGAACTCGATGGCACAACATCCTTGGGTGGCGCTCGTGATCTTACCGGCGGCGTCATTGATCGCGAACGCGATCTTGATGTGGGCATTGGTCGACGACGTTCCCTTGGCGAACAAACCGAACACGAGCCATCCGAACATGTGCTACTTGAACTTGGACTACGTGCCGCTCGTCCACTACGTGTATGAGGACGATCACACGGTGACATTGGAATACGCCGTGGACTTCGTGGACGTGGACTACGTGGCCTTGGACTTCTTGGCGGTGGACTTCTTGGTCTTGGACTACGTGGACTTCGTGGATGTCCTCCTCCTCCTCTACCTTGTTCGTTTACAGCGCCTCCACCACCACCACCACCACCACCTCCAACGTACAATTCTTTGTAGCCACTGTGACGCCATCTATTTGGATCGCGTTCCTCAACCTCGAGGAGTTTTTTGTTCCAATAGCTCGATTGTGATTCACGTGCTTTTCGCATTACATTGTCTATCTCCTTACGTTTATTACGAGTCGACGACGATGATGATTCACCGTGTGGTCTTGATTGCGATGAATTTGTGTCCATTCGCATTTTACTCGATCCACTGCCATTGCCTCCTCTTCGACGGCTCTCGTAGTCGCGTGACATCTCTGGGGGACAAAAGATTATGGTTTTTAAATTAAGCTTATCTTGAGCCTTAAAAAATACCTCTAGGTTCAAGATTTAGCTTAAATGGTACAACAAAATTTCCTCTTTTTTTTTTTGTTTGGTTTGGGTGATTTCTGGATTTTTTACGCTAAACTCGAATCCGTAAACAGAATTGCTCCATCAACCTAGAATTCCGAGAAATTCGACCTTGAAAATTGAAAAAATCCTGTTTTTAGAATACTTTTTAGAAAATTTTAAGGTTTCCAAATACGCATAAGAACCAAACAAAATTTTATTTCGAAATAATCAAAAAGGATCCTAAAAAACAGTGTTTTTTCAATTTTCAATGTTAAACTTCTTGAAATTCTAGGGTGATGGAGCAATTCTGTTTACGGATTCGTGTTCAGCGTCGAAAACGTTAAAGTAATCACCCAAATCAATCTCAGAAATAAAAATATTGTTGTACCGTTGTGATGCTTTAAGGGACTTTAGCTGCAAATTATTTTTAGGTTATGCGACTTTCTTACTTAACAGAATTCTTATGTATCGAATTTTTATTGTACAGAATTCTTAAAAAAAAAAAAAAACACCCAATTTTTATTTGTACAAAATTACAAATGACCAAAAAAAAGCAATCGATTTCGGCGCGATGTTTAAAATTCACCAATCAAAAAGTTGTCATGAAATTTCGTGATTGGTGAATTTTAAACATCGCGCCGAAATCGATTGTTTTTTTTTTTTTTTGGCCATTTGCAATTTCGGAAAAATAAAAATTCGGCGTTTTAAGAATTCTAATAAAAATTCAATAAGAATTCTGTTAAGTAAAAATTTGTGTTTAAAAAGAAATTCTTTTTAAATGTTAACCTTTTTTTGATAAACGATTTTTAAAGAAATAATATTTTAAAATGAAAAATTCCATAATTTTTTGTCTAAAAAATATTTTGTTTTGGCAAAAAATTATAGAATTTTTCATTTTAAAAAATTATTTTTTTTAAAAATCGTTTATCATAAACGTTGCGTACTTCAGTTTCGTATAATAAAATACTTTAAAATAAAAATTTTAACTAATGATTTTTATGGGATAATGCGTCCCTTTTTAAGATTAAATTTTTTTTTCTTGAAAATTGATATTTCTTCTTTCAGAAAGTACAATTATGATTTTAATTATTTAAATGTTAATTAACTATTTTTTTTCCGGAGTTTTGCATTTCCATGGATAAACGTACTTAATGGTGAAAGTATCACTAAACATAACCTAAAAATTTTTTTTCTGCAACTAAGATCCCTTCACCGTATCTGAATTCTTTTTTTATAGGTTAGGTTAGTAGTTGGGTTTTTTTCATGCTAAAAATACTTAAAAGTTAAAAAAATTTTTTTTTTTCCTAATTTACCTGTTGTTCTCGGCTAAGGATCCTGAAGTTCTTTTTTCAGCCTAAATACGAAGAGATCCGCACTCCTGCGAGAGTAGTGAACACGTTAGTTCTCAAAAATACGAACAATAGCCGAAAACGTGAAATCGTACATTTTTTTTTTTTAATTTCTCTTACTATCAAACACAAGATCATTTTTTACGAATTTTTTTTCACCGAGAACTGGCAAAGTGAACGTGGACACAAAAGAACGAAATTTTTATTTTTTCAAATCAAATTCTTCGTTTTTTTTTTTAACCGTTTCATTGAAGAAAAGAGAATTTTTTTTTTTTCAACCCGCAGGGCCCCACCGCGCGATATACGGCCCTTTAAACCGATAACGAATTTCATTAAAAACGAAATAACGCAACATTATTTTTGATAAATAATTTTTTTCTTTCCGTAATTTTTCCGTTATTATCGTCATTGTCACCGTTGACAATGAATGATTGTCCCAAAATATCGGAACAATAACCGTTGATACTGTCCGAGTACCAAAAATCGTTGGGACAATCATTTCCGACGAACGAAAATTTCCGAGAAATTTAATAACGGCTGGCAACACAAAAAAAGAGAGAAAACAAATAATTTTTCTAAGAAAAAAAAAAAAAGAAAACCGTTAAAAAAAATAAAGAAAAAACAAATAATCGAACCGGGCGTCAACACGTTCACAAAATGTCCAGTATTTTCGCGTCTCGGAATTTTAAAAACGATTTTGAATTCGGAAAAAATAATTTCCAAGAATTCAAGAATAACACCACGAACCGAATTCCAAGTATTTATAAGTTTTGTGTGTGTTTTTTTTTTCATTCGTTGGTACACAGCCAATAGCCTTGCACTGTTTGTGAAATGAATAGAAACATCTTATTTTGTCGAGAGTAAGAGAAAGATATATATATATATACATATATATTGCAAAAAAAAGATGGGGGAGAAAAAAAGTATAAAAATAGGTCAAACCGTCCATGCAAATGTTGGGCGTTTTTTTTTTGGTACTTTTGTAAAAAGACACTGAATAAATTTTTAATTATGTAAATTTATATTTTAAAAAGAGGGTGATATTTTCACAGACACGTTCAAGGACTATTTTTTTTTTTTTTTTTTTTTTTAAACGAAATTGCGACACTCACTTTTTAGTTAACACGGCAACTGGGAGTTTCGCATTTTTCAGCGAACAAATCACTCTTTTTTTTCACTACTGTGTTGTATGCGCGAGAGACATCAACAGGAATCCGGATCACGTCCCTCTCAAGCGACAACAATAGGTAAAGAAAGGAAAAAAAAAAAAAAACCAGAAACAGTTGAGATATACTTTCACGGTTTATTAATATCGGTAAAACAAAACTTTTTCTTTTTTACGATATAATCGAATATGTATAAAGAGCCCCAATGTAGAGCAAGCCAAGAATTATTGACGAGCAATGAATGTAAATGATGTAAAGAGAGGGGAAAAATTTAATGTAAAATTGTGAATGCTATGCGAACGCCTCTATCAGCGACGCTTTGAAACTATTGCGCGCTAGAATTTTGAAATATTTTTCCACTCTTTTTGAAATTATTTTTCAGTAAAAATTAATAATAATATTAAATAATTAACTAAATATTTGTTTATTTTTCCACAGTTTTAAAATAATATATATGAAATATTTAGAAAAATAAATACAAAACAATAATAAATACTAAAAAAAAATTACTTAAAAAATACGTACCAAGTATTTTTTTTAATTATATAACAAAATAAATAAATTTAAATTATTATAAATTAAATTTATTTTGTTACATAATTATAATAGTAAAAATTATTATTATCTATTTATATAAATAATATACAATTAATAATTATTAAAAAATATTTATTTGCCTCTAATTATAATTAGAATATTAAATATTAATTAATTAAACATTAAATTTTAGTAAAATAACACGATTTCGTAAAATTATTATTTAATATTACTTAATTTAATAATTATTATTAAATTTTAGCGTAAAATTAATTTGTTAAAATTAAATATGAAATCATTTTATATTAAAATTAATTTCTTCGCAAAATTTAATAACAATTTAATAAAATTAAGATAATATTTAAATAATTTTTAGAAAATCGTATTATTTTACTAGAATTTAATGTTTAATTAATTAACTATTATTATAATTAAATTTTCCAAATATTGTTTTAACTTTTTTTTTTCTCTCTTATCTAGTTATTTATTGCACGAAGCTAAAACAGAAAACGTCAATAACGTTCACATTTTGTGAGCGCTTCTGCGCAACCATTTAAAGCTTTTGGATTTCGCCGTAAGATGGCAGATGATGTTTTGGGGTGTTTCCCTATTTTAAATTCACCCCATTTTCTTAAAGGTCGATCAGCTGAGCGAGTCCGGTTCAATATACAGACAGATATACATATACACACATATATATATAGCTTACCTACTAAAATAAAATGTATTGATTGCAAAATATTTTTTGAACGTTATTTTTTTTATTCCTTTTAGCTTTAAATTATTGTCTATCGTAAATATTTGTTTTGTTTTAAACAAAAATAGTCTTATATTTTATTTTTATACGAAATTGGTTTGTAAAAAAAATTCTTTTACTTTATTAATTATTTTAATTTTATTTCATAAAATAAAATATTTAGGAAAAAAAATAAAAGAGATAAAAATGTTTCTTATGGATTTGCGAAATTCTTTTTAACACTATTGTAAATTTTTCTGTTACACTCATAATGAAAAATTTAATTTAAAAATATTTGCATATTTTATTGAAATTTAAGAAATGTTCCTTTTTTTGGTAAAATATCAAATATTATTTTTTTTATTTAAAAAGGTTGGACGAAGATGGCACTGTATAACAAGATAGTGGATGGATCGATTGCAGAGGAAAATCAAACTCGTCCTCCGTCTAATTAATAAAATATTTTTGTATTTTATGGACATTAATTTTTTTTAAACTCAATTCTATTTTTTCGGTTTGAAGACATTTTGAAAAGTCGTGAGACACTTCTATAATAATTTTATCAGTTTATGGCGTACGACATAACCCATTGACAAAATGGGATAACAATATGTTTTTTGAAAACCTCAAAAGACAATTTTACAAAAAAAAAACGTTTTGGTGACCAGGGGGTTTTCCGAAAATCTTAAATTAAACCACGTTTGAACCTGGAACCAATTTTTTCTTGAAAACCTCAAAAGACAATTTTACAAAAAGTACGTTTAAAAAAACGTATCGGTGACCAGGGAGTTTTTAGAAAACCTTAAACTCAATTCACATTTGAACCTGGAACCAATGATTTTTGAAAACCTCAAAAGACAAACTAGAAAAGGAGATGACAAAAAAATTGCCCTTAAACGAAATCTAGTGAATGTTAATAACTTTCTAGTAATTTGCCAACAAATTTCGGTTATAACTAGAAAGTTACTAACCTATCACTAAATTTCGTTGAAGTGTGACCGGACAAGTATTTCTGCATGTATGAGATAGTGTAACCGTACCTTTATTTTGAAATAATTTTCTAAAATTACCTACCCAACCCTGTTTACAATTAACAATAACCCCACTAAAGTAATCCAACCCTGAATAATAATAATAATTATTTTCCCTCCAAATTTACAGCAACAAACAGGTTAGAATTACATATCTCAATTATATAGTAGTTAAATTTTTTTCCATCGTTTTTATGCGAAAAAATAACTTCATTCCCAAAAAATAACATGAATGAACGAGGATTAAACGATTATTCAATAATATGAAACAAGGTGTGTATCAGAATGATAAAACAATAAAAATTTAATTTAAAAATAATTCATTAGATAACTGTGGCATGAGTGATAGCCTTTGTGGTTAATTTCAACGGAATGACTGGCATGAAATGCTTTTGTACACTAATTGGTGTAGAGAGACGTAACTCATTGGTTCAGAATTGCAACATTCTACCTTTGAATTAATTAGGCATTATATATTTGCCTTTAATTCAAATAAATGTAAATTTATCTCTCTATACATAGGAAAAGTTATACAGATATAACTTTTGTTCATTTATTATTTATGTTATTAGAGTATGTGAGAGAATGTCGTATTTGCTGCAGTTATTTTTATTGCCAAATGTGTTTTAATTATTCCTATAAATATATATTTGTTGCTTTGTAGGAAACAAAAAATTTAAATATACAAAATAATCCTCCGTTAGAAGAGGGTTCAAGTGAAAAAAACTGATTTTTGTTTGTCGATAAAAAAAGACATATTGGCTTTGTTTAAGGGATCGTTACTTCAGGAGTTACGGAATTAAATTCCGGATTTGCGTCGAGAGAAATAAATCTAATGTAACTTTCAAGTGTCGTTGACCAGCCGATAATTCACGGTCGAGCAAATCCCTTGATACTAGGAGAGATTTTCATCTTAGGAGACTCTCCCGAGTTTTACTCTTAGTCCTACTAATGGTTTCTTGAGAAATGTGATTCGAAAAAAATCAAACGTAAATCTTCATGGAAAAAAAATTAACTAGAGAACTAGAAACATTTTTTTATTAAAATAATTAATTTATTTTCCTATAATTTCAGATCTGCCTTGATTGAGAATGTTTGAAAAAATTTGAATTTTATATATTATAGAAGTTAAAAGTTCTTACAATTTAGGAAGTAGTATCAAAAGCAGAAGAGAAGATCAATGTCGAGAAGTGGGGATTTTATCTTCTATTTTCTCAAAACCATGACCACAATCCGTTGAGCTGCAATAGTAGTGAGCGCCTTCACTTTCCTAAAACCACCTCTTGCATTTGGCAGCCACGCTCACTGAAGAGACCGGATTACATGTCGCATTTGCAGTGTCGATGTTCTAATACCACAAAATTCCGACTTTGACTCAACTGGTAACAGCTGCTTTGTAGTGTTCAAAATTTCAAAAGCGAGCGAAGATTTATAGCAAACAAAGATCCATACAGTTGTTTAGATCTTTTTCTACTTCAACAATATTGATATATTTTTTTTAAAAACCTCAAAAGACAATTTTACAAAAAGTACGTTTAATAAAAACGTATCGGGGAACAAGTTTTCAGAAAACTTTAAACTCAAATCACATTTGAACCTGGAACCAAATTTTTTTGAAAACCTCAAAAGACAATTTAAAAAAATACGTTTTAGAAAAACGTATCGGTGACCAGGGAGTTTGCAAAAAAACCTTAAACTCAAACTACGTTTGAACCTGGAACCAAGGATTTTTAGAAAACCTCAAAAGACAATTTTACAAAAAGAACGTTAAAAAAACGTTTCCGTGACCAGGAAGTTTTTAGAATCCATTCCACAGTTTAGATCTTTTTCTTTTTAAACAATATATTGATTGAAATGACCCATCTCTGTTTACTGGGCACTGATTTAAGCCCAGTGGACAATAGATTCTTGAAAGAGAACATAAATATGAGTTAGAAAAATGAATACATATCTCTCTCCTTCTCTAACTCATGTTTGCGTTTCCTTTCAAGAATTCATTGTACGCTGGGCTTAAACCAGTGCCTAGTAAGTAGAGGTGTGTAGCTAGGTCTAGTTACATTTGACGCTTTTCGCCTTTCGTGTGATTTAACTTTTATGTTTGGGTTGACTTTCAAGAATCTCATGTGCGTTGGACTTGACTATAGTTACTTTAGGAACATTTCATGATGTAGTAAAGTTAATGGAGTGGCGAGCATGCACACATTACGATATACTTTGTAAACTATTCAACCAAATTATTTTACGATGTAATATAATAAAGGTCAAAGCAAAATAGTTTTGCGAAAGTAGTTTCTGAACGTGAAGCGGACAGAGAAACATGTATGTCCTTCTCTATCTCATGCATCACGCTTTCGTAAAGCTATTGTATATTGTTTCTAATAACAAATGGTCACTGATCCGATTTGTTTTAGTGTTCAGTGGTGCCATTAAACTACCATTTTTCAAAATGGAAAAATTGTCTTTTGAGGTTTTCAAAGAAAAACTTTGGTCACATTACAATAGGGTAATGTGTCAATTAAAGTTGTCATATTTGGCAGGTTTCACTTATCTGGAAACTATTGTGCCTTGTCCTTAATATTTTCAGCGTCTGCTAGAAAAGAACAAAGCTATAGATGTGCATCTTTTTCTATCTCATAGTGTTCTGTTCTGGAACATCTGAAATGTGACAGTTTTTCCAAATGGATTATTCTTATTATTATTAGTAGTAAAATATTTTATTCTGAGGGGAAAGAAATATTTTCGAACTTATAAAAATAATTAAAACACTATTTTATTGGAAAATTCCACTTAAACTTAAATGAAAAATCTTTCTCTACGAGTAAATAGTAAATGGCAGTAAATATATGTGTACTTTCTTTCAAAGAATGTTACGATTCCCTGAGGTTTTTTTTTGAACGCATTCTGGTAACCGCTGTGTGGGGAACCTCATAAAACTTGCGCGCAATAT